GTTTGTTTAATGTAAAAAATACAAGCAGAATACAAGCTTTCCCTTGTTTTATTTATTTTTCTAGAAGAGGTGGGTTTCGGGCTGAAGCTCCTCCCCCAAATTGTAAAATGTAACCATGTTTTATGTAAAAAATATTAAAATATTACCTTTTAAAGTATTATTGTTCTTGTAATTTCATTTAATAGGACTTCAAGAATCACTTAAACACCATTTCATATAGGTAGTTTGAATCTTTATTTTTTCCCAAAGTAATTATCATTATATATATGAAAAAAAAACCTTTCAGGGTGAATCCTTCCTCCCAAAATTTAATCCTGGATCAGCCTGTGATGCTCAGAATTATGCAAGGGTGCTCAGAAGTGGGTTTCATGGCACAAGTTGCACCATCAAAATTTTTGAGGAAGGCACATTTTGACAGGTTTTGGAATTTTCGAGAGTGGCAAATTTTGATGGGGTTTTAAATTTTCGGACTGAGGGGCATGGGAGAAAATATGGAACTGACAGCATCAAGTGTAATTGTATATGATTGAACCTTAGCTTGTTGAAATATTTGTTTAATGTATACCTAAAACAATGAATACAATTTTAATCAGATAAGATAATAATGATAGAAGATAAAGAAATGAAAGTCCATAAAGCCAATAGTTAGTTATATAGATAAGTATAATTTGATTCTCAACACATTGAAAAGGCTACAAATTAATAAGTATTGATTTTCCTTTGAAGTTCCAACCTGTTCCAACTTAAAATGGTGATAATTTGTAAAAGTACTTGTTATATAATAGGTCAAAATTTGATATTTTGTGGAAATTGAATTATCTGCTTGGTGTATAATGTTTTTAGTTAAAAACTGTGAGGGGTAGGTCTCAAATTAATTTAGAATGAGGAATGGCAACCATAATGTAATATAATAGCCTCAAATATTTTTGATAACATATTAATACTATGTAATCGATTTCACCATACATTTTTATTTTAAACTTTGTTAGTAGCAAATTTATAGATTTTATATTATTTCCTGGAAATTGGTTGAAACAGAGATCAGACAAAACAAAAACTGTGATAGAAGAGCAAGAAATTCAAAATTTATTAAATTATAACTTAATATATAGTGAATTGCTTTATCATAAAATTACTCATCATGTACATACAATTAATTAACAGTTTAAAAATAATAAATATATACCATGAGCAATTTCATAAATATCTATAATGAAAAATACCAAAACAATCAAATAAAATGAAGTAAATATTAAAATAAAATATAAAAAAATTGATTAAAAAATAAGATTAAAATTAAGATACATCTGCGTTCATTAATATATTTTTTTCGTTGGATGTATATATTTCGATGAAGAGTTAAAGAACGCAATCTATCATTCCATATAAATGGATTGGTGCTGCTACTGTCGTTGTTTTGTAGAATATAATATATATGGTGGGGGTTAGGGCTCTAGAGAGATAGCCTAACATAACCGTAACCTAAATATAAACAATCCTCTGGAATAAGCGCCCCCACTCCATCCCAAAAAGCTGCGGGCATGATGTAAACTATTACCAAAAGAACATTTCATATGAAATGACCTAATATAATAATGCCAAGAAAAAAATTAATATTCAGTTAAATGATTTCCTATACGAGCTTAATTCTTCCCATTCCCGCCACTACTTATACTTTTACTCGACGCACGACCTGACGACGTTGGTTTACTACCTGATGCGTTTGTCTTATGTCTAGAAGTACCATCAAAGTTGGCCGAAAAGTACTAAAAAATAGGCCAAAACTCTTCTCCTTTTTACTTCCACTTACGTATATATGTAATATATAGTAAGGGTAAGTATTGCGATCGTGAAAATTTTCGAATCTCAGTTTTCAACGGAAATACATGTTTTGAGGTCCCCTGAATTCAAATAACCAAGTGTCGCAAAATGGTCTGTGAGTGTGTTAACAGTCTAGCTGATAAACGAAAAGTAGTACGAAACTGATATTACATATTTAAGGTTTGTATATGGGCCGGATGTGACAGCAACTTTTTCATTAAAATTGGCTAACCGGAAGTGCCACTTTATATGAACGCTGAAACACATTTTTTTACGTGCACTGTTAAATGGTATCGTAGTTAAGTGGTCTTTGGACTAATGAATGGTATTTAAATCAATTTTTTTCGGACGACCACGAGTCACAAGACAGAACTGTTAACACACAGACACAGACCATTTTGCGACACTTGGTTATTTGAACTCAGGGGACCTCAAAACATGTATTTCCGTTGAAAACTGAGATTCGTAAATTTTCACGATCGCAATACTTACCCTTACTATATATTACATATATACGTAAGTGGAAGTAAAAAGGAGAAGAGTTTTGGCCTATTTTTTAGTACTTTTCGGCCAACTTTGATGGTACTTCTAGACATAAGACAAACGCATCAGGTAGTAAACCAACGTCGTCAGGTCGTGCGTCGAGTAAAAGTATAAGTAGGGGCGGGAATGGGAAGAATTAAGCTCGTATCGGAAATCGTTTAACTGAATATTAATTTTTTTCTTGGCATTATTATATTAGGTCATTTCATATGAAATGTTCTTTTTTATTATTATAGACATTCAAAGTGAGATTGGTGGACTTATGTTGTTTACTACTACGGGCGGATCTACGGGAGGGGGGCTTTCAGGTTGAAGCCCTCCCCCCAAAATGGAAAAATACAACCATGTTTTATGGAAATTTTTTTTTTAAAAATACCTCTTAAAGTATTATTGTTCGTGTAATTACATTTAAAAGGACTTAAGGAATCCTTTAAACACCATGTCATATAGGTAGTTAGTTTCTTTCTTTTTTTCCAAAGTAATTATCGTTATTTTTATGAAAAAAGAAGGTTTCGGGCTGAAGCCCCCCCCAAAATTAAATCCTGGATCCGCTAGTGTTTACTACGTTTATGTTTCCAGAATATAATGAGCCGTTATTAATGCTCTCTTTCTGTTTGTTATATTTAAAAATCACTCCTGTTTCGAAGGCCTTTAAATTTATCAATATAACACAGTTCACCTAACATACATCAAAGAGAAGTTTGATAAAAGTTATGAAGGGTGGTAAAATTAGATTTTCGAATTACTCAAAAAGTATACACTTTTTGTTAGGTTGTTGTATGTTGTTTAAAAGTTTAGGGAATTTAAAAAAAAAATAAAAGAAGAACCATTGAAATCGGGTTGTTCATTAAAAATATATTTTGTTCTAAATAAAAGTGCACGCATTTTGTTAATAGCCAACCTGGCCGAAAATTAATTTCTATTCAAATTAGAACGATAAGTGAGAGTTGTGTGATGCAAGCACCAGATTTTTTCATTACATTATCAGACATTTCAATAAATGTATACTTTACCTACTTACAATTCGATTTTTGGTTTACACCACGGGCGGATCTACGGGAGGGGGGGAGGCTTTCGGGCTGAAGCCTCCCCCCCAAAATGGAAAAATATAACCATGTTTTATGGGAAAAAAAATTTAAAAAATTTCTCTTAAAGTATTATTGTTCGTGTAATTACGTTTAAAAGTACTTAAGGAATAACTTAAACACCATTTCATATAGGTAGTTAGTTTCTTTCTGTTTTTCCAAAGTAATTATCGTTATGTTTATGAAAAAAAAAAAGTTTCGGGCTGAAGCCCCGCCCCAAAATTAAATCCTGGATCCGCTAGTGGTTTACACTTAAAGTATACACTTTTTTTTAGGTTGTTTAAAAGTTTAGGGAGTTTAAAAAAAAATAAAAGAAGATTCATTGAATTCGGGAGGTTTGTTAAAAATATATTTTGTTCTAAATATTACCCACACGTTCTGCTGCAATGCCGATATTCTTTGTTTTTATTTTTGAAAAGTTTTACATCACCTGAATCAATCGAGATTGTGGTGTATATTTTTTATCAAACTACTAATGATGAAAAAAAAATTAGGTTTATATTAGGAATCACCTTTTATTTATTTTCTCTATGTGACATGGAAAGTAGTATTACGTATCGCTACTGTTAGTGCAAAAGGTCGTATGTAACATGTTTACAGTTTAATTCTCTTTGGGCTGAAAGTGACATTTTTTAGTCTACAACTACTATAACTAGTCTGTTAAATTGGAAATATAGCAGAGGAAAACCATCACATCCACATCGTACTACTGTGACTTTGACATAATGCATTAAGTTCTAACCCCAATTAGTTAATCGGAAAGGACTTATATTCTAACACAAGGCCAGATCTTATGTTTCACGAAAGACAGTGAAGAAACTAAACGAGCTGTGTTAGCAAGTCCTTCCATACCCACCTTATTCCTCAGACTTATCTGGTATAGATTTCCATCCGTTCAGTCATTTATACCAATTCCTTAAAAATACAATTTTTGAAAATCATTCGGAGGTCAAAAATGCATTTTTTTACTTTATTTCTTCAAAAAACGCTAATTATTTTGCTTCTAGAATTGGTAACACATTAAGGAAAATGTTTCGATTTAATGAAGTTGTTTTACTGAATAACCTTTCCAGTGATAACTGACATTTCATGTGAAACTTGTCAATATATTCGATATATAAATATAAATGTTTTTGAATACTCGTTAGTATTTTATTCATCTCTAATAAACACCATTACTTCGCAGGGAAGTAATTTGCTTGGGAATAAAAAAGATATCGTTTGGCAGATTTTAGAGGGTCTGATACTATCGATGAGCTTAGGCTAAGTTAAAGAATTTTTCCTAATTTGATAATGAATAAATTACTAATTAAATAATTACTTAGGCAGTAAAAATGTTAACATTTTCACAAGTTACTAATGGAGTAACTTACACAGCTCATTTTCATGATAATTTAAATTACATCTAGATTTTTGTATTCACATGAAAATGAATGAAATTCAGATGTGAAGTTAATATCAAACTGTAGGAATGTATTGTTTACGTTTTAGTGTACTGAATATGTTTGAAGGTTACACCCTTAAATAGTCGCATGGATCATACGAACATCAATGTTTTGTGTGATAAATTACTTTTCCCAGAGGTTTGATCTTATTAAAATAAGATTATTAACTATATACTTTAATAAGTTTTGTGAAATGGAAAATAAGCCAGAAGCGGGGCAGCCGAGCGGTGGTATCGATATCGCAACATTCAATCTAGACACGCCTCCATCCTCTTTAAAGGTTAGTAATATTTACATTTTCAGTTCTATTTCTTTAGTATTGCAGAGGCCATACAATGCGTATGTATAAAATCGAATTTGGTATTTAACATATCCTGATACGAATTGGCTTGAACCAAGTTCTTATTACTATATATACTTGAAACAAGTACTTATTAGTACTGGATCAGGGGTCTCCAAACTACGTCCCGCAGCACCTTCAGTCCGGTCCGTAAAAGTTTCTTTAATTACATGATAAAATTTCTAAAAATTATTTTAAAATGTAAAATTTAGCAAATTACTCAAGTATGAAGTTACTAAAACATTTATTACATGGGTTTTTACTTTCACTTACCTATATACGAAATATATAGTAAAGGAAATTATTGCGATCGTGAAAATTTTCGAATTCGAGTGTTCAACGGAAATATATGTTTTTAGATCATTTGAGTCCAAATAACCAAGTCTCGCAAAATGGTCTGTGCGTGCGTGCGTGTGTGTGTGAACAGTCGTACGAAAGTGATACTACGTATTTAAGATAGGTATATTCCTATGTGACAGCAACTTTCACCTTAAAATCGGCTTACCGAAAGTGCCACTTCATATCAACGGTGAAACACATTCTTACAATTTTCTCAAAAACGGCTCCAACGATTTTGTTTAAACTCGGTGTATCATTGTATAATTAGGTGGTCTTTAATATCATTGAGGTTTTATCCCCATTGATGTCACTTTACAGAACTTAAATGCCGAATGTTCGTATACGTCTTCCTTTAAAGTACCTTTAATATGATTTATTTTGAAGATTTAACTAACTTTCATTGACAGTAACTATAAAAAATGGCTAAATATAACTTGTTGTTATATACTATGCTATAACTTGATAATTGAATAAAGAAGAAAAAAAGAAAAATGCTTATCCAGGTCGAAAATGAATCAGCGTTGAAATAAAGGACACTATTAGAAAAGGAGATATTTTTATAAGGCTGAATTCCTCCAAAATTAAATCCTGGATCCGCTAGTGCTAGTTAGTAATTAGTTCCCGAACAAATTATACATTAATATATAATAATTTTTAAAAGATGCTGTAAATGACGCAGTTATTAATTTATAAAGGAACAAGTGAGGTTATCAGTGTTGTAAGTGATGGTGAATCAGTGTTGCCACAATACAGTTTTTTTTTACAGGACATCCCCATAAAGGCGTAGGTACTAGTTTAGACCAGGGATCACCAAACTGTTTGATCCCCGGGATACATTGAGACCTCCACTGAATCCCACGGGCCGCAACGAGACCATCACCTTAGTCCGCTTAAGATGAAAAAAAAATCTTGTACTATTAATGACATCTCAGTTGTGAAATGAGATTCCAAATAGATGAAAACCTAAGCAATAAAGTTGTAGTAATTCGTGTATGAATAATTTGTTTGATTTCATATTTTTAAAATAGTTATTAAAATGTTATTATGTAATTAAAGAAACTTTCGCGAGCCGGATTGAAGGCGCTGTTGGCCTGCGTGACGTAGGTTGGAGCCCTTCAGTCTAAATCATTCCTAAGTGGTTTGTAAAAATATCATGTTTGAGTTTATTATAATACCTAGTTCTTTTACAAAATTTGAACTTTCTTTTACATTCTTGGGCATTATTTAGATAATCCTTTACATGGAGTGGGGTGATAAAGAAAACAGAATAGGTCTGATCGCCTTAAAGAAAGTTGGAAAATATAGGTCAGAGATTTTCAACACTTTGAAACCTTTTGGTATCAGCAGTATGTTCGTGTACCGCACTATAAATAGATATAATGAGATCCTATCTGTATTTGACAGACCTCGACCGGGCTGTCAGCTCACAAGGCCAGGTCCACTCAGAATAATTTTATATATCTTCGAAAATTCGTCTAATATGAAGAGTCAACAGCAGTCCTTAATTATGATTAACATAACCTGGCCCTCTTCTCAGGAGGTGAGATAAAATCAAAGCGGGTTAGAAAACTCGGTCCGAGCATCATTCACGGATCATCGTGTATGCGATGTTCACTATGCTCTGGAGTTTAGCTTGTTGCACTAAGGTATTAGGTAGTAGTCTTCAACCAAAAAGATACAAAAGTTTCTTTCATTGAAATTCATTTTTTAACGAGCAATCCAAATTATGGATAAGACATGTTTTATTGGTAACGATAGATAAAAAGAAGTAATCAGAGAATAGTGGTGCATACTGCTTTAACAGGAATTTTCATTCTCGGTTGTTTGTTTAAGCAATTTAGTAAAAGAAGTTTTTTGGAGTATAGTCAAAAGTGATTGTATACAAGACAAGTTGACAATTGGACAACCTCCAAATATGCTACCCTGATGAAGGCCTGAAACATTGACGTCAAATAAAATAAGTTTTATTTTTTAATGTTTTCTCTGTTACTAACCATCAACCAACTTCTCCTCCCCCCCCCCCAAAAAAAATGTATATTTGTGCCAACTTTTCGACCTAAATTTTAAATCTGCTAAAGAAGTTACTTGACTTGTTCATATAGTAATCATGAATTCTATATTTGTAATTATTGTAGACGACGTTCGAGCTATTTCACTTTTTATAGTGGGAAGGAGAGGTGATTAAACTGGAAGTTAATCATAATGAATGGATCTGATTTTTTAAGTGAATGGCAGTGAATCAATCCATCTGCTTTTTGTCCTTCCCACCTGGTCTTTTGTCTTCTATTGATGCATTGATTGTTACGTAGAGACTTCCAGATAGATATTGCTACGAGATACATGCCCCGCCCATCTTAATTTACGTGCCTTAATAGCATGGGATATCGATTGACCAATTTCTGTAAGCAGTTCTTCATTGGTCTTTCTGCTCCATGTGTTAGTACTGTGATCACAGAGCGCTCCGGTTATTGTGCGGAGGATTTTCCTCTCAAATCTTTCAATCCTTCTTTTTAGAGTGCTAGTTAGTGTCCAGGGTTGAGAGTCATATATTAGAACTGACTTCATCATAGCATTGTACACTCTTTATTTGAGATTTTTCGAGATTTTAATAGTTTGGTAGGAAAGAAGAACCTTCTCTTTGTACTAGTTATTCGCTAATCTATTTCTGATCGTTGGTCATTCCCAGAGGTAATTGAATTTTTCTAGTATCGGATTCGATTTCTCTTCTATGCAGATTCTGTTATTCGGATGAAATTATCGGCTTATTATCATATATTTTGTTATGTCTTTATTTACTTGTAGACCGATTTGCTCTGGCTCTCTTATCAGAGTCTTAGAGAGTTGTTCGAAACCATGAATACAAAAATGTTGTAATATTAATTACCCTAATAACAGAAATGCATGAAAATTTTTACATTTTTATGTTAGCATACATTACTATATTAGCATAAGTAGCATGTATGTTTGTACTCATTTTATTTCGTACTTATTCTTTTAAAAATATTTGTAATAATATGCAATATTTAAACAAATCCTTAGAAACGAATCCTTTGAAAATTTGTTTATATTATTAAAAATATATTGATAGTTTTAGACACTATCAACATTTATCCGTGTAATTATTTTTCTTTACTAATAGCCCGTGATACAGACCCATTTTTTTCAAATTATTAACATCCGCCTGAAACTTTTTGAAAATATTGATCTTATCATAACCTACAACTTTTTTATTTATGAAAAACTCGGAATTGGGGTGTTTTTGATCTGGAGGGGGGCAAACGTTGTCCATTTAATTAAGTACTAAAAACTCGTAAATATCCGTTTGCTTTTCACTTGAATCGTAATATAACTTGATCACAAAGTCGATAAAAAAAGGTGACATACAAAAATATTGGGCCGTTTAAACCCTTAAAAATGCTTCTTTTATCCTGAACGAACCTCAAACTTTTCTGATAAATATTTTTTTTCGGAAGAGAATAGTAGGCTATTTAAGTGGTTTTTTTTTATGTTAAAGTAAATCATGGTTTCTGATGAATAGGAAGCGATAGCTAAAGCATTAGTTAATATAATTAATTAACAACTGCTTCACAGTTAACTAGACAAAATTTACTTCAAACGAAACTAGAGTATGTTATTGTTAAAATAATTTAAAAAGGAAAAAACTAAGGGCTCATTTACACGGTGCCAGTCGCTGGCATTCCAGTCTATTATAGGAATTGATCCTTATTTATTTGTAACAATAGTTCCTGATCCTAATATTTACATTTTAATTAAAATAATTGAAGCAATCAGCAGGTTTTTTTTTTTTTAATTTTAAACGTAAATTTTAAGACTAGTAACTTTTAGTATGTTACACGGACATCCGACTTACTGCCACCAGAACTTAGAATGTTTTAAGATAAAATTATATACAATATTAATAAAATGATTTTATAAATTGATCCGGATTTGGTAAAACGCCTACTTATACTTGTGGAAAGTTCATGTGGTACAATGTGCTTTTTGTGATTGTGTTGTTCTGCAGAAACAAGAAAGATGGAAAGATTTATTCTATGTGATTTATTAACAGAATGCCTCTTCTTTCAAGATTTAATATCTCTCATATTTAGATGTTCAAGCCGACGAGGCAACATCTTAAAACGAGACCAGTTTTCAGAAAAGGACGGCCTTCTTTCCTAACGAACTTGTATTCATATGCATATTTTTGTATGTAATGCCTAAAAAATCTTACCTTTACTCGATTATCATCCATAATTGTAAATTCTCTATTCGTCGTAAACCAACGACTGCCTGTCGTACAGTTTCATTTAACAATACTCCACTTATCCCTGTTGAGCAAATTAGATATCTAGGACTCCACCTGGACAAGCGACTAACTTGGAATCCTCATACTAGACTGAAACGACAAGAAACCGCTCTACGTTTCCGATTACTTCAGCACTTACTAGACACACACTCTAAACTTCCCATTAATTACAAAAAACTCATATACTTGACTATAATAAGACCTATTTGGACTTACGGAGTTGAGCTATGGGGCTCCACTAAACCATCGAATTCCTCTCGCATCCAATCCTTACAAACCAAAATCCTTCGTAAAATCCTTAATGCTCCTAACTTTGTCACTAATAAAATTATCCATAAAGATCTTAATGTTCCTTATGTTTCAGATCTGGCCCAATCCAGATTTATTTATTTATTTATCAACCCTGCCGTGCCTAGTTGGCAATACGGGTGTCTGCAATAGTAAGATGTTAGGCAGGTCAGCTTAACATCTCACTGCTGCAAATGAATCTTGTTCTTCTGCTCTTTCTTCAAGGTTGCTTTTCTCATCCGTTTCCCGCCAATGGTATAGTACCTCTTCCTCCTCTTCTTAAATTAAAATGGGCTGGCCCCAACGCGACTTTCCACCCGTACACAAAATCTGTAGTACGGGTAGTTTTCCGCAGTGACTAACTGAGGAAAATCGTTCTCTGTGAGAATATAGAGACCGGTTTCCCTCAGTAACTTAGCCCTTTGTTCTTCAAAGGCGGTGCAGTCCACTATGATGTGCTCAGCAGTCTCCGGAACACCGCATCTAGGGCATAGGGGGTCGATGTCCATCCCATGGCAATGAAGCTTTGCTCGAAAGCCCCCATGGCCTGTGAGAAATTGCGAGAGCCAATAGTCCGGGACGATCCACCTTGCTTCTAAACGTGACCGGACGGTGGGGAAGTATTTCCTCAAGGTAGAAGATACCTATCCTTCCATAATAAACTTCAGAATCATCCCAATCCCCTCGTTTCTAACCTTGTTTCCACTTCAATTCCTGATAACCCTCCGAGGCGTCTGAAAATAAGATGGCCCCGTGATCTCCTAATGTAGTCATATCATTAGAGTGCTACCATTGGGTAGTTACTCAGCAAGTGTATTCATGTCATTATATCTATTATGTCTAAATTTACTCGATGTATTTATGTAATACAGTTGTAAATGTCATTAAGAAGTAAAATAAAAAAAAAAATCTCTATTTGTCATCTCCTGTCTGGATCCCTAAATACATTATTTAGAAATGCAGTAAAAGAGATAAGGTGAAATATCCAAAGTAAGAACTGTCTTTTTAAGTTTTTTCCATTATTGTTTTACAACCGAATAGTGGAGTTTATAGAACTTCGGTTCGGTGATTACCAGAAAGGGTTCAGAAGGAACAGATCAACTATCGACCAAATTTTCTGTTTTTGACAAATAATGGAAAAAATAAAAATTCAATAGAAATTCAATAAGATTATATCGATTCTTTCCATTGACTTTAAATTAAAGTCATTTAAATTAAACGCTTCAAATGGCTCTGACACGTTATCAGGATGGATGATGGCGTCGGTTGAGCTGTTAACAAAAAATATCTTTTTATTATTCTAAGTGTTACAAAAATTTATAAGCAAGAGAGAGGGTCAGAAATCTATATTTAGGCCTGTAAGTAAAAAAAAAATAGACAAATAGTGCTGTTTTCGTCGCGTAAAAGGAAAAGTTACTTTTAATAGTACCTTGAAATTTAATAGTACCTGATAATCGTCTTTGATTAATTAATTTACCAATATGAGTTCTAAGAATTGGCTGTCAGCCACATGCGCAGTATAACGTTTCTCTTCCAGGCGCATGTAGGGTAAAAGTTTTATAAAGAAAAAACTGTTCTGCCCCTGCGTCTGACAGTTTGTTGCATGTGTTTCAACACACCTATTATTATAACATGGCCTACGAGTACTATATGAGTTACAATCAAGTTTTTTTGTTTTCTTTCATTAGAAAAATTGAAATTTTCAAGAAGTTGATTTATATTTCTAAAATTTGATTTACCTTTTTACAAATAAGGTATTAAAACTAACATTTACTATTAATTATAATGTTTGAAAACTTTGAAATATTTTAGGGACTAGCGGATCATAAATTAAATACTGATTTTATTTCCTAGAGTGATGAGCAAATTAAAAGGCATTCCATAGACATTTGTCTTGAAACAAAACCTGTGGAGAGGGCATTGCACATATTTACGTAAGATTCCTCATTCTGTACATTTAGTATTTTTTTTTGTTTTTTTTGTGAAACGATTATATTATGTAGGTCTCGAAGAATGAAGTAATAACGTTATATGTTCTTATCTTATCTACTAAAAAATTAAGTTAAGCCTTTTCTAGACATTTAAAGGAGATACATAGAGCTGAGAGCCGAAAGGGAGGATTCTCTCACTAAAAATGGGACAACCAGGGTAGAGCATACTAGGGTTTGTAGAGCAGCCTATGATTCCGTGGCTTTGGAAGATCATAACTGAGCTGAGAGTTCCTGAAAAATTGGTCAAATTCATAATAGGACGAAACCGTATACTAATTATCCTAAATCCCATGTTGAGATAGATCAAATATCTGAAGTATTCGAAGCTTGTAAAGGTTTAAGACAGGGAGACGAATTAATTTATTATTGGGCGTGATCGCCCACCCTTGTCTCATTTACATGCTGCCATTAGGTGAACCAGTAAGTGTTAAAACTTTCCGTCATTCATTGGAGAGTGATTATAGTCCACTTGTAGTCTTCTACTTAAAGTACTTAAAACATTTTTGAGCGTAATCCACAAAGTATATCTTTCATGGTAAATTCTATACATAATCTGTTAAAAAATCGGTTGTTGTACATTCTCTAAATCCTAATTTTTGACAGAAAGACTAACCATAGCTCCAGGATCATTATTGTTGCGTGAGTCGATCGGACGATTATCTTTATATATATACAACGTGTGACACGAGATATTTTCGATGCTATATTACTTAGTGGTATCGAGTGCTTAACAAAATAATGTTAATTCAATTTTTTTTTAATCTACATACTTATTTTGTTTAAAATAATTATATTCTATTAATTATAAATTAATTTGTATATTTATTTGTAAGTGGTTTAAATTTGTCTAAATTCGGTAGGAAAGATGTGTGAGAGGACACATCCGGTATTTTCTTCATCATTTCAGGTATTGTGAGATGCTCTCTTCTGCAGGCCGTGACTGATGCTATTCTGTCACTGGGGGTTCCTACTAGCTAGCTTGGACTGGAAGTTAATTTGTCCACAATAAAATATATGGTAGTATAAGCAAAATTCCCATGCCTGGCGAGACAGTTAATATTGGGCTTTATAAATTTGAGAAGATCTCGGAGTTTACTTATGTGGGATCTGTGGCTCACTTAAGAAAATAATCCCAATATTGAGATAACAAGGATAATAGCAGCCAATAAATGCTACTTTGGGTTAAGCAAGCAGCTAAGCAGGTGGATACTTTCCAGATAGACCGAACTCCACCTCTATAAGACATTGGTGCGTCCCGTACTTTATGGATCGGAGTGATGGACAACTTGAATGCCATTAAAAAGGAACTCCCTATTTTTCAAAGGAAAGTTTTGCAGAACTTTTCTATACCGTGTTTTTGCAGGAATGGGAGTTGGAGAGGAGTGGAAATGGCGCCCGAATCAGGATCTAGACAATTCTTTCGGGAAAGCTGATGTGAAAGCAATGAAGTTGAGACGCTTAAGATATGCAGGGCATATTGCCAAGTAGAATTGTCACAGATGTCGAAATGCCAAAAATTTTGCTTACACAGCCAGTCTATGGAGAAGAGGGAGACCAAAGCTGAGATGGTCAGATGGTTTGGTAGGAGATGCCAGCAGCACATGCTGAGAATCAGAAATTAGAAATTAGAAGGATGGCGTTGGCACTAGACCGTGACGATTGGAGAAAACAGTTGGAGGAGGCCAAGACCTTGTAACCGACTTGTAATGCCGTGAAATGATAATATAAATTTTAAAATCATACAATAAGAATGAATAAATATAAGTTAATTATAAAGATTTTATAATTAAGATAAAACTCTTTACTTTAGTATAATTTTATTATCAATTTACATAATCTGCTAGGCTTATTTTAGTGTTAATGAAGGATTAGATAGATAGATAGAAAGTAAGCTTTATTTTATATAAATTTTACATATTTCTTTTTTTTTTAAACAAAACCTTTTTTTAATTTTTTTTATTGGCATTGGCGTAGAACCGTCTGGCTGGAGTTGCCCTAAAAATTCATACAATGAAAAGAGTTAATAATAATAAAATAAATAAAAACAATAAACTTTGGAAAATTAAACAGGCTTTTATTATTTAACACAATATAAAACAACTTAAAACTACCTGATACATATAATCCAAATAAACTTTAATTTGTCTAAAAATAAGAAATAAATAATTTTAGTTACATAACCATAATCTTATAGTTGTATTGCTGAATTAAAAACATTCTATATTTATAAGCACATATTTATGATACATATATAAACTGCTTCAATCTTTGCCATTGAGTATCTATAAGTTCATTGCGGTGGATGATTTTATCTTATAATATATTATTCTATATTCCTGTAAAATCGGACAAACAGCGACCTTGTGGTATACATCCTCTATTTCATTTAAATCACAAAGGCTACACAATCTTTGCTACTCACTCCTCATAAAACTATTGTTTAGAAATAATAATTGCCCACGCAATTTAAATATACCTTTAATGAAATACATTTTATTTACATCTGGTATGTAATGCCTTTCTTCTAAATCGTTGTTTAAATCCTTATAAAGGTCATGAAATCTAAACATTCTAGCTTTTCCCCTCATATTAGCTTTAAAATTATTTTCTAATTTAGTTAAAATATGTGAAATAATTAAAATATGTGAAATAATTTTATTGCTAGTGTATTCTAATGGGATATTAATTCTATTACAGAGCTCAGTGTTTTCTTTGTGCCAAAATATTTTATGTTGTATTATTTCTTTAGCCAAAATGTTCGGTAATCTTGATGCTGGTAAAGAAAGAACCCTTTATATATAATGTAAATGTAATGATAAAATATAGAAGAATGTCGGTTTAAAATTTAATTCTAAATATAAAATATAATGAGGTGAATTATTAGTAAGTGAAAACAGCTTCTTTATGGAAAATATATTCAGTTTTACGACTTCTTCTCAACAGACCATTATTGATCCCTGACCTCCTCCAATAATTTTCGCCAGTCTGCACACTGTTGGGCAACAGTACTCCAGTTCCTGACCTCTTGGATCGTACGGGCATATTCTGCTATGCCATCCATCCATCTAAGACGCGGTCCTTCTCTAAGCCTGGTACTTTGACTGGCCAAGCTCATTATATTTGGAATCTCATCCTCTGACATGCGTGCTACATGGCCAGCCCACCTCAATATCCCCAGCCTTATATGCTTCACAATGTTAGGTTCATCAAGAAGATTATATATTTCTTGATTATCCCTCCTGAGGTGTGCTTGACCGACTCTTCTAGGTCCATAAATGCACCACAGAATTCTTCTCTCAAAAGCCATTAAACTTTGCTCATCCATCCGTGGTACGTCAGGACCGTTCTTATCAGCGTCTTATACAGCCGTAATGTAATTTTGTTGTCCGGAAGAGATACTTGCTGCTTAGATGTCTTCCTAGTCATTAACATCGGTTAGCAATGATTTTTCTCCTCTCAATTTCCTTTGTGATGTAATTTCCCGCAGTTATCAATTATCCCAAGTAGACGAACTCATCCACTTTTTCAAACTTATAGGAGCCAAATTGCTTATTATTTACCAAGATACCAAACTCGGAGGTCATATACTTGGTTTTAACAGCATTTACACCTAGTCCCAATTGTCGGGCTATTGCTTCCAGTGCAAGGAAGGTCTCACGAACTGGAATCTTGGGATCTGCCGACAATATCTAGATCGTCCGCATAACCAAGAATCTGAACCATTCTGTTAAACACTCTTTCTGTTATTTGGATCCGTGCATCTCGTACCGCTTTCTCTAAAGCAATGTTGAAGAGCAGACGTGCCATTTGTTGCAAAGCTCATCTTTGAAAATTCGCCATGTACACGCACCACATACATCGATTCTGCCATTGTTAATTTAACCAGTCGAATAAGTTTCTTTCGGATGTTTAATTTCCACATCGGTTGATAAAGAGGTTCACGTACTACGCTGTCATAAGCAGCTTTAAAGTCTACAAACAGGTGATGCGTATGGATGCAATATTCTCTGCTTCGTTCCAGTATAGTACGGAGTGAGAAAATCTGATCGACCGTTGAATACCTTTGCGGAATCCGCACTGATATTTTCTCAGTAAACCCTCCACATACGCAGAAGTTCAACTTCTTCAAAACTATGATATCCCCAGACTTGGCAAACGCAATAAATTACTGATCGCACGGCAGCATTGTAAACATCTAATTTATTTGATAATGATATTTCATTATTTATTAATATGCTATTAAAGGATGTATTAAGTTAAAATTTTAAGATGTGCAACTTATCTAAGAAATGAATTTTCAGGTTACATAGAGGAGTCAGGCGTATTCCCAGATAATTGTAATAATTTACAATTTCCAAGTGATGTGCTTCCATTTACCATTTCTCGTTCTTTTCCTAATTTTCCTCCATTGCGAAATACCATAGTTTTTATGTTAACTGACAAATTCCATTAGCTACTGTACTCCGCTACTCTATTTATCATCGTTTGAAGAATTTTAGGTGCAAGCAAAACAATATCATCGGCGTACATTAGACACCTTATATTTACACCTCCTACTTGAATTCTTCCACCTATGAAGTCAAATAAATTATTTATAAACAGTGGCAACAAAGCGGGTGAGAGCAAACAACCCTGCCTCAAGCCTACTGATGTTTTTTAAACGTCTCCGTAACGCCGCCATTGGTCCACACACAAGATAATTAAAAAAAAAAGCGAGTTCCTGTCTAGTGAGTCAAAAGCTGACTTATAATGAAGGATTAGATTTGGATATATTGTACTCAAAATTACAGACACAGAATATTTCTCGACAAAAGTACTGATGATTACGGATTACGATTGAACTGTGTTCACAGATAGGATAGATGTATATCGCTACTGATAGTGCAAAATGTCATATGTTAAAATTGAGTTTTATTACCAAAGAACATTAAAACCTATTATTTATTTATGATTTATTAGTATAATTTTATATTTTATTTTCCTATTTAGCAGACTTCTTATTGCAATGCAGACAACATAATTTCACCTTTAGCGAAAAGAGAATGAACATATAAAATTGTTACATACGACCTTTTGCACTAATAGTAGCGATATACGGGTTGCCTATATTTTTACATATTTCCGGGTTCCACACATTTTCCAATAAAATTTAAGAAACTAAAACTTGAGAGACAACTTTAACTAAAGCAATCGATGTTTTACGAGTATAAAAAAGTATTCAGTTTTTCAAGGACTAGGATTACATAGATTAATTTTAAAGAGTAGACCAGAAATATATACGACAAGAGTAAGATAAATGAAAAAATTAGATTTTCTCTGTCATTGAGGACCAACTTCTAGCATAGTGTAAATAGTAGAGCACTAGTAAACTAGAAGGCCAGTCACTATCCCGCCAGTACTATTCTAGTCATTCAGCCTATCATTTCAGCGACTGGGAGCTTGTAAATGAGCCTTTATATTTATCTAGGATAATATAAAATGAAACTTTTTGACAATTTAATATTCGTCTTGGCCGTTGATATCGCCATGAAGTGATAAAGTTATTAACTATGTCAAACTTCTTTACTCTACTCCGAATAAATAAGAGAATTACAAACTAAGGGCCCTCTTCGATCTATTAAAGTCTGTGGACTATGTCCCCGATGGTAGAAGATCCTACGGCAGACCGAGAATACGTAGACCGTCTGTGCAAAAATAGAAATAAGAATATACGCCAAGCCAGAAATCTTGCAAGGATCAGGGAACATTGGCAATCCTGGTTAGACGCTCCCCTACGCTGAAAGGCACTACAGGGTGATGCTAAAGAAGAAGGGTCCTCTTTGATACCAACACGATAGGCCTCGATCAGTATAATACTTAGTATTGTATTATTAGTTTATAGTTGGCTGAATCTTAATTGAAGAGAAAATTTCCAGTAGAGTTAACTATTTACTTCGAAAGTAAACTGTTCTCAATATAGTCATTATAAAGTATGGGACTGCTACAACTGTTTGTGTTGAACATATTCTAGATAATAATATATTCTTTATACACATAAAAATGTTTTCCTAGAATCGTTTATATTTCAAGTATAATATACAATATATAAGGAAGAAGGATAGCTATCTATTGCGAAGATTCTCGAGCATACATTCTAATTGTAATATAAAATAATCAATAAAATTTAATACTATAATATAATTATTACCAGCATTGACTCCTGATGGAGCATTGGGCATCTAAAAGTGCGTTCCAATCCACTCTTTTTGCAGAAATCCTTTTGTCTCTGGCCAAGTCATGCCAGCCCGGGTCAGGTCATTTTGAACAGATCTGCAACATGTCTTTCTCTTCTTGTTTCTTGGGGATTCCATCGCAAAGCTTCTTTCTTTATGGCACTATCTGTTTTCCTCAGTGTGTCCAATTCATTTTCATTCCATTTCCTTATTTCGAAGTGGATAGGAAGCTGTTCTGTAGTACTTCAGAGCTTTTCGTTAGAGATCCTCTCAGGCCACCAGATCTCTAGGATTCTTTGCTAGCAGCGGTTGATGAAGGTCTGATATTGTCGGGTAACCGTTTTAGGCACCTTCCATGCTTCACTGCTGTAGAGCAGGACTGATTTTAGTCGGTGTTAAACATCCTTATTTTTTTTTTATTTATTTATTTTTTTTTATTTCTTATTCTTTCGTACAGTTAAATAAAAATAAGATAAAACAATATAATTTCAGCATAAAATATCTATACTTTTCAAATATACGGATAAATATCTAAAATTAGTTCTTTGGTTTATATTTTCGAGTGGACAGCATGAACGAGTCACTTCAGATTATTTAGAATTCTACTGTCATAGATGATTAAATTTTTAATTTTGGGGCTTACCTATGAACATACTAATGTGAAGATTAGAACTCCATTCGAACCAGCAACCTATTAACCCACTTAAGCCCAATCTTGATCTTCCTTGTAAATTTTCAGCTTCCATCTAAATATAGAAGTAGTTACATCAAACAATGAAACCCTTTGTTATGAATTTTGTTGTTAGTGATCAGTTAAATTTTAAGATATTACCTGCCTATAAATAGCAAGTATATTTATTTTTTCTCAAATATTTTTCGGTAGAAATGGTCTTTAACTAATAAAAAATATAAAATTTAATTATCGGAAATTACTTACATTTTATAAAATTTATTTTACTAAATTTAGTTAATAACTTAATGAACTAAATTTATTTTATTTTTTATGTCTTTAATTATATGTCATTATACTTCAAAAGTAACCAAACACATAATTTATAGGGTTGGAGAGGAAGTTCAAAAACTTAGTGTTATTTCTTCTATACCTGATTTATTTAGAGAGGATCCGACGGGATGCTTACAAAAGCTTTTTCCAAAAATGCAACAGGTACGTTTTAATGTTGAATATTCTTAAACATTGTATGTAGTAGGAATTACATTATAATGAATGAATGAATGAAAATAATTTTATTATTCTGGGACTAGTGTCCCTTTAGAACAAGTTACAAATATAGAATATATATTTATATTTTGGTGTGTCCATAAAATACAATTTAATATTTACAGGTTGATTAGGAATACAATAAAGTTATAAATAATAAAAATATATAAAAACGTGTAAATATAAAATATACAGAGAAAGTAATTAAGTAAACGAAATATCGATGAATCACAAAATAATCAGAGTATGTGGGTGTACTTTGAGGTTTTTACAGCTTAGGTTTTTAAGTTTATTTCGTGATCAATCAGATTGGGAATGGAGTAGGTGTTTGAAGAGGAGAGATTTGAAAGAGGATATTGATTTTGCGTGTCGAATATCTGAAGGTATAGAGTTCCAGAGGGAGACAACTTGTATTAAAAAGGATTTATCAAACGCAGCAGTTCGGTGAGGAGTAGGATAGAGGTCGGACGCACAGGATCTGGTGGGACAGGATTGAAAGGAGCGTTTGAATTGTAGGATCTGAAGAATATAATCAGGTCGCCGTGTTCTGATGGCTTGGTATAGGAAGGTAGCAAGGAAATACTGACGGCGGTAGGACGGATAAAGCCACTTCAGCTTGGTGTAGAACTGAGTAATATGTGCATCCCTTGAGATCCCGAAGATAAAGCGGATTGAACAATTCATTAGACGTTTAAGTTTAGCTTCGAGTTCTCCCGAGAGTCCACCATACACCATGCAGGTATAGTCGAATTAGGGGAAAACAAGAGAGGAGACCAGGAGTTGACGGGTTTTGAACGGAAGAAGATAATGTAGATGGTTAAACTGTTTCAGGGTGGATATAGTACGGTGGGAAATTTGGGAGATGTGTGGTTTCCAGGAGAGGCTTTGATCGAGGGTAACACCTAGGTTTTTAACAGTGGTATGGAAGGAGATAGATGAGTTGTTCAGAAGAAGATTAGGAGGGGCTGAAATGGATTTGAGGAGTGAGGGAGATCCGATCAGGATGGCTTTTGTCTTCTCCATATTTAATGTCAGCTTATTAAGATTTGCCTATGCGCATAATCTATTGATGTCTTGTTGCAGTTTCAGGATGGCATTAGAGGAATCTGTCGGGATGAAGGAAAGATAAATTTGGACGTCATCGGCGTATAGGTGATATTGACAGTGTATGATAGAGGAAGGGAGGTCATTGATGTAGATGGAAAAGAGGGTGGGGGATAATGAGGAACCTTGTGGGATGCCTCTGGACAGAGGTACAGACATTGATTGAGGGTTATTAGGAACTAAAACGTACTAGGAACGATCGGTGAGAAAGGATTGGAACCACTTAAGGGTACTAGATGATAAGGAAAATTTTTTAAGTTCGGTTAGGAGGATATTATTGTCAACTGAGTCGAATGCTTTAGAGAAATCAAGAAGGATCAGGATGGTGAGTTTCTGTTGATCTATGGCTGTGTGGAGATCTTGGGAGATTTTAATGAGGGCAGAATGAGTGGAGTAGTCTGGTATAAAACCAGACTGGAAGCAGTTCAAATGTTTATTTTGTTCGAGATATTGGGATAGTTGAGATTGTACTATTCGTTCTAAAGGTTTGGAAAGATTAGATAACAGGAAGATTGGACGGAAATCATTAGAGGTTGTGGGATTAGAGATTTTGTTCAGAGGACAAACAAGAGCAGTTTTCCAGGTGCTGGGAAAAGTGAAACTTTATAGTGAGAAATTATAGATATGATAAAAGGACTGGGAAAATGGATGGAAGTGAAGATTTAATTAATTTAACTGGGATATTATCTGGTCCGAAATCTTTGGTTTGCGATTTACAAATGGATTTAAGGAGGTACTTGATTGTCCTGACTTTAAGAGGAGCATGAAGGTCTAGGATAATGTGCAGTTGATTGGTTAAGGTTTCTACCATAAAATCAACAGAGTTAGAAGAGTATATGGAGTCCCATTGGATTGCGTCAAGATCGGGCATCAAAGTTTCGGATGATAGGAGATTAAGGTTTCTGAAAGATATAGATAAGGAGACTAAATAGAGGAACAGGAAGATTATAGGAGATCTGTATGAAATCATGAGCAGACAAAAATGGAACCGGGTGCTGTGATGAGGTGAGGAGTTTATCAGAAGAGTCAATAATGCAAAGATCGAGCCAAGAGTCTGAGTATTGGGTGTGATGGGTAGGGTTGTACGGAATTATATACAGATTAAGAGAGTAGAGGAGGTTTGAGGCTTGGTCAGAGGAAGGAAATAATAGATTGGTATTGAAATCTCCGAAAAGAGCAATATTAGAGTAGGAAGGGCTCAGTTCGTATAGGATGGTCTCGAATGTTTCATCAAAGGGGATTCTAGGAGGTCGGTAGATGATACCAATGAGCAATAAATATGAGGAGGTGGATGTTTCAGCAAAAAGAAATTCGATATGTGGGGAAATGGAGAGAGGAGACAAAGCAAGGATTTTGGATTTCAGGCTATCATGGATATAAATGGCTATGCTGATTCTATTTTCTCTATCATGATGGAGTAGGGTATAGTTAGGGAGTGAAACTTGAGAGGATGTGACTGTGGGTTTTAACCAAGTTTCTGAGACAGCGATTATGTGGTAGAAGTTGTGGAGGAAGAAATCATGGAATTCATCTAATATAATGTGAAATTAAATTAATGAAAAACTACATTGATGTCTACCAAAGCAAATAGTTGTTTGGAACTTGGAACTGGAAGCCTCTGTGCCGTATGTCAAAACTGGCTGTACAAGGGTCTTGTATACAATCAGCTTGGTCTTCTTTGAGAGGTACCTACTTCTTAAGTGTCGGCCAAGTCCAAAGACACATCTGTTGGCAGCCGTGATCCTTCTCTGTATTTCTTGAAATATGTCATTCTTGCTATTTACTTCAGACCCAAGGCATATAAAGTTTTTAACTCTTTAAAACTTAAAAGATCCTACCTCAAATGGAGAGTTCATATCCACCTCGCCACCAACTCTTATATACTTGGTTATCTTCTCGTTGACTTTTAGACCAAGTCATCTTGCAACTGCTTCAAGGGCTGTAAATGCTTCTCTGAGAACACGTTCAGACTTTCCTATGATATCAATATCATTAGCAAAACCAAGAAGCTGTGTCAGGCAATTGAAGATTATGTCGCTCGTCTGAATACCGGCCTCTCTTACAGCTTTTAGAGGTGTCAGAACCGACACGTATTCTACTTTTCAAGCTGTCCATGGTCATCTTGATTAGGCGTATGAGTTTCTGAAGGATGCTCCAAGGCATGGTATAGTTGTGTCCTATCAACGCTGTTGTATGCTGCTTTAAAGTCCACAAATAAATGGTAAATGACTACCTTATGCTCCATACTCTTTTCTAGGATCATTCTGAGAGAGAACAGTTGATCAGTCGCTGAGAGTCCTCATTGAAATTCTGTCTGATATTTCCACAGTTCCTTTTCAGCATATGGGATGATCCTCACAAAAAGAATGTTAGAGAGCAGCTTATAAGCACACGACAGGAGTGAGATTCCTCTATAGTTAGTGCATTCTATTTGATCTCCTTTCTTATGTATTGGGCAGATAATGGCTGTTGCCCAATCCATAGGCATAGACTTATGTTTTTTAGAAACCTTTTTTTTGGTTGTCTAAGAGGGATTCTGTTTTTTTCTCTTGTTTTATTTTAAATTCTTCCTCTATTTCCTTTTTTACTGGTATTTCAATTAATATACAGATTTTCCTTGGTTCACGACCTTGTATTTTATCTTTCCGAGGCCCAGCTTTTGGAAGAGATCGAACAATTTGAGTACTGATTACTAGCCCTACTTTTTCATATCCTTTTGGCTAGCAATCAGAGGATCGTTTGGTTGTTGTGATTTATGACGTTGGCCTATTAATTATATTTTGGTTGCATTAGGATAAATAATGAAATATTTAATGTTTTAAATTTTTTTTTAAAGTAGGGATATGGTATTTTGCTAGTAACACATTTAAAATAAAAGTAAAGGAGGGTCAACCCTCCCTTAGGTTAGGTGGGTCAATGCTCCCTGAAATGTCATTATGTGTTCAACTTATTGTGTGCATCGTAAATTTGAGGTTATCCAAACAATATAATATAAAATATCAATTGATAGCCGATAAAATACACTTCCAGAATAACTTAGTCTTTTAGTCTTTAATTTAATACCGTTTTGTACATTATTTACATTATGTGGTGTAAAAGCTACAGCCAAGATGCAAAAAATCTTATTCCTTGCATTACAACCAGAGAACACTCAGTTTTCCTTCCAAACTGAAACAGACTGTATATAACCTTTTTTGTATAAGCTGTGATTGATGGACAACTTCAAAGACAGCTGTTTGGCGAACAATTTAAATGTGGGTCAAGCCTTCCCTATGGTCAATGGTCCCCAGTCTCCCCTGCTATGAAATACTTAGTAATTAATTAAATTGAGTATTTTTTAAGTGATGGCTACCTCATTAAAAAAAATGGTTTTTCATCCTTTCTGAAATTTTATTTGAGATATTATTAGGTCACCAGCTATATATATTTAAAGCTTAATTTCAGTTCAAGTTGTCTATTTGACCAATTTTAATATGACAAGGAATTCAACTCCATTTGCATATCTCACTGTATTGTTTTTAAAATAATCTGAAATAATTAATTATCAGATTATTTCTCAAACAACCAATTTCGAGAAAGAAATCAAACTTTGTAACTTATCTTTGCTTGCTTAACCACAGTTATTATTATAGTTTGTTATTTTAAATTAAATAAGAAATTGATAAGTTGTATGTGTTAAGATAGCAAAATGCTTGAGAAATTTTGTGTGAAACTTTGTTAAATTTATTGTTGTTGCTCAGAATTTTAATCATATAGTCTTGTTTCAGAGTTTGCCAAATGCAAGCACAGAATTCCATGTTGCTACAAGTCAGACAGTCAAAACAATAATAGAAAAGAAGATAATCCCAACAGACATGTTTGTTCAAACGTTTCTACATACAATCTTATTAGGTTTGGAGCACCGAGATGCTAGTATGTATATTTAAAATATATTTAAGGCTTGGTTTACATATGCATGCTATGCTGTAACAGGAAATACATTCAAATACTTGGTGAAATTGTAAATAGTTGTTATGACTGAAATTCTATTACTAAGATTATTTCTGGGTGTATCCAATTAAAGTTGATTCCCCAACAGAAAACTAAAACAATTTGTGTTCTGTTTTCACAAAATAAATACCTTACTTTCACATTCACTAATGAACAGCAAAACATTCTTGCTTTTTATTTAGCTATTTTTGAATTATCAAATATTAAAACTAATCATTATTATTAATGACTGATACTTTATATTTATTATTTTTTTAAATTTAATTTTAATAATACATAATAAATAAATAGTTAATGTTACAATAACTTGTTTTCTATCATATTTTTAATAAATTAAAAATATCACTAAATGATTCATAATTAGTAAATAATAAAACTATTTATTAATTATTTAGAATCTTTCCTTCTGACACTACAATTTGTGATGAGTCAGATCTTCCTGTAGCATCAACCTCTTGTTATCTTACTGCATTGCTGCTGCTTTCCAATCTTGCATATCTTGATGAAGGTTTCTTAATAGTTTATATTTAAGGAAAGGGAGTTATCAGCCCAGATTCTGCCCTGATCCAGGTGCAGGGATTACCTCTGAAAAGGCTACCTAGAAGAGGAAGGGAAGAAATTCCATCACTAAATATTATTTAGGTTGCAACTACTTAGCAAGTTTGTTGTCTCTACCCTAAGGCTTACTGGCCACCGAAAGCGCAGCTGAGCTGAGCTGAGTGTAACAAGAGGAGGTTGGCAACTGATTGCGTAGCGGAGCTCAGCTCAGTCAGCAACTTGTCTTGCATCGGTACCCTTCTCATATTTCATAAAACATTTTTAAAAAAGTATATGTAGCATATATAACATTTTTAAAAAATAGAAAAGTTGATCATGTCGGAGTCGAAAAGAAAAATCAAATATTTGTGTTTAAAATAGAATATTTTTGCTTACACATTCAATTAAGAATTCTTCCACATCCGTAGCATATTTTACACTGAACAAAAATAAAATAATTTGAGAGGTTGTACAGTGAAAACAAGTGGATAACATTTTTTAAAAAGGTAAATATAGCATATATATATATAATATTTTAAAATATATAGCAAAGATGATCATGTCATACAATATTTTTGTATAAAATAGAATATATTCCCTTACACAGTCAAGAATTCTTCCACATCCATTGCATATTTTACACTGAATCAAAATAAAATAATTTGAGAGGTTGTGCAGTGAAAACAAGCAGAAAAAAAGGATGACACTGAGGAACAAAACTCCACTGTTGTGAGACAGTGGTGAGTGGGTGTGGTGGGTGAAGCTGAGCCTAGCAGAGTCAGCTTCCGAAACCGAACCCCGGTCATCCCAAAGCTGACCCTTGCTACACTGTTCAACTATGGTCAGCTCAGCTTCTGGTGGCCGGCCTCTCTTTGAAAACGTTTGGTTCGGTTTTGGAAACTCAGCTATGCTCAGCTCAGTTCTGTGCTTTCCATGGCCGGTTGGCATGATATAAGAATAGTTTTGGTACAAGCAAGAGCCTGTTTCTATTCCTGAATTTGTTAATAAAACATAAGATTATTTAAGTGTGTTTTTACGAGATTAACTGAAGCATATAACTGTTAGAGCACAACCGAGATGAAACAGTTTCATATTACCTCATAACATCCATGTGTAAACCCAGCATAATTGTAATTGCCTCTTATTCATTGGTTATTCTTAATTTTAATGCAATATTTCTAATCAGTATAAATTTAAAAATTGATTTGTAATATTTTTAATTTTGCATTTTATTTTGTATATTTTAGTGGTAGCTGACGCCTGGTTAAATTGCTTACTAGAAGTTATTCCTTTTCTTCCTTATAGTATATTATCAAAAGAGGTAATTTTTTATCTTTTTATAGTTTCCTGTATTGTTGTGTATATTATGTTTTAAAGCTTGAATCTCTCAAACTTTTGTAATCAAAATTTCTAATACCTATCATTTAGAAAATGTTGCTGAACTATTTTTTCTCAACTTTTTTTGTCCTCTCTTTCCTTGCCTGTTAGACTAGAGAGTGTTTTTGTTGGGCCGGGGAAAGGGCAGGGGATTAATGCCAGAGTTAAAAGCCCCCATCTTCCTAACACTGGGACGCAAACTCGTCATTATTTTATTATCTTTAGTTAATCCTGATGCCGGACAATACGTGTTTTGCACGTTAGCCTGTTCTACCACCTCACTCCCTATTTTTTTTTTCTCAACTTAAAGTTCTTCATCCATCAAATGTTTTTTATTTCACTAATTGAACGTTTTTTCTTCCTCAATACCAAAGGTAAGGAAGCATTGTGTTCGTGCTAGAGGTTAAAAAAATTTTATGCTCAGAATCAAAAATTTCCACTCGCGTTTTATATTTCAGACATTAAGGATCAAATTTGGTTTGGTGTCTGTCTAGTCAAATCGATTTAACGTGCATATCACCTACCACTGTTAATCCGATTTTCATGAAATTTTCAGAGATTGTGCAGGTTGGTGCCTGCATGGTCCCATATCAATTTTTATCAAATTCCATCCATCCAGCACTTCCGCTTACGCAGGCAAAAACATATTTTTTTAGATATGCCAATATTTTACAAATGGCTCGTTTGATTTGGCTGAAATTTGGACTAAAGGTAGGTATTAATAAAAAAACAATATAATATAAATTTAATTGAATTCCGTCCTCTAATTTCTCTTTAACTTGTGCAAACGTGTTTTCCTTGATTCTTTAAAACCACACCTTCGATTTGGCTTAAATTTGGAGGTAATTTTGTTAGAGATTGATAAACAGATATGTGTCATTAAGTATGTATAAATTTTATCAAATTCTATCCACTACTTCCAAAAATAATACTTCCGCTTTCAAATGAGGAAATGTATGATTTGACATGCCTATAGTTTGAAATTGGCTTGTTCGTTTTGACTTAAACTTGGAGGAAATCTGAAGAATAGTTTATAAATTACCTAGTCGCAATTTCATTAAATTCTATTTAAAGATTAAAATTAATATAAATAATTGTTAACAATATAACAATGACTATGAAAAGCATTGATCATATGGAGTAGGAGTTAGGTTGAGACAATATTTTTATGGGGTTATAAAATTTTAGGTTTTATTGAAAAAGTTAATTTATACTGTATTGTTTGGTCAATTACAATTGTTAGTGGTATGACACTTGCTGCCCTTACTTAGATTTCTCGTTATTTTCAGTAAAATTAAATTACAGAGTAAAGAGACATACAGAGCCCTCTATGTTTTATTACCCTCATGGATGATGTTATTAAGGAATGTAAGAGGAAAACAAAGGAGGCACCACTTGGATATTGGAAATAGCAACCAGTCAACTGTTCATCGTTTACATTTGCTGATGAAATTATGCTTAATAGCTGACAGTAAAGAAAAGTTACAGGAAAATTCATATGTCTGGACAGAAAAGTTAGCAAAAAGAAATATGGTCATTACCACTTCCAAGACCAAGTGTATACTGGTATCCAGAAACAAGGAGAATTTTGTGATTCACATTCATGAGGAAATGATACAGCAGGTTTCTACATTCAAGTATTTGGGTGTGATGATCAGAGCGGGAAGATCAAAGACGAAATAAATACAAGAGTTGCCACTTCAGGAGGGATGTTCTCTGCTATCATTAGGAAGTTTTTAAGTAAGAGAGAAGTGGCAAAAGAAACAAAACTAGCCGTCTCGCTCGATGTTCATCCTTATCCTCACTTATGGAAGTGAATCCTGGGCCCTGAAACAATGTGATTGTAGCTGCCTTCAAAGCATGGAAATGCTGTATCTGTGGGAAATAAGAGACCAAGAGAGACCAGATTAGTAACCCAACGATTCGGACTAACTAAAAATTGAACCTCTCAACCAGACAATAGAGAAAGGAGGACAGCTTCGATGGTTCGTTCATGTAATGAGGATGGATGGTTCAGCAAAGAAAATTATGGAGATTAAACCGGCGAGAAAACTACCTAGAGGAAGACCAAGAGTTACTTGGGAAGATAATCTCAAGAATATTCTTAAAGATAGAGGAATTGGATGGCCGGAAGCTAGGAGAGCAGCCCTTGAAAGAGAAAGATGGAAATACTTATACAAAAATCTCTACACCAAAAGGTAGTACAGAATATTGAGTAATAATAAGAAGATCATTTCGTTTTGAGACTATTTTTTCCCTTTTTGCCTCTCTAACATGTCATCGCATTAAGATACAATTTAGAAAACAGCCCATTACAGAGAGGATGAAATGCTGAACAATTCCCTCGCTTACAGTATGTGGGTCACATTTTTAGTTTCCGAGATATTTTAATTCATATCTTTAATAAAACTCGTTATCATTTGGTTTTGTTTTCAACACTTTTTTTTCCCTTTCTGCCTCTCTAACAGGGCATTACGTTTAGATACATTTTTGAATAATAACTCATTAGAAAGAGAATGAAGTGATGAACATTTCCCTTGTTAACAATGTGCAGGTCCGATTTTTAGTTTTTGAGGTATTTTGATCCATATGCAAAAAAATCATTTCAATTAGTCGACTCCAGCTGACTTTACCCAAGTATTACACTTCGGAAATCTGATGACTTAATCTAATTCACTCTCGACAAAAAAAGTGTAAAACGTGCTTTTAAAGAAATTTTCATTTAAACGCCTTAAAGAAATTTTCACTTAATATGGGATATGCGTGTTATTGCAGCATGCGTATAAAATGCAGTATGCACTGAATTTTTTTTCTATTAAGAATTATCAAATATGCAATCTGCAAATGTGGAACTCTTTCACATTTTAGTATTTGCTGTTGAACAAAACTCGTGGATATCAAACCCGTATATGTTGATTGAGGGATTACTGAATTTCTGAAAAAGACTTCTCCCAGAGATTTTATTCTCCTACAGAAAATTTTAGACCTTGTAATATAACTATTTTTTAGCCAATGAAAACGGTGAGAGCTATACTGATCTTACTTGGCAGACGTTTTTTTTCTTTGCGGTCTCGCTGTTTCATTAATTCACATTTTTATTACATATACAGGATGTATTGTCACAGCAATCAGCCCAGGTTTGATGGCTGGTAATCTCTTCAAAATTTGCATGATCATGGGTTATCACTTTTCTTTTGACATTAGTTTTTTGTGCTATTACAAAAACAAAATATAAAAGACAGGATCATATTATTATGTTGTAATTGTTGGCTGTTACCTATATTGTAAAAAGAAAAATTATTTTTCACTTTTTTAATGTCTCCATTATAACATTAATCATGGCTGTCACACAAAATTGTGATCAGCTTGAATGTGTGCTAATTTTAAAGAAGATTTATTTGTTTGTAGTGCATTGCACAAGAGAAAAATAGTTGTTACATTCCAATCCATTGTAAATTGCATTGATATATTTCACAGATTCAACCTGTTGCTGTACAAAGGGCTGCCATCCAAAAATCTGTGGCTATTCGAATTTCAGCCTGTAAAATCATCGGGGCTCTGAGCAAGAAGTACTCAGGTTCTGAGTAAGTTCTATAATATTGTTTAATTTTGAAAAGTTTTTTGAATAACAATATTTAAAGTAATTTTTCATCTTTTAAATTGTATAGTTTCTGTATGTTTACATGCACCAATGCAAGCGACAGAATGTACTTACTATGATAACATTATTAACTTTAAGAAGAACAGAACAACAAAAAAACACAGTATGAATAAAGTAATTTTGAGGAAAAGAGGTTAAGTTTTTTCCCCTTTCTATACCTCTTTGGTACTGTTAGGTGTAGAATAGCTTCAGTCCATATCTAATAGATGTCTTTATCTAGTGCCACAATTTAAAGTTGATCCATAGAACAAATGTGTTCTCTATAACATCTACGTAATCACTATAGCTACCTCTTGGTCTACTTGACCAGAGTTAAATATTTAGAAAAGAAAAAAAGGTATTTTAAGAGCACACACTAATTTGATTAGTAGTGATTGGTTATCGCTGGTTGAAGTTGCCGCTTCTGTTGAATTTGATGCAAACATATTACTATTACGATTATATTTCTATTAATTGAATTATGGTCACATTACCCAGAGTGAGAGTTAAATAAACAAAGATGAATATGGAAGATATAGCTTCCCAATGCTGAATTTTGTCGAAGAGAGAATCTTTGAAGACATCCCCACATCTTCCCTAATTCTTTGTTGACCCCCAAATATATCATTGTATATCCATCATTAATTACATTTTGTCAGTTCCTTCTTCTTCAACTTGCTTAATTCCAGAATATCTACCTTATATCTTTGAATTTCAGAGATGACTTCTGTTATTTTTCTTTCAGAGTTTTTTTGCCATTTGCAGAGAAGGTTAGCTTCAAAATGATAGTCTTTGATTTTCATAAAATATTAACAAAATTATAGTGTACTGACTAGAAAAAACACTTTTGAGAAACAATGCATGAAGAGTGCTATATTTATTAGATATTTTTATATTTGTTAAATTTCAGAATTTTTTTTCCAGATTGAAACGAGAACTTCTTCCTATTATTCTGTCATTATGTCAGGATGTGAATGCCGACGTAAGAGCTACAATATGTCCACAGTTGTCACTTGCTATACTCCCTATTGGGACTGAAGCAGCTCGAACTATGCTTTTACCTGTGATTGTTGATCTAGCATCAGACGAATCTCCTAAAGTCAAGGAAATAGCTTATACGACCATTGTGGATGCTGTTCCATATTTTTCCATTGGTATGAATATCTAATTTATTTACAAATTGATATCCTTTAGCTGAAAACTCTGCTTGAGCTGTAAAGAGACTTGTTTCTCTTATTTTTTTCTAATCTTCATTATTGTTTAATTTGCTACATCTCAGCAGGGTGTTCTGCATTTGGGAAAAATCAGGAAATGTATGAGGATTTACTTGTTTATTAAAAATTTTTACGTTCTCTTACCTATATATGTAATATATAGTAAGTGTAAGTATTGCGATCGTGAAAATTTTTGAATCTGAGTTTTCAACAGAAATACACGTTTTGAGGTCCTCTGGGTCCAAATAACCAAGTCCCGAAAAATGGTCTGTGTGTATGTGAATACTCTAGCTTGAAACTGAAAAGTCGTACGAAACTGACATTACATATTTAAGATGGATATATGCCTTAGATGTCCTGGGAACTTTTTCCTTAAAATCGGCTTACCGGAAGTGTCACTTTATATCGACTCTGAAACAGATTTTTACAATTTTCTCAAAAACGGCTGTAACGATTTTGATTAAACTTGATGTATCATTGTATAATTAAGTGGTCTTTAATATCATTTAGGTCTTATCCCCGTTGATGTCACTTTACAGGGCTTAAATACCCAATGTTCATATGCGTCTTCCTAATATATTTACAATATAAATATATTTAGGCTTGACAACGTTTTTTTTTTTGAGAGGCAAAATTAATAGAGAAAATGGAATGTTTCAGTTTTTTGGGTTTAGCTTAAAATTCAAAATAAAAAAAGAAAAGAGCTTTTGTATGAAACAAAATCAGAATTGAACTAAATTAATAGTAACTAATAATTGAAAACTATAGATAACTTAGTAATAATTCAATTGAAAGTGCAACTAAAACATTAATTGTTATTCATTAGCAGAAAACTAATATTGGTAAAAAAAAAGTTAGTTGTCAGTTGAAATGGAAGATAATTTATTTTTTTACTATAAAAAATTAGTTGTAATTACAACTAATTTCTTTCATTCATAGGTTCAATACAATTGTTATAGCAGCGGGGTGGCCGAGCAGTCTAATGCCTGTTCAGACCACCATGCAATGCCCGGCAACCCGGATCAAAGATAATCAGATAAAATAATTAGGAGTTCGTATCCTGGTGCCCGGGGGGTGGGAGGGGGAGGCTTTTAACTCTGGCATTAATCCCCCGCCCCCATCCCCTTGCCCAGGAAAACCCCATACAAAAGGGAAACAACCCATTTGTCGCCTGAAAGGCGAGAAAGGGAATGACCCTCTCTAAAATGTTATGTTTAAATTGAGAACGAATATGAAGTTAACATAAAATCAAAACAGAAGAACAGATAATGTTAAGGCTATTCAAAATTTTAACGTCTTATAATTTTTTTCTGAGAAATGAGTCCGTAGGAGTCCAAAACTTTTAATTCATATCCTGCTGTCTGAAATTTATTAATATAGGACATTGTGGATTTGTTTATTACTACTGAGCATAACAATTTTGCATGCTCATTTTATTTGCTTCAAAACTATTATCTCAATGATATTTGATGGGTCAAGTGGATAAGGAATATTTTTGAATTCTAAAAAAACAAAATGGAATTTCTGTTTTTACTATAAGTTCAATGTTTATCTTCATTGAGTATCTCTGCCAATTTAGCTATGGACCAAGTATTGATTTTATGTGAATAGAAATAAGAAATATTAATAATATATTGTTCTATTATTACCAATTATTCAGTTTATCTTAAAAGTGCACTTTATGCACTTTATCCACTAGGCCCTACTAGACATAGTTTACACAATTCGGCACTGTGTAGCCATCTAAATTCATCAGTATATTCTTCGTTCTTTTAAATAATCCACTCAATTCTTAATTTTCAAAAATCTTGCTTTGCTCTTCTACCTTAGTTACAAGCAGCCACACTGCAACTAAACCACACAACATAAAGAACAGTAGGATTGATAATTTGATAATAGTTTTAAAAATTCTAATTTTTAATTTTCAATACAGAATGCTAATTTTACGATTGAAATAATAAGTTTTTTTTTTTATAAAACTTATTTATTGAAAAATATTACAATCTGTCTCTAGGACAAAAATAATAAGTAAAAGTAAGAATAAGTAATTTCGAACATTAACTGAAAAATAATATTGAGTTCCTCCTTTCAATGTGGTATTGTATTGATTTCTTCTTCAATTTTGTTTTTCTTGTTGAGATAGATCTTAATACCTATTCAAACAATACCTACATTTTTGGCATGGTTAAAAGTATTCCCTTTCATGTCTGGATCATTGGAATTGTCTTATCTGTATTTATTGGAAGCCTCTTTTCTTTTCCATCTTTCATCAACATTGTTGATAAAACAGACAGTTTTAATAGTTTCTCTGTCTTCACTCCACAGCACCAAATCATCAGAATAACCGACTGTATAATTTTCCTACCAGTTTTAAACTTTTTTGCTATATATTTATTACCTATGGTAATAAAATCATAGAACCAAATAACTATATTAAACATATAAAATAGATAGAGATATATATGAAATGAATATATCCAGAAGACCACTTTTAAAGACTATAATCTATAGACTTGTTCTATATTATAAAAATTAATGAAAATCTATTGATTGCTGATTACAAATATTCACTTTTTCATTATAGAATGTTTAATTCATGTGTTGTAGAGCTTGAATTTGACTCAGAAATTTAATTTTATTACCTATTGAATGCTTTACTATTATTAATTAAGGATATATTTTTGATTTTATGTGGCTCAAAAATTTTTTTAAGTCAATGAATAATAGAGTGATGCTGATTGATCAAATTATAATGTTATGTATTATAATAATGCAATCTTACTTTATGGTTTGTTGCTTATAATATTTTTTAAAATTTTATTTTAGAAACTATTAAGAATGTTATCCTGCCTCTTTTGAAACAGTTATGTAACTACGCTTTTAAATTTGATGAAAATGTTTTGGTGGCTGTTGCTGCATCTTATGGAAAGATGGTGGTTGGTTTGGAGAGTAAGTGAAATAGAGAATATTTTAATTCTTTCTTTATCAACTATTGTATATGGTTTAATTCTTACTATTCCTCTATTATGATTCTTCCTATTTCAGGAGTTATTGTCCAATCTGACAAAGAGAGCTATGTAAAATCATATATTTCTTTAGCTGAAAAAGGTATTTTGCCTGGAAGAAAAGGAGCTCAAACTAAATCTCCTGTTAAATGTGATTACCAGGTATAATCTATATAATAGCTATGTTATTAAATGTTATAATCAAGGCCCGTATTTGTATGCAATTGCATATTTTGTTTGCATTATTTTCTTCAACCGCTGATCAGATATGTATACAAATTAGTACACTGTGATGCAATTAGTCAAATTTTATTTAGCATATTTTTGCATTTTTGAGGATAAATGCATATTATTGCATATTTGAAGATAAATACATATAATTGCATGATTTGAATAATTTAATGAAATAAACAATATATATATAAATGAATATTTATTGATTTATTTATACAAATTAAAATGCAATATTGAAGATGCAATTCAAGATTACAATCGTAATTTTATTTTCAATGATCTCGCCCATGAGTCCTACTTATTGGCCAACATCCCTCAAAAAACGTCCCGATATCCTGGATATATTTATCACCTCCCAGATTTCCTCCTCCCAAACTATAATCAAATCCCTGGATGACCTTTCTTCAGACCATAGTCCAGTTCTGCTTTCATTACATTCTGACTTTGCTCCTAAACCATCACCTCCCAAACTGATCACTGGACGAGTAAACTGGGACAAATTTCGTGATGATTTGGAAAACAAACTTGACCTCAAAATTCCGCTAAAGACAAAAGAAGACATTAATGGTGCCATAGAAAAACTGACATCATCAATAACAGACAGTATAAATAATAATACCTTTATCAATAAGATTAACAACCCACAAAATACTAACTTGCCACAGCATATTCGCATCTTATTAAAGGAAAAACGCAGATCAAGATCGAAGTGGCATTGAACTAGATACCCGACAGATAAAGCGCATTACACCCAACTGACTAACAAACTGAAATCAGAAATAAGAAAATTCAAAATTTACTAAATTTTACTGAAAAACTTACACCTACCGATAAATCACTATGGGCGACCACTAAAAGGCTCCTGAAATTTAAAGACTGCAACCATCCACTACTCACTGAAGCACAAACCTGGTCCAAATCCGACGAAGAAAAATCCCAAATATTTGCTCACCACCTCTTTAAAACCTTTAATCCACATCCTGATATTCTTAACCCAAATCATCTTGAATGTATTGAAGCAGAACTGGATATCCCACTCCAAATGACTCCTCCTCCTAAAGCCTTTCATCCTTCAGAAATATCCAACATCATTCACAGGTTACCTTCCCGCAAAGCTCCTGGACATGACCTAATTACATCCCAGATCCTAAAACTACTTCCTCGGAAAGCCATTCTATTCTTTACATATATATATAATGCTGTACTCCGATCAACATATTTTCCCGACCCTTGGAAACTATCCATTATCAAAATGATACATGAACCCAAAAAGCCATCAGAATACCCATCCTCTTACCGTCCTATCTCTCTTTTACCCATCATGGGAAAAGTCCTAGAAAAACTAATCCTAAAACGCCTGTACCCAATCCTAGATTCTAATCACATAATCCCAGATCACCAGTTTGGATTCCGCAGATCCCATTCCACTATCCAGCAATGCCATCGTGTGGTGGATGTTGTCTCCTCTGCATTAGAGCGCGGAATGTACTGCACGGGAGTCTTTCTCGATGTAGAACAGGCTTTTGATCGAGTCTGGCACCTGGGACTACTTTACAAACTGTAAATTCCTACATCCTACATACTTCCTCATCCGTTCCCATCTAACTGATAGATACTCAAAATTCAATCACAATAATGCTTATTCATCCCTCTTTTCCCATTCCGCTGGTGTTCCTCAAGGTAGTATCCTTGGTCCTATCCTTTTTTATAAAATGGTGTTCATAAATCAGAATCAGAATCAAAACATTCCTGCTGCTTCTACAGATTCTACAGATGCTACTGATGAATTATTTTTATACTTTCTTATTAAGTTATAATTAACCAATATTCTTTCAGATTAGGAAGATTTTCTAGAAAAAAGGTATCAGAAAATGAAATCTATCTACTCTTAAAAAATAATTTATCAAGTTATTTCTTTCTATTTCCTTTTTTATAAATTTAACGATGACATATTTTATTAAAATTAATTTCAATTTTCTATTTTTAGACTAATTCTACATTTTCGAATGAGAAATTGGTCGCATGCAGACAACATTGTGCCTATAATTACCCAGCTTTAGCTAAATTTGTTTATTCCGATAACAATAGATATCTCTTGGATATGTTGCATAGAGTATTTACTAATTTTATTGTCGATCCTTACTATTTAGTTCGAAGAACTGTTGCCTGTGCTTTCCATGAGGTGAGTTACTTTGGTACAAATTATGACAGATAAATAAATTAAAATAATTAATGATAAATACACTAATTTGACTATTTATATACTGATATGGGTTCTAGATAATTAAGATATATGCGAAATATGGTGTTTTGATGAAACCAGAAATTATTACTTTATTAAAGGATGAAGTAGAAGAAGTGATTGATGGCATTGTTCCACATTTGGGCCAGTCTCTTGTTGCATTGGTTAGAGTTGGGGCTTTTGAAGCAGAACAGCAGGTAATGCTATTTAAGTAAAGGAGTATCTTTAATAATATTCCATCATTGGCCTTGTGCACCAGATGAACAATCAGCAAAGTGTAGTAAGCGGTCAAATGGAAATAAAGAATACTCAAAATGAGTTTAACCTTATGATTTTAATATTTATCTTACCCAAAAAGTCACATGAATACCAATCCTCTTACGATCTTATCTCTCTTTTACCAATCATGGTCAAAATCCTGGAAAAACTCATTTTAAAATGCCTGTACTCCATCCTAGATTTTAATAATATAATCTCTGATCACCAGTTTGGATTCCGCACATCCCATTCCACTATCTAGCAATGTCATTGAGTGGTAGACGTAGTCTCCTCTGCTTTGGAGTGCAAAATGTACAGGAGTCTTTCTCGATGTTGAACAGGCGTTTGATAGAGTCTGGCACCCGGGACTGCTTTACAAACTCCAAAAATTCCTTCCTCCTACATACTTCCTCATTATCCGTTCATACTTTACTGATCGATACTTCAAACTAAATGATAATAATACATGTTCGTCCCTCTTTTCCTAGTTTGCTGGTGTTCCTCAAGGGAGCATCCTCGGTCCTATCCTTTATACAGTTTATACAGCTGATATCCCAACTCTTCTCAACACGGTCATCACCACCTATGCAGATGTCACTTGTATCCTATCTGTTAAATTATAACAACCCTTTAATTGCATCTCAAACCCTCCAATCACATATCACAAACCTTGAAGAATGGTGTCATAACTGGAGAATAAAAATAAATTCCAATAAATCCCATCAAATTACCTTTACCCTTTGTCGTAAACCTACAACTTCTTATCTTACAATATCCTTCAATGATATTTCACTTATTCCTGTTGAACAAATCTGCTACCTAGGACTCAACTTGGATAAACGTCTCACTTGGAATCCACGTACTAGACTGAAACGACAAGAAACTGCTTGACGTTTTCGACTGCTCCAACACTTACTAGACAAATGCTCTAAACTTTCAATTAATTACAAAAGACTCATCTACTTAACCATAATAAAACCTATATGAACATATGGAGTTGAGCTTTGGGGCTTTACCAAACGATCGAATTCCTATCGTATCCAATCCTTAAAATCCAAAATCCTTTGTAAAATCCTTATTGCCCCATATTTTGTCACAACTAAAACCATTCATAAAGACCTTAATGTTCCATATGCTGCTGATTTAGCCTGAGCCAGATATCTATCTTTTCATGATAAACTCCAGTCCCATCCGAATCCACTTGTTTCCAGCCTTGCTTCTTCCTCGATTCCTGATAATCTCCCTAGGCATCTGAAAAGAAGATGGCCTCGTGATCTTCTCACCTAGAATTAAATAGGGAGTGCTACCACTGGGCAGTATCTCTTCAAGTCTGTTCATGTCATTATTTCTAATGTGTGCATTTTTACTTGTTCTATTGTTTATAAAGTTGTAAATTTCATCAAATAAGTAAAAAATTAAAATATTTATCTTACTTATTAAGTAATAATTTAACATCTGTCATAAATCTTGTTTCGCCACTGAATAATATAACAATATGCTTTATTATGACCTTATCAAGAATTTTTTTTTTTTTTTTTACCTTAAAATGTACTTCATTCTCTATTTTATCTGAAGGACAAATTCTATACTAACTAAGACTGCATTGAGTAAAAATTAATGAAGTTCCGTTGTTGAATATCTAACTCTTTATTTCAGTTCGAGGATAAAAACACCAAATCCAACTTTCAAATGCTTGATTAATACAGATAGGTTGTGAATGAATTGCTGTGTATTGAAATATTTATATTAAATCTGCAAAGAAAAGGGTAGTTATTGAGCAGGCTATTTATTTATTTTTTAATTTTTCAGGATACATCTGTGTCTGAAATAGTGAGATCTCTTTTAAAGTGTGAAGCTCAACTTTCTGGCAGTCATAATTGGAGACTATATTGCACTTTTATCCAACAATTGGAAGTACTTTGGTATTTATTCCCATCGGAAGTAGTTTTTAACAATTTTGTTTCTCTTCTCTTTAGAAGAATAAATTCTTGTGTGAGTATCATGGTGTAAATAAGTCCATATGTATTTTTTAAAATTAAATAAAAATTGTTTCTGAAGTTAAGAAAAACTTTTTACAAATCATGAGGACTAAATAGTTCATGATTTCATAAAAATTATTGAGCCTCACTTTATGGTAGAAGTGGTGATAGTGATGGAACTGAATCTCTTTGTTTCATCACCTATTCAGCCATCTTAATATTGCAGAGAGAATTATTAATATTAAACAAAAATCGTTCATACATTTATTTTTACTTTCACTTACCTATATATGTAATATATAGTAAGGGAAAGTATTGCGATCATGAAAATTTTCGAATCTGAGTTTTCAACGGAAATACACATTTTGAGGTCCTCTTAATCTAAATAACCAAGTCCCGCAAAATGGTCTGTGTGTTTATGTATGTGATATAGCTCAAAAACTAAAAGTCGCACAAAACTGATATTGCATACTTAAAATAGGTATATGCCTTGGATATGGCAGCAACTTTTTTGTTAAAATCGACTAACCAGAAGTGCCATTAACAGTTATACACATTTTTACAATTTTCTCAAAAATGGCTCTGACGATTTTATTAAACTCGGTGTATCATTGTGTAATTCTTCTCGTGGTCTGTAATATCATTGAGGTCTTATCCTCATTGATTTCACTTTGCAGGGCTTAAATGTTCAACATGTCTTCCTAAGTACCTTTAATTTGGTTTATTTTAAATAATTAACCTTATCTCATTATTAAGAGTTAAAAAAAAAATGCTGAATATAACTTTTGAAAAAATTTGTTAATTGAAAAATGGAGACAAAAGGAAAAATGTTTATTTTGATTCATTAATCCTATGCCTATTAGGTGTGAGTTGCCTTCAGTTGGTTGACAGGCCTCATATAGATGAAAGGGGAATTCCTGGACATCACAGCTTTCCCCGGTGGACGGTCACCCATCCAAGTACTAACCACAGTCGATGCTGCTTAACTTTAATTATCTATTGCAAATTCCTTAGCCCACATGGCCATCCTGACTCTTTGCTTGTACAATATTGTACCCTGATCCAAAAAATAAATTTTCAAGATTGAAGCACCTTACATCAACCAAAAAATTATCTGGTTATCATTCTTTTAATTAGCTGTGCTATAGCAAAATTTATTGGTGCATAGTCTGCAATTATAGTAATGTAATATTATTCATTTATTTAAGGTAGTGATTATAATTTATACACCTGAAACAAAAATAATTATTATTTTTGAATTAGTTTATTTTTAATTTTTTTTTTAATTGTTATTCAGCGAATCCTCCCAGTACGATTAGCCTGCATGCAAACAATCTTGGTCAATCTAAGATTTATTCAGAAACCAATGCATCGAAATGAAATCCGAAATAGGATAGTGAATGGTAAGTTTTGTATTTGATTACTTGTCTTCAATACTTTTTAATTATTGAGCTAATATTATGCATTAGATATTGTTTGTTGTGTGTTGTCATCTCAAAATTGAATGCTTCTGTGTAAATTGAAATGAATCGTTTTGTGTTGTGTATCACGGGCGGATCTACGGAGGGGGGCTTTCGGGCTGAAGCCCCCCCCCCCAAAATGGAAAAAAATAACCATGTTTTATGGGAAAAAAAATTTAAAAAATACCTCTTAAAGTATTATTGTTCGTGTAATTATGTTTAAAAATACTTAAGGAATAACTTAAACATCATTTCATATAGGTAGTTAGTTTCTTTCTGTTTTTCCAAAGTAATTATCGTTATTTTTATGAAAAAAAAAGGTTTCGGGCTGAAGCCCCCCCCCAAAATTAAATCCTGGATCCGCTAGTGTTGTGTATTTTAAGCATTTATTGATTCAGGTAAAGGTAAGTGCGATGAAACAGAGAGCTAGCCTATTATTCCATTTGATGACAAAATTGCAGGTTTTTCTTGCATTCCAGTTCTGTTTATTTTTTCTTTGTAAAATTTTTAACTGTGTTTGTTGTTTTTTGGTGGGATTTTATACTTATATGTACTGCAATTAGGACATGAATTGAATTATTTTAAAGATATTAATTTAATTTTAAATCAAATTGTGAGTGATTGTTATTGATTAAATTAACTTATAATTTTTTATTACAGATATAGCCAATAGCAACAACTTTTATGACAGGATGTTATACCTTCAAGCGTGTGATATAATACTCCTGTATTTTTCCTCAGCATATTTTAAAGAACACTTCTTCATTAAAACACTTCAAATGGCAAGTTAGTAAATTTTATAAGGCTATATTGATTTATATCATTGTATATTTTTGTAGTATTATCAGTAGGCTTTTTGTTTCAAAACTGGTCTAATTCATTTTTTCTAGTATTTATTTGTTGACAAATTTGTAATTCACTTCAAATTCATAATCAATCAACTATGTGTGAATAGTACTTGTTTAAAAGTATTTTATTAATTACATAACATCAATTAATGCAATTTTATTTTGGTTTATTATTTTCAATTATGAACCATTGTAATTAACCAAAGCATTAAAAAATTTAATCTCCCTCAAAAATTGAGGTGTTATGTCTCACGATATGTGGAGTTAGAAAATCTAATAAAAAAAATGTTGTCCATCCGTGACTCTTCTCCGAGACTACTGAACCGGTTTCATTCAAATTTGTAATCAAACTCAGAGGTCACCCGAGGATGTTCCTGCTATTTTGATATCGCTATCTGTCTTTTCCTTTCAAAAGGACGGCCGAAAAACCTGTGTTGTAGTGCCTAAACGAATGTACCAATTTCATTGAAACTTGGCTAGAGTCTTCTCCTCGGTACCCTTTAAATTTATCTGGTGGTAAAATTAGATTTCTGAATAACTTAATTTTTTTGTTGATGGTATTTCAAAAGTTTAGGAAATTTCCTAAAAAAAATTTTTTATTAGCTTGGAAAAAAGTTTTTATTTCTTTATTAAGATTTCAGCAATTAAATTACTTTGAAATCTAATTAGTAAATGCCTACTCCTATATTTAGTAATTTTCTTCAGTTAAAACAACTTTATCAGTGTTTTTTTTTAAAATTAGGATTATAATTTTCACATTCATCAAATGTTTTAAGAATATATATATATTTTTTTTGTTAATTTTAGCTGATCCAGTGCCAAATATACGGTGGGCTGTTGCTAGATTATTGCCTAAATTACATGCGACAGTTAAGCTTCCAGGTGAAAAAAAATTGTTGGCCATGATTGATACAGTATTGCAACAACTGAGCAATGAAAAAGATCAAGAAACTAGTTTTATGTTAAACAAATCAAAGAGTCAAATCCAGAACATAACACCAATGGTAATTTTTTATAATGATTATGAGCTGTTTAATTCTACAAAAAATTGGTGATTGAAACAATATTAAACATGAAAAACCCAAATGAACACAGTACCCAAACTTAGTAGGAACATTACATTGTTTTACAAAAATTAGGAATTTAAGAAAAACCTTACTTCACAAGTTAGCTGTGGTTATGGTCTCCGGGTTCGGATATTCGTCTCAATTGTCAAGCGGTGCGCATTGTTTCAAATTTTACCTATCTTACGAAGTCTCTAAAATGGCCATTTTTAAAAATATTTGAATGAGAGTTGGATAGATGTAAAGATACAAACGTAAATAATAATTATATATGACAGAAAGCTGTAGGACACCGGGGACCAATACTGTACCAGACTGATAAAAATTTATATCCCTACAATAACATCCCCTCGCATCCAATACATATTCCTGCAAATACAGGACAATGCTCATGCATCGTAGTTGAGATAATGTTTGGAACGTTGGTGGTCAATTCTTAGATCATCTTTAACATGAAAAAAGAAAAACCCATATCAATTACAAAGTTCCGATTGTTTCTCGCTGATGAACTCACAACTCAGCTTCGACCATCATCACGTCTTTTATTAAGCATTCAGGTAAGGAAAAAATAGTGAAAGCAGTGTAGAGAATGCTATAGAGAAAGACCCTAAGAAATAAGGAGGCAAACAAGAAATGGAAAGAATGTATAAATTATATCATGATAATTATAATTATATGTAATAAATAAACCTTTTCTCATTTAATTTTCAATATTTAAGATTTATATCTCTAAAAATATCACTTTTTTACTGAAATAAAGAGAAATAATAAAAAACTCGTCATATAAACGACATTGGACATTAAAATCCACTCCTACAATTGCTGGCCATTAATGAGGACACACTCAACAGATAGAGAAACTGAATAGGGAATTTAGTTCACTTTTGTTGTTAAAAGATATCGCCATACCTCGAGACTGATATATGTCTCCAATGCCCGATGCCATTAAGAAATTCATCATTACTATTGGCGGTTGCCGGGGACCGATATTGTTGGGAAAAACATTTAACATTTAAGAGATATCATGCTCAGAAGCTAACATGTTAATAATAAAAAGTTTAAGCTCATAAACTCAGGGCTAATTCAATTGATGGGTTCTATTAATCAATTCAAACCAGCAGCGATGGACAGCGATTTATTCTCATATTAGGAACGGCTTGTAAAGTTACACATCGAAAATAATAAAAAATGGAGAAATACCTACCTACTGATTTATTAAATTTCAAAACAGATGTAAATAGCTCAAGTTTCTTAACTCAGCGCTGAGTTCATTGATGGCGTCGTTTCACCCAGTTTAGACACAATCCGATGCAATCAATGAGCTCTGAGTTAAGGAACTTGCCCATATAGACAGAAAGTAAACTCAATATCATCATAATCTAATCTTTCTCTACACTTGTGCACTGTGGGGTAAAGTAAATTGAGATATAACAACACTGAAGTTTCATACAGCAGATCCATCGATCCCGAAAGTCTGAACCATCGGTGGTTCAATCGATGAGTTTAGAAACTTGCCCAAATATTAACATGTTTGTGGGGAATAATATTCGCTGCTAATATTATCTCACAATTCAGCAAAATTCTATTAAATCCAAAATATTTCTAAATTCAATTCACATGTTAATCTTCCTTTTGTTAAAAATAAAAATATGATGGAATTTCTCATTTTCCATAGAATTGACAACGAATAATTTACTTGAAGAGAAAAGCATTCCATACTACGTTTTCGGAGATTTAGTTATGGGGATGAGCCTTTATCATTTATTTCTGAATGTAAACAAAGAGAATTGTCTATGTTATGTATTCTTGCAGGCTGTAAAGCATTAAATTATATTATTGAATTAAATGAAATGCTGAGTGTTAAACTTCCGATAACTTCCTTAAACTCAAAACACAAGGGTCCTGTTTACTTTTATATTACTTAACAAATATACTATTATATTATCTAGACTAATATTATATTATCTGGCTATTACGTGGGTTTTACTTATTAAATTGATATAATAAGATATTAAGTTTGGCGTAAAAGCATACATAATAATCTATGAATTCATTCAATCAAACCTAACTATGAATGAAGACCACAAAAATATTTCTTTATTGTACGAAATAGCCAAATGGATCAAAAAATATTCTATAAAATTTTTTATTTTAAATCCATTCAAGAGTGGCATGGATCAGTTGAGAACACTGTTTTCTCTTAAGCAGACAAAAAGAACAAATCCTTAAAATCTCAGCCCTAATAATAACAATAAAGACCAATTATTTTCCGTATAATGATACATAACATTTAATAGGACAATACTGCGGATGTGAGTAAATATGAAGAAGAAAAAAAATTGGCGAATCTTAATCTAAAGACTGCCCAAACTTTTCCTGCTTCAATTGTCAAGATATTCGTTCCAAGTGTCAATGGAATTTCACGTAAGTTGCTTATTTTGTTCTATTAAAATTAATTTGTACTGTTTCCCCCTAAAGTTTTAATTGATTTTGTATTTTTCATTACATCAAAATTAGCAACATTCTAATATTGTAGTCAATAAAATCTTTTCTTTTGTGTGAAGAAATATTGATATGTTTTTTTATAAATGTGCCGTACTGTGCCATTTTAAATTTCTCTCTTTTTATTTTATTTTATTATTTTTTTGTTTTATTGTTTGTCTTTTTTCAGTACTTAAACATTAATGTAATGAACATTGATTTGAACAAAGGAAAACTCATGGTTTGATATGTTAATTGTTTCAAGAAATATAAATTATTTCCAATGTACTACAGTTTTAGAAGATTTGTAATATATCTTCAAAAGAATTCTTAACCTTTAGTTGCTTGTAATTTAAGGTTAATCAAATTAATTTCAGAAAGGGCTTGAAGTGGAAAAACTCTAGTTTAATTTTTTTCAGTGGCTTACATTATGTTTCAGGATGCTGAATATGAATCTAAAGTGGTCTAACAAATATTTGTTTGGAATATATGAAAAACTAGTTCTCCATTGTAAATAATTGATATAGTGTATTGGTCAGTGAACAAATGATGAAATAAGTTCCTCGATTACAATCCTCAGTCATTGTAATCGACCAAGGAAAAGGAACTTAATTTAAAACTTCAATAATGATACTAATAATTGTAATAGTTAAATGACCTTTTGCACTAACAGTAGTGATAAGTGCAATCAACCATAAAATATATACTTTTTAAGTTCTTGAATATAGTTTCTCTTCCTTCATAACTTTTTTTCCTGAAATTTTGGGTGGCTATTTATACGATCTGAAGGAGAAAATTTTTTTTCAAATTCATAGCTCAATCATTGGATTGATGAATTGAAGAAGATATGGCATACCAAAAAAAAAATAAACACCTATGAGAAATAATATATTAAAATCATTTTAAAAAAATGGGGCTAAAAATCACTAGATTTTTATTTCGCTTCTTTTGCTTATAAAATGCCAAGTAAGTTTTGTACTCATAAAGTGATCCAATATTAAAATAAAGATGAAAAAATTATCTACAATTCATGTTTTTTAGATTTTTTTCAACGACTTATGCTCTCTGAAGGGGTGTCAAGTAATTGGAAAAAAATTAGCTGTTTTTAAAAGTAGCAAAAAGGACATTTTTAAATAATCGCTCCTATGGTTAGGTTATATATTATTTGTATAATAGGTAGGTTTATTATTGTTGTATCGGAGTGGGCAGGTTGAGATACATTCCATGAGTCTATCACAAAATAAATTAATTAATAAAATATTAACTTTCCTTGGCTGAATTTGAACTGGAACTGCTAGACTTGAGGTTGTGATGTCTGTCAACCTCGGCCTTCGTGGCCTCTAAATTTAACATATAATATTTATTTATGAATTAAACATCTCAAATAATATGAAGTAAGCCACTGAAAACAATTACACTAGAATTTTCCATTTAAAAATACAATTTGACTGAACTATTCATTTCCAAAAGTATTATGCTGCTTGTATATTGTATTATTTCATAGTTTTTAATCTTTCTTTCATTAAACTGGTTTTTATTTTTATTATAATGATGTAGAAAACAGTATAAAGCTTTTAAAAATGGATAACTAATCCGAAACATAAACCAAATAAAAGTTTAAAAAAATTTTTTAGGTTCATTACTTACTTATCTTCCAAACTTATACTTCTTTGATAGCAGCAGTTGATTTCCCTTCTACAAAATATAATTTAAAAATAATTAATTTTTTTTTTTAGTTGATGAAGCTGGTATTGGTCTTCAGGGCAGTATCTCTCCTAGAAGATCTTTACAAAAAATTTGTAAGTTCTTTAAATATTATTAAATTAAATGCTCCCTTTATGAGCATAATTAATTTGGAAAATATTTACATTTGACTCGATTTATAATTTTTTATAGAATAAGAAATATGTAGAGAGATTTTAGGGTTATAGAGTCAGGAAAACTGCAACAATAAAAGATAATACTTAACACAATACCTAAAGATAAAATTTATCTCATCTAGGTAGTCCTGTGTGGCCGAGTATTATTCTGCATAAAAGGGCCAAAAGTTTCCACATATTTCTTGAGGATGTCAGTCATGTACAGGTGTATATCGAGTGTCGGCCTTTGGAACACATGGAGATCTGTACTTGACTCTAAACATATTCCACCCCAAACCATCAACGACCTCCTCCAAACTACACTCCTTCAGTTATATTGCACTGAGCTAATTATTTACTTGGTCTGTACCACCCTGGAAATCGTCCGTCTGCACCATAAAGGCTATACTTGGACTCATTAGAAAACAGAACAGAGGCCAAATCATCTGGCAGCGTGTTCAGGACAAAAGTTAAAGGGAAGCTTCTCAGTGTGCTGTGGTGAGTGGAGAGCCAAAAGACGGAACTCTGGTGTGCCGGTTGAGTTCAGCAAGCCATCTCCTTACTGTGTGTGCATTGACATCCAAACCCTGAGCAATATATTCAATTGATCAGAAGTCTAACTGAAGTCTGGTAGCGGTTTTTGAGGGTCTGCATAGCAATGAAGCGGTTATCAGCTGGACCTATTGCTCTTGGATAGCCTGACCACGGCCTTCTATTGAAGCTTCCTGTCTCCTGCTACCTCTGGATTGCCTGCCTTTTTTTCTCCCCATAGACTCAGGTCGTGTGTTTGCAGTAATCTGAGCAACTACTATGGGATCTAAAACCATTTTACACTATTAAAAATGTTTGATCCAAATGAAATATTGTTTAAAAAAAAAAGATGCACAAAAGCAAAACCAATGCGATTGAACAGGCTACTGGAGACAAACTTAGATGAGGTCCACATTTTATTTTAATACTTTTATCATTAATCTTAGAGATTTTCTCAAAAGAATTAATGCATGGTAATCCCCTTTGACCTGTCATATAAGAAATGAAATATGGATAAGAAGACATGTACAGATGATATAAAGGAAGAAATGAAATGCATCTGAATTGGCTCTTTGAGCAAAAATGATGCTTGTACGGTTTGTGGTATTTCTGAACAAACTCTCCAATATAGAATGGGGAAATCATTTTGCAAAACCCTAAACAGGTTCCTCCTTTATCCTCACTACGGAAGAAGAAAGACTTCTAATAAAAACTGGGTGTAAGAGGTTTCTTTGGAGATAACTGTATTCGCTGAAAAGTATAGTGAAAGCTGCCAAAAATTTTTACAGGCCAAAAGTCTGGTAAACTTTGACTAAGTTATTTTGTACAGGACCCCAGAAGCATTTGCCAGCGCCAATATATAATGTTCATATATTAAAAAAAATAGTTCTATAGTATCAAAGAATATTTGAAGGAAGAAGGCACTTTTGATATACTTTGTTATCTCAATTTTTTATTATTCTTGAAAATGTGGAAAATATTTACTAATGAGGCTACAAAAAGTGTTAATAAAATATATTCTATAATACAGGAAAGGGCACAATTACTGTGATGCTCACTTAGTTTTATGTAATGTAATTAGTGAGTTTATTGTTGATTTATCACAAATTAAGTCCCAGATATTGTAATGCCGGTCCCTAATAATGTGGATATTGAATTCTTGGATAGAAGTTGAAAATAATTTTTAATATACAGCCAATATTTGAATTCCTTTCTTGGATGTGAAGAATATCACAAAGCTCATCATCCTTTTTGTTGAGGGGCATAACAGCCTCATGACTTTTCATATCAATGACATATACCACAAAAAAAATATACCTAATCCTGTCATAAATATTGTATTAAAAAATAAAATGTATATCTATAGGGAGTAAAAAAAAAGAAATTAGTCAAAATGTTCCCCTTTTGCCTTGACTGAGGTATTTAATATCCGTGGCCAGTCATCAATAGCAGCACTTCTTGAAGGAAGCGCTCAACTGCTTGGACCAGAGATTGTTTGAGGCTTTCCAAGTTAGGGTGTGCTCTGTGGCATGCCATCCTCTCCAGTTCGGAACAAAGCCGATAATCTAGTGGATTGAGATCAGGACTTCCTGAGGGCTAATCCGAAGCAGAGATGAACTCTGGAATGTTCTTTTGCAGCCACTGCTGAGTTGGCCAGGTCTTGTGAGCTGGAGCAGAATCCTGCTGGAAAACCCAATGACTTCCAGCAAACAGAGTATCATTTAGAGGCTTGACAACAGGTTCCGAAATATCGTCCTGCTGGTTTTTAGCCGCTTTTTTAACTTCTTTTTCACAAAAATGGAGCTTTGTGGTGCCATCAAAGCAAATTCCCCTCTAAACCATCACCTCTTTGCACTCTGCCAATGACTTCCTGGACTTCTTTAAGAGCTGTGTGTGTACATACGATCATTTTGGCGATTAAATTTGTCTTCAATTGTAAAAATTTTCTCATCGCTAAACAAAATCTTTCGATGAAGACCACTGGTCTATCGGCCAAGGAGCACTTTGCATCTATTCACTATAATTTTTTTTAGAGAAGTGGTTTGCCTTTGTCCTGTCATTCTTCGAAATACACCCGTCCTAAGGTCACTTTTTACAATGCGAGATATTGATTCCCATTTCCCGAGACATGATTTGTTGTTTTCGATTGGGTTTTCTTCTGATCAGAGGAGCCACTGTTCTCACTCCATTTGCCGTTCTCACAGTGCGGGGACGGCTCAGTCGAGGTCTCTCACATACAGATAGGGTCTTATTATATCTATTTATAGTGCGGTACACCAACATCTGGCTGATACCCATAGGTTTTAAAGTGTTGAAAATCTCTGATCTACATTTTCCAACTTTGTGTAATGCGATCACAGCTATTTGATTTTCTTTATCACCTAACTCCATGTTAACTGAGCGAAAGAAAAATACAAACTGATTGGGATTATTATCCTGACATGTAAAGAAAATAACCTGATAGAGGTAATTTTCTAAATAATACCCAAGGATGTAAACAAAGTTCAACTTTTGTAACAGTATTTATGGCAGAACTAGGTAAACTAATTCCCTTTATTTCAGGAGCAACATGTATTTTACAATCAACTGATGTATCTACTATGTTTTTTCCTATCAAGCAATTTTTCCAGTTCTTTGATCATGAAATCACCCTGATCCTTTCATGTGGCTTCTGGAAATATTCTCTTTATTTTTCTCGTACTCTATCTTATTTTTTCTTGTCTTTGACAAATTTCAGAGTTGATGTTATTTATAATTTATATCAGTAATTTTTAAATAAACTTATTTAATTAAATATGTTATTGGAACAAGTTATCTGAGAGCTTTAGGATTTTTGCGTGTAAGATAAGGAGTCATTACATTTCTTTAGATTGCCATGGATGTCATGTTCAATCTAGTATGTCCTTATACTATCCTTCAAATTAGTGTGTCCATTTCCCTCCTTACGTAATTGATTGTGATAAAACTTTTATGTAAGCACTAATATTATTGTAAGGACTATATTACTGAAACTGATTAGAATGTAATGTGCCTGAAAATAAAAATCTGGTACACTGCACACATCACATTACTTTCACTTACCCTTCCTACTTGAAGTAGAAATTAGTTTTTCTTTTTTCCCATATTTTATGCTTCTTTCTATTTTTTTTTAGAAAAAAAAGAAAAAAAAAATCAGATTAGTAGTACTTATCAGACCTAGTAAATAATACCTAGCCTTAGGTCAATACATTCATAACTAATTAAAAGCATTAATAGACCTTAATAGGATTCTTATAGATATAACTTTTAACTTGGTACAATATATTTGAGTAAAGGCAGAGAGTTATTGATGTGAGAAATACATGTTATATCAATTATTCCATTCTTTTTTGTTGTTTTAAAGGGGCCATTGTAAAAAATAATTGTCTTTAATAAAATATGTTACCTGAGAGTTTTGTATCTGATGTTTACCTGCATCCCCTCCATGTTCAACTTGGAAAGACCATGGTGGAAAGACCATGGAAGTAGCCATGTAGTCCACCTCATTTCTTCAACTCTTAACTAAGTTTTAGTTATAATATTCATCCAGCAACTATTTATATTTGTGTTGGCAATTCAATGAAATAGTAATGTAATTAATAATGCCCTATATCACCATTCTCAGAGGTAGAATTATCTCTTAATATGTATTTATATATTTCTGAACTAAATTAGACCATATAAAATTACTTAAAAAAATGAAATATAGCTTGTTACAATACTTAAATAAACATAGAAATATTTCCTAATTTAGAACTTCATTTTTAGTCATTTATCTGTAGGCCACCATCTAGGTTACCTAATTAAAATGATAAACATGATACTATGGGAAAAGAAATCCATTATTTACCATGTCTCAACCTAGTATAATTTAGAAGAGGGGAGGGTATGTGGTTTCTATTTTTTTTTTAAATATCTTACATATATATTCAATTTTTTAATAGATGAGATCTCTGGAACTGTTAGAAGTATATAATATAGTAATATATTGATAAACTAAATGCCGTTTCTGGAACCCCTCCCACCGGCCTTAGAAAAGTGGAGAGCCAGAAATGTAGTAATTTAATATAATAATTTGAAATGATGTATTGGAAGTATTTTTTAAATTTCTCAATTGTTTCACTTTATTTTTATTTTTTTGTTTCAGCCAGAACTAAGACCTCCAACACCTTGAATACGTGAGAAATTATTAATATTTTGCATGGAATTAAAGATTTATTTCTATTTATTTTTTTTGCTTGCTTAATTCAAGACTACAATTAAACCATTATTATTTAGATTTAGAAAGTTAAAAAAAAATATTGTTCATTTAATCATGATTGATTGATATTAATTCTATTATTTAGTTTGTATTATAAATAAAATGAAATATACTCCTTTGTAAATGAAGTGGACTGTTCAAAATATGATAAAAAAAAAAAAACATTTATTTTTTATTTAATAATACTTTTACATGGGTGATAAATATTCAGGATGCAGTCATTATAAGGTTTTTATTAGTGCTGACATTTCAACCCAAACATGTGGGTCATCATCAGGGCGTGATTTGAGTGCTGAAGATATTCAAGTTTTGAATATCTTCAGTAATTGAGTATGTAGAACAGTCGACTAACTTCCTTCAATTACTTTTACATGTTTAGAAGTGACAAATCAAGAAACTTTGCTACAATTAAACTGTTTAAGATAGTGTTTGGACTTGAAATAATAAGCTTCCTTGTTGATTTAAAAGTTGCAGTTTTTTCTCCATTGAAGAAAAATGCCCTCTATTGACAACTGTATGAACAAAGTCCCCAAAAGAAGATTTTAGAATGTCTTATCATTGTTGTTTCTATAGGGCTCTTGAAATCAGTGTATTTCATATCTTCCTACTTACAGTTCTGCGAAGAGTAAGTTGAACGTTTATGTTTATAGGTGTTTGAATTTTAGAGTTTTCACAATGAAAATATTCATTTTACCATTTTAGAACTTCAGGTATTCGATTTAAGCATTAAATTTAATTAAAATTAACTATTTTTAGGGGGTGTCCATCACTGGATAAAAAATCAGCTCAAATCTAGTTATGGACATCCATGTCCATTACTGGTGCTCTGCATTTTTACGAAAATGTATCATGTTTTTGTAATTTCTGAGTCTAAAAACAGTGGAAAATCGCATGGTGTTCTTCGTTTTTTTCTAAAACAACTCTAACCACTCTTAGACAGGGGTGTCCTTCACTGAGCCCGGACCATCTCCATCACTACTGGGCCCATCTTGTCCATTACTAGACATGTTCATCTATTTTACCAGTTTTAATAGAATATTTTACTCACGTTTGACTATAAATTCACAGTCAAATATTTATAAATCATATAGGTACATGTGACGTGTCAAACCACATTATTCATACCAATCAGAGATGGCCAAAGAGAGTACTGAGTCCTGGATATTTTACTCAACTGTTGACCTCCCGATTCTGATTTCGATACTCACATATTCAACTTGCCCGAATCTGAGTATTTTACTCAAATGTGAACTGCCCAACTTGAGAGATCTTGACTCCCTAACCATTGAAAACATCAGACTTAATCTTGATTCCTTATCAGTTTCCTTAGAGCCCACCTACTCCCTTTCTTCCATCGATGATCCATGGTGGAACACCTTTCCTCTAACCTTCTTGATTTTCTTAACCATCATGCTCCCCTTAAAACCTGTACTTTTAGACGTCCTCCTGCTCCTTGGATAAATTCAGAAATCAGAGAGATGATGAGAGGCTGCCAAAAGACGATACAGACGTACACGACTACCCCAACACTATACTATATTCAAATCCCTACGAAGTAGTACACAAACATTCTTATGCCGGGCCGAAGCTCAATACTTTAACAATGTATTATCCCAAGCACCTAATCCTAAATCCAAATGGACAATCCTCAGGAAACTCTCTGTCGTAAGCTCCAAAACCTGCACACCTTATCCAGTAGATCCGAACGAACTAAATACCTTTTATGCAAACCAAACTACTTCTGTATTCACACCTGACCCCGTACCTTATCCCATCACTGAAACCTTCTTTGACCCAGATAAGTTTTTTTTTCTTGATATCTCTTCAACTGACCTACTCTTTACTATCCTTAAATCCAAAACCAACGACTATGGTCCTGATCAAATTCCTATGAAAATCATTAAACTCTGCCTACCAAACTTACTTCCTATACTCCTATATATCTACAATTTTTCCTTCCAAAATTCCATTTTTCCAAAAGCATGGAAAAAAGTCATTGTTCGGCCGTTGATCAAAGTTCCAGCCCCTTCACTAGCATCCGACTTCAGACACATTTCCGTTTTATCCAAACCTCTAGGAAGATTAGTTCACGCTCAGTTGAACAACTTTCTAGAGCAAAACTGCCTCCTTAATCCTCTGCAATCCGGTTTTCGTTCCCAATACTCCCCACAATCTGCTTTATTGAAGATCATCCAAGACCTCCAATCATCCATAGACAAATAGAAAATCTCCTTCCCAGTCCTTTTCGACTTTTCAAAAGCCTTCGACTCCGTCAATCATAATATCCTCATTTCCAAACTCCAGAGCCTACCCATATCGAATAGCGTTCTGAAATGGTTCCCCTCCTTTTTATCCCATCACTCCCAGATAGTAGTTATTCCTGACAAATCTCCTTCCTCTCCTTCAATTAACACAAGTGTTCCTCAGGGATCCTCACTCTCTCCAACTTAATTCTCCATTTATATTAGCCACCTTCCTGATTCCATTCGTCATTCCCAATATCACTTGTATGCAGACGATCTACAAATTTACTTATCATTCCAACCATCTGAGATGCTCGAGGCTACCCGAAAACTACAAGAGAATATTGACTGTATCCATAGGTGGGCAGAAAAAAATAAACTAAAGCTGAACGCAGACAAAACTAAGGCAATCCTCATCTGCTCCAAGCACCTCATTAGTTCCCTTTCTTTCTTTCCTTTACTTTATCTCAATAACCATCCCATCCATTTCTTTCCGACAGTCAAAAACCTCGGAGTGATCTTTGATCAGAACCTCTCTTGGAACAACCATTTCCTAAATCCATAACTATCCTTAAACAATTCCTTCGATTCGTGATTCCATTCCAAAAAAAACCAGACAGCTGCTTGTAACATCCCTTGTCTTCCCCCACTTCAACTACGGTTGCATGGTGTATGGAGGGCTGTCCACAGGACTGGAGGTGAGACTGAAGAAAATTATGAATTGCTTCATAAGATTCATCTTTGGGATTCCCAAGCGTTCTCATATTTCTTGTTGGTACACCGAGTTGAAGTGGCTATATCCTACTTCCCGACGGCAATTCCTTCTTGGTGTTTTTCTTTTTCAAGTTCTCAGAAGCAAAAATCCTCCCTACATCTTAGAACTCCTTACTTTACGCTCCTCTATCCACTCTCTCAATACCAGATCTCAACCTATAGATTTATATATCCCCTCCCATAAAACCACTTCCTTCAGTAAATCCTTCGTCATTCGTGCTACCTCCTTCTGGAACTCCTTACCCATCTCCATACGTCAAACCACGTCCATAAACTCCTTCAAACAACTCCTATTCCACCACCTACTACAAATTCAAACTTCCGCAAGCTTGTAAAAATTTCTGGGTTATATAATTACGTTGGCCACCAGCAGTTAATTGATAGAAGTCATTTTATTTTTATTTATTAATTTGTTTATATCTCAGTATTTTATTGTATATATCTGTGTTTATCGTTAGTATGTTTTGTAGATATTTATATATTCCTTGGTATTTTTTTTTTATATATTTGTATTTTCCTTATTATTTTTGTGTGTGTATATATATGTGCTTACAATTTCCTAGGTATTTATTGTATATATTTGTATAATACTTACATGCCAGACAAATGTACATATTTTTTAAACTCTACTATTATTCTAAGGGGACTTCAGTCCCAGAATAAAATTATTTTACATTTAAAAAAAAAAATCAAGAGGTGTCAAATTGGAAAAATATTGATTCCTTATGATTTTATAAACAATTAATGCAATGATCCATTTCATTTGCAAATGAGTATAGCTGCATTACGAAGATTTACAATAGTCATCTAAAAGTCTTATTTAATTATTCTATAATTAAAATCTTGATTTAAACTATGTAACAGGAACACGGTGCCTCTAAACTTTTGCTGTTCTACATGGCACCTTAAATTGTAGCCAAATAAATAAAATAAAAGTCTTATAAAATTTATTTTTATCAAAAAGTGGATCACTTTGGGTAAGAAACTTTCTTTAAAATAAAAATATGTTGTTGGTCTCAATGTGAAACCACTTTATTGAAACATTTAATGAGTATTTGCATATGGAGGTTGGTAGAAATTCCGAAACAAGGTATGGCAAAAGATTTTTTAAAGGAAACAGTTCTATGAGAAGAAATAAACAGGTTTGTGGGATGGGATTTCATGTTAAACAAATGGGCAAAGAAATGGATATAGTAAAAGAAAGTATTGTGTGTAAATTAAGTAAAGAAAGTATAAGATCCGTTAGAATATATATACACTACGTTGTTGATGGAATTAGCTAAAGTATAAGCTGCTTTATCAAAAAATTGAAAATAAAATGTTATCATCTGCAAGATTACAATGAAATTGTAAATTGTTTACAGAATTACTTTGGAAAATACTTTTGTTTGAATGTGAATAATGTGCAAACTATGGTTGACTGAATGCTATGTCAATTTTCTCACTCAAATATCTTGGTTCTTGGAGCCATCAATGAATAAAACTTTCTAATTTTTGATAAATTAGTGGTGTCAGCTACTTCTGATTTTTTAAGAATGAACTGGAAGTTAACGGTCCAGTTAGTCAGTGAATTAGCAATTCCATTGTTGTGAATTCTTTAGGAAGAAGGCTCTTCAGAGTTGAGGTTATATTTCTAGTCAACAAGTTTCAGTTCTATTTGTATTTATTAAATACTAGCCCTTTAATAAAAATTATATTTTTAGATTCGTGGCTTTACAGACTTAGTAGGTCTTTTACCCCCTTAACGAGCCTTATCCATCTCTGCCTATCTCAGGTTATTTCTTTACAGTTATCTGCTTCCAGCCCTTCCAGGTGTTTTCTTGCTATCCATTGCTGATGATGGATTGTTCCGAGTTACACGCCCTGCCTATCTTAATTTATTTGCCTTCATATTATGGTATTGATTGACTAGTTTTTGCTAGCAGTTCTTTCTTTGGCATTTTTAATTGATAATTTAAATTATAATTAATTGATAACATCAATCAATATATATGGATAAATATTTTGAATTTATTAAATTCTAATTGATAATTTTCGTCATGCTTTTTAAAAATGAAATTTATTTATTTGTTGAATTTACCTCTCCACCTTTTAGGATCATTAGCAATCATTCCTTCATTTACATTTTTTAATACTCTGTTGTAAAATTCCGTTAGTTTAAAGAAATCTATTAGGGTCTCCACATCTTTTTCTGTATCCTGTTATATTTCTTGGATAGTTAGGTGCGTCAAGGTCCTCCTTATGACCACATAATGTATACAGTACACAAGTAGGTATTTCTCGACCGTGGAGTAGGTAGCTGTGCGGAAATTTGCAATGACTGATTCTGAGATGATACAAGATTATTTACTCTCTTCTTAATCTTCTGTAACTCGTACTCCATTTAGCACTACTTGATTTTACCTGGATTGGTTTGGAGGGTTTTCTTTTCCAGGTCTCACTCCATTGTGCTATTATAAGGGATTTCGCTTGCCTCACCCAGTCCTCTCAAGGAACATTATCAATGGATTTTATCTCAATACAGATTAAAACAACTGTTAATTTAGTCTTATAATATTAATTTCTGTTTAATTAATATTCATGTTTTTTATAAACAGTAATAATAAAAAAGAAAATCAAGTTTCATAGTCATAATCAATACACATGTAAATCAATGTAACTCTTTTTGAACAACCAACATCATAAATATTAATGGTGCTGTATTTACTGACCAATAATTTTTATTATTATTATAGCGAAGGCTAAAAACAGTAGGGTCAGTCATTTCACGCCATCAGATTTCCTCACTCACGATGGGTTTAAGTAATTGAAAAATGTCATCCCAGCTGTGCCACATTACTACAAAAACCCACAAAAGATTTCATACTCATGGTTGTGCCACTTACATTTAGCTTGAAGCTTGAAGGAGGGGTCATTCATGGCCAGCTTAGAAACAGAAATGGAAAATAACTGAACCTGAAGTTTTCTTAATCATATGATTTTATACATTTTAAGTTAAAATGAATTACAAAATGTATTCAATGATTAAATAAAACTTATAACCTATAAAATCTTTAATTCATAAAAATAATAATTAGAATTAGGAAAAAAAAAAGTTCACAAATCTACTGTAATATTCTATATTCCCTATAGGGTATTAGGAGGGAAAAATAATAAATACTTATAAATAATTAAAAATCTCCAAAATACATTATGTTTTCTGTTATGCAACTAGTTTTTTTAGTTATTAAAGGCCTCCCTCTTCAGTAACTGGACAAAGTGTAAATACTAAATCAAATAGCTTTCAATATAAAAACAAACAAACTAATATTGAATTATTTAGAGAAATTTAGTTGTTTTATTACCTTATGTATCACTTAACTATTTTATTTCTTTCAGAGCCAACCCAGATCAGGTAACATTTACTGATGAAGATTTTCTTGTTGACACTGGTATCAAAATGTCTTTAAGTCATATGGGAAAACATGACCATCAAAAGGAAAATTTGCACAATGGTACCAGTGTAGTGGATACAATGGAACCATGCATTATAGACGAAACTACTAAAGAAAACTCAGACAATTTGAATTCAAATGTCACTTCTGAACAAAATAATGGAAAAGATTCAGTTAAAAAGAAACTCGGCTTTAGACATAATATACCTGTTAGAAAAAAAGTTGTGAGTGCAACTGAGGATAGTTTGAATCGTAAATCGAGTGGTACGATAGAAAAAAGGCATAGCCTTGAAGTTATGGATGCCAATAAAAACATCAATCTTTGCCAGGTTAATGAAGAAGGCGCTACCAGTTCTACCGTCCAGAGAAGAAAGAGATCACAGCTTCCTAGGCCTCTCTCTTGTGTTGTTCTTCCAGTGAGGAATGGTAGCGTTGAGAAAGTCAACCCACCCAGTAGGCTTCCAGTTATGAGGTGAATCTGATTTTAGTTTATATTTACCAGATATTTAAATGTTAAAATATCATGTTTTGTGTGTCCTTCTGTTACTATTTAGACTAGGAGGAGGAAGATTTTCAGACTGAATCTCCTCTCCCTAATGGAATAATAATGTATATTTTTTTTCATTGGTTTATATTTGTTTTATTTTTGTCATCTAAACTAAATTAGTTCAACAGATGCCAGAAGCTACCCTTAGTCCTCTCAACCACCTTTTCCCAGTCATTGAGGTTAATAGCAAGTCTGCTAGACACTCCAACCATGCTCAAGTCCTCAGTCAATCTTTCCACCTCCCTTTGCTCTTCTGAGCTGTCTGACTCTATTCGGCGTTCCGTAATATAATTGTCTGGATGCTTTAGCATCATCCATCTTGATTACTTGTTCTAGCCATTTTAGGTGCTGAATTTGCTCAAAATGGGAAGCTCGGAGATCATCACATGATCTCTTTGTTCATTATCAAGTGGTACAAACAGTTTTCTTTGATAGGCCCTACATGCCTCAACACTTTTTCTTACAACTGCCAATCTTTTCAACCAGAATCTTGCGCAGGATCCAGATATTTCCCCAGGAATTAGGTTTCAGGATTTCCTGGTAATTGTATTTTGTGGAGGCACCTTTCTTCTTTAATAAGGGTATAATAACTGATTCCTTCCAGCTATGCGGCATTTTTTGATTGATCTTCTCTATTGTCGGATTCATCATCCTTGTAGATTAACCCCCTTCTCATTGATGTCGATCTTGTCATCTTCGGGTGTGGATTAAAAACTAAGTTACCAGACCAGTCCCATTATTTTACTAATACACTAAAATTGTTGCCACTTCAGGGATAAAAGGTGGAATAAATAAATGAAATTAACTGTATTAATTGCCTAAATCAATAAAAAAATCTCACATATATCTTAAGAGCCCTTATATTACATGTACCAGGCCCTCATAATTGTACGAAGATATTAACGATTAAATGAGTCAACTCTTCAGCCAGTATTGACCCAACAATTTTCAGAAATTCTGCCAGTATACCATCTTAACCCGAGACCTTGTTCTTAAATTTGTTTATAATCCGACTAACTTCCTCTGAATCTGGTGGGCTGTCTTCATGTTTATTCTCATTCTTCACCTCTCAAAATTCCACATCAGGATATTCTACATCTTCTCTGGGGTTTAGCAATTCTTTAAAATGCTTCTCCCACCTGTCTTGTACCTCCTCTTCAAAGAAGAAGACTATCTCTCCGTCAGAACACCTTCTTCTTGGGCAGTTATTTATAAATCCTAATTTCATCCTCCTCAACCAAAAAAACTTCCTGTCCTCATTGTTTCTACTCTCTTCTTCGATCTTACAGAACTTTGCCTGTAAAGCATAAACTAAATACTTAAACAATCACAACATATCCTCTTTTTAAATTATAATACTTAATCAGTTATTAACTGTAAGTACATGTCAGGAAAATTTAAGAAATTTATTTCTAAAAGTATTAATATTTCTGTAATTCATTTTTTTTTTTTTTCTTCAATGACCACTTAAACATCATTTTGTATTGGTATTTTTAAAAAAATTTTCTTCCAGAGTAATTACTATAAAAAAAAGTTCCCTAAAATTAAATCCCCTACTGCACGCAACACTGTTTTCTTCTTTTCACCATAGATATTGTAATATTTCCTGTACACTAACAGTAGGCCAAAATCGCTTGCGGATCTTTAGATACTCAATGGATTGATTGGTTCACAGTTATTATAGTGTTAAAGAAACATAGAGCATCCATTTTGCTTAGGTATCATATCTCATATTGCTAAGTATGTGTGATTTAGCCTGAAGAAGAATCTTTAAATTTGGTATTTTCAAATTGAAGAAATACTTGTTTAGCCTGTAGTTACAAAGATATATATCATCTTATAAAACCTTTTAAATTATCTATTTCCGATTGCAGAAGAATCGTGCTTTCTTATATTGTACCCGTTGTATCTATCTCTGTTGCTATTGGCATAGGCATTGGATAAATTACTTGTTTAGGACAGTATTAGTAACTGTAATACTGCCCAACACAACTAATTATCTTGGGATTGACACATGTTTGGGTATAAATTGACCCAATATGAATAAATAGTTTATATAAAAAGTCATGATAGTTCCTAAAAAATTACTGCCAATTTTTCTTTGTTGTATTCTTTATTAATTCTATATTTTTATTCATTTACTAATTTTTTTTTTTTACTTTTAGGAGATAAGGAGAGTGGTACATGAGCTAACTAATTCGGCTGTGATAATTCTGTATCTGAATCAGTGTTCAAACCTGGCCTATTAATTGAGATCGCCTGGTAGAAAACTGTTGACACCGCGTACCTGTAGTGCTGCATAGTTTAATTCAGCAATTTTAGTTGATTTATAATTTAGTAAGATTTTTTTTAACAAGAGTTTGTTTATTTTTACATTTTTTATTATATACATTATTGTTAATACCAAAGGTTTAATGTTAAATGGATTTTGACTAACAAAAGAGACAAGAGAACCTTTTTGTTACCTAAGTATTTATTATAACATTTTAATGTTAAAACCAAATATAAGAATTGTCTTCCACTTTTGTTTTTGGACTTATCTTAGTTATGTTATGTTGTTACAAAATATATAACCATAACTATATAAAAGTGATCAAAATGTAAAACGTAAACTATTAATATTTACAGTATTATAATATTTTTAATTATACTATTTATTATTCATAAGATTATGAAAGTTGAAGTTTTGTTTATAAATAATTATGACTGTTGACGTTATTCGAATCGGAATGTATTAGTTTGATGTATTAGTTTCTGGGAAATTAAAGAGAAAATAACAGTTTTGTCTTTATTTATTTTGCTCCCATAGCTTTTGTACCTATCACAATCAGAATCATTATTTTTTATAATGACAATCATATTCATTGTACTTGTGCTAATTAAGTACAAGCAACAGAAGTAGAGATGGCAGCTAAGTTAATTTTAATAAATATTATTTACTTTTTGAACATGATATCACATAATGTGTGGAACAGGTCTACCATTAGTTAAATAATGGTCACTAGATGTTAGTTTTGGAATACACCTCGTTTTATTTTTGATAAGGGTTTATTTGTGTAATATGTATATATACGTATGTACTCCAACCGATTAATCTAAAAAATTCACAAAGGATTTCACCCTCATCATCTTTTCATGTTCCATTTAGTGCATATCGGTTGGAGTGGAGTGATATATATATCCTTCTCAATACAATTTTTGATTTAAAATTAACTGACGGAGCACAAATCTTAGCATATACTGACGATATCCTTCTTCTAGTAAAAGACAAGCTAATATCAAAATTACAAGTACCAATCAACCAATCTCTTATAATTTAGAGAAATTGGCTACAGCTAACAAACTAGAATTTAATACAGACAAGACAAAATACATGTTATTTACACGGAAATAGAAATTTCCTAAGTTGGACATTAGGCTCTACTCCAAAATACTATAACAGAGAGAAACAATGAATTGAATAATCTAGGATTGATATTCGACCGGAGTCTAAATTGGAAAACTCACACAGATATGGTAGGGTAGTTAAGAGATCCCTGAAGAACATAAATGCCCTCACTATTGCAGCAAGGTTAACTTTGGGACTAGGGACCCAGGTATTAAAGCTAATCTACAAAGGTGCTATAGTACCAAAACTCTTGTATGCTATACCAGTGTGAGAATCAGGTGCCAAGAAGCAGAACAACCTCACCAAACTGCAACGGGTACAGCGGCTTATGGCCAACAGAATAAGCAAAGCATTTAACACCATATCATATGATGCAGTTTGTGTCTTAGCAGGTATATAATATAATTAATAATAATGTACTTTTAGTTCATTTTGTTACTGTTCACTCATCTGATACTGTTATTTATTTAATTTAATCGTTCATTATTTAGTTTTCTCTTGTAATATATTTTAAGTACCATTCCTTTTAAGTATCTTTAGCCAACACATCTTGTAATAAGCTTTTTTTTATATAAAAATAAAATATTTAAATAACGATGTAATGCATATAATATGCTTTTGCATGGTATATGCACATTTCTAAGAAGAGGGTTACTACAGTGGAAAAAAAAAGAAGAAAATATATATATATATATATATATATATAAGATAAAGACCGGAGACTGGAGATATCAGCCTTAATACCATCTTGTAATGTAAATAAACATAGCAATTGTATATAAGGCAGATTATTGGACGAATAAAGCAGTGTTTATTCAGAAGTCGTGAGTATTGTTTCTCGTTCCTCTTTCCTTCTTTTTTTTTTATTTTTCAAGCCCGGAGACGCTTAACTGGTGCCGAAACCCGGGAGAACGTCAGGAGAACACGGAAGTAAAATTTTTTTTTCTGTCTTTATTTTAATTTTTTTTTCTCTTCTCCTAGTCATAAGGAAAAGACGAGATGCCGACAGAGGGCATAATTCGACCAGGAGTGTTGAACGCACCTGAAATGCCGCAACCTCAGGAAATGCCGATAGCGCAGATTCCTCAGATCGCCCCTCAGGTTCCGCAGATTCCGCAGATACCTCAGATACCGCAAGTACCGCAGATACAAGAGATCCCTCCCTTACCTAGGGACACATTGGCAGAGGCGCATGCCAATGCATTGGAGTGGATGAAGATAAGGGCAGCAACCACGCAGGATCTACGGAGAGCAATCGCAGACCTGGAGCGATTCGGTGGCGAGATAGGGGAACTTAATCACTTCCTGAAAGGCGGAGACCGCCTCATATCAAGAATCGAAGCAAAGGTGGCGGAGGACCTCGTGAACTTGGGAGACGCAGAAGCACTGAAGGCAGCTCTCGTGTGCCGAGTGAGGAGGAACATCCTCAACCAAATCCAAGCGGACGAGGAGACACCATGGCCAGTGATTAAGGAGCGTTTGAAGAAGGCTTTCGGAGGGGCCGATGGACGCCGGAAGAAGATATCTTCCAAATGTTTAGGGAGTGTCGGTCCCAACGCCAAACAAGAGGACAGTATGCGGGGGTACTAGTGGCGAAGTACAACCGCATAACTGAGAAAATGCGTGAAACCATGAGTGTGGGAGAGGTCGAGGCTAGGATGGAATTCCTTTCGACAATACTCAAGGTTCAGTTAGCTAAGGAGACTGGGAGAAGGGACGGACTGCCTAGAGAGCGATCGTTCCTCGAGTGTGCCCAAGAAATGATAGATCTGAGTGCAAGAGAGGAAGAGACGCGGATGGAAGTAGAAGAACCAGGGTGGACCCGAGTGAGTGACAGACGACCCCGGACAGCCCAGATAGGGTGGAGGAAGAGGGAAATGAAACACCCGAACGGAGAAAAAGCCACGACGGGCGAGAGAAGATCCGGACAGTCCAGGCCTAGGAATGGACCCCGGAGGGAAGACCGAAAATGTCACGGGTGCGGGAAACCGGGACATTTGGTAGCACAATGTCCGCGCACTAGATGTTTCGAGTGCGGGACTGAAGGGCATATTGCCAGACAGTGCCCGTACATGTTTCGCAGGAGGGAGAGACCTCTAGACGAGCCAATGGAGGTGAACGCTCAAAAGTTGAAAAAACGAGCTAGGATGCAGCAGAGAGACGGATCTTCGGAAGAGGCAACCGAGGAGTCGGGGACGTCGGGAACGGAGACTGACGAGCCAGCCAGCAGTGGAGGCGAAGGAGGCAGGAGCAGCCAACGGAGCGAGCAACGACGAGCGACGGCGGTAAGGAGGAAGCGAGGTGGCATCTGAGAAGGGTGTCAGCAGAGAGGCGACCGCACAGCAACCTGCAACAATATTAGAGGTAAGCCATGCTGGTTGCCGATTATTGAAGTAGATGGGGGAGTGAAGTGTCTCGTGGACACAGGGAGCTCGAGTACTATCTTGACTCGGGGGGCGTTGGGGAGAGTGTGCGGGAGCGAGAGGGTACTCCGGATACAAAACTGTGGCTGCCAGCTAATCACTCTGGGTGGTCCCTGTAAAGTAGAAGGGGAAGCGTCAATTACGCTTGACCGGTGGGCAGGGAAGAAGGGGGAGCTAAGGGTGCATGTGGTAGAGAGCATGGCGCGGGAGTACCAAGTCATAATAGGGTGTGATCTGTTAGGACAGGTAGGGGTAAGCATTAGAAACCGTAGAGGAGCTTGGAGTATCAGGCTGGGAAAGAGGAAATTTGGATGTATAGGGGTCGCGAGAGAAAGAAGGGTGCGGATAGGAGCGGTGAACAGGGTGGAGGACTGGAGAAAGGCGTTACAAGCGGAGTTCGTAGATATTTTCTTCAGGGAGGGCGAGGTATTGGGGGTAACAGGGAAGACGGTACACGAAGTTCCACTGAAGCAAGATAGGGTGACCTACGTAAAGGAAAGGAGATACCCGCAGGCGATGAGGCAGCATATTCGGGAGGAATTGGAAAGCCTGAAAGAGCAAGGGATCATAGTCGATAGCACCTCGCCATTTAATAGTCCCCTGTGGGCAGTGAAAAAGAAGGCAGCGCCGGGGATAATAAGGAAAAATACAGAGTGGTAGTGGACTATCGTAGGTTGAACGACAACACGGTAGACGAAAAGTACCCGATCCCTAGATTCGAAGATATACTTGATAGGTTGAGTGGGGCCGTGGTGTTTAGCACGTTGGACCTCAAGGCGGGATACCACCAAATACGGATGCACCCGAAGGACCAACATAAGACGGCGTTTACATTCGAAAGGGGGCATTACGAATTCACCAGAATGCCGTTTGGTCTGAAGAATGCGCCCATAACGTTTCAACGCCTGATGGACGAATTTCTGAGGGGGATCGACGACTCCGTATGTCAAGTATACATGGACGACCTGCTGATTTTTAGCAGAACGGAAGCCGAACACGTGGGGCATTTGAGGTCGGTATTCGAAAGGCTGCGACAATTCGGGCTGAAACTGTCAAGTGAGAAGTCCCTGTTGGGACAAACGCGAATCAATTTTTTAGGCCACACTATTTCTAGCGAGGGGGTCAGACCGGATGCGGCAAAGGTGGAGGCTATCACACGAATGGCGGTGCCACGGGACGTTAAAGGGATTCGTAGGCTTCTCGGGACGCTGAATTATTATAGGAGATTCGTACCTGAGATGGCAGAATACTTGGTACCTATCAATAACTTGCTGAAGAAAGGCGCGAGGATCGTGGTGACACCGGAAATGGAAAATAATATTCGGAAATGCATGGATAGGTTGCAGGCAGAACCCGTATTGGCGTTCCCGGATTTTGAGAAGCAGTTCAACGTCACCACCGATGCGAGCGAATACGCGTTGGGGGCCGTTTTATCTCAGGGCAGAAGTGAGGGTGAACGTCCGATAGCATACGCGAGCCGACGACTTACGAGCGCGGAATCACGGTACAGCGCGTTAGAGAGGGAGCTACTCGCGATAGTGTGGGCCATCGACCATTTCAGGCCGTATATATTTGGGAGGAAGTTTCGAGTCCACACCGATCACAAACCCCTTCAGTGGGTAGGAAAACTTAAGGAAACCTCTGCGAGGGTCACGAGATGGAAAGAATTCCTTAGTCAGTACAACATGGAGGTGGTGTATAAGCCGGGAAAGGAAAACGTGGTGGCAGACTGGCTCTCTAGGGCCATCATGATCAACGCGGTAGAAGAGGACGGAGGAGGTCCATCGCGGGACGTGCGCCAATTCTTGAGGGAATGGACTCCTGAGGGTGAAGGGGCAGATGATACCGTCAGTATAGAGGACAGGGAGGGGTCCCCGGAAGAAGATAGCTCAGCGGAGGAAAGACCAGAGGCGATGGAGGAAATAGACGAAATCATCAACGACAAGCATAGACAGGTAATCTGGAAAACCAGGACAACAGGGATCATGAAAATAGATTACCGAAGATACGGGAAAAGTAGGATTCGCGTCATTTGGTCGCAACCCGGGGTGAGCGAGGAGCAAATCCGTACGGCACTGAAGGACGCCACGGAGCCAGGAAAGACACACCATCTCTATGTTGGGAACAACACGGTATGGGAGAAAATAAAGCGGATGTGGAGATCCGAGCGGATAGGCATGGATAGAACGATCATCCGGTGCAAGTATGCAGTGGAAACCGTACAGGATGAGGAGCAGCAACAAGCAATTACATTGGCATACCACCAGGGGAAGACCAACCACCGAGGCGTCAACGAGACGTTGCAGGCATTACGGCGAAAGTATTTCTGGTGGGGAATGAAAAAATCTATCCAAGGAATCATCGGGAAATGCGAGGTATGTATGCGCACAAAGTATGATCGACACCCCCCCAGAGGAGTTCAGGAAGAGACACCTACAGGGAATATGCCGCTACAAGACCTCCAGATCGATACATTCACCTGGAAAGGGTTCAAGTGGGTCACGGTCATCGACACCTTTAGTAAAGTAGCTATGGCACATCAGGTCATGGACAAGTCTGCCAATGCAGTTGCGGAAGCCCTACAAATCTGGATACAGTTTTACGGAGTTCCCGAGAGGATCACATCAGACGGTGGTAGAGAATTCGACAATACCGCGATTAGGGAGGAGGTGAAAAGGTTAGAGGTTGTGTGGCATTATAACACACCGGGACACCCTAAGAGTAGAGGAGGAATCGAACGCTTGCACAGCACGTTGAGTGACCACATCCGTGTATATCAGGGAGAGAAAGGGTTGGAGCCGGATGTTGCGATGAAGAAAGCCGTAACAGCTTACAACCATTCGATCCACTCCGTAACGGGATTTTCACCTGTGGAAATACTATTCGGGATGCGCAGGCCAAGGAGAGATTGGGGGGAAACAACGACCAATGAACATCTCGTAGAGCAAATCCAGAATACTAGGGTAGAGGTAGGAAAGACGTGGGGGAAGGTAGCGGGGAGAATTCAGCGGGAAAAGGAGAAGCGGGTAGCGCGGCAGAATGTGCAGGTACGTGACCGAATGGGAGAATTAAAAATCGGAACAATAGTGTATCGTAGAATTGGAACCAACAGAGGGAAACAATTGTTACGGTACGAGGGCCCATTCAGAGTGATTGCTATTAGGGAGCATAATCTGGTAACCATTGAAAGCATTAACGAACCTAAGAAGAGGAGAACTGTTCATATTGAACAATTGAAGCTCCCAATGTTAGAACCGGTACAGAAACCAATTGATTCGTAGTACCCTTATCGCGTATTATAAAAAAATATGTTTTTTTTATTATTATTACTGTTGATGATGTCATTTTTTTTTATTATTTTTGTTGTTCTTGTAAATAAAGATATGGCAGCATAATAGAGGTGATTGTAATTTTTATAGGATTAAGAGCTCTGTTCCATTGTTAATAAGACGTTGTGTGTTTACTTTCTGTGGTTTATTTCTTTTTATTTATTTCTCGTTCCAGCGGAGTGGAAGTGAGGTTTGGTGTACTTTAAGTTTATACTGGTACAAATAATTGTAAAGGGTTAAGGCTGATACCGGTGGCTCCGATCTGGGAATTTATAAGTTTCCGAAAATCCTATTCGTAAACTGGTGGGGGGGAGATAAAGACCGGAGACTGGCGATATCAGCCTTAATACCATCTTGTAATGTAAATAAACATAGCAATTGTATATAAGGCAGATTATTGGACGAATAAAGCAGTGTTTATTCAGAAGTCGTGAGTATTGTTTCTCGTTCCTCTTTCCTTCTTTTTTTTTTATTTTTCAAGCCCGGAGACGCTTAACTTATATATATATATATATATATATATATATAAATATAGAGCTAGGCATCAAAGAAAACTTTCTTTAAATAATGCAATGGAAAAGGAAAGTCAATCTTATAATAAATAGGAAACTACTTTTTAGTTAAAATAATTTATTTTTACAAAAAAAAATATTTTTCAAAATATCTATTTCTTTGATCACCTGTTGCAAAGTAAATGCTGCTTGGAATATTCCCAAAGAAAAATTGCTCCAGTTACATGAACATTTAGAGACCTCACAAGTCCAAGTTGTGGAATTTCGATATATTCTTCGAGAAGAGGAAGTAGATTGGGTGATATTCCTTCCTTTTCACTACTATAAAAATAAAAGTTAATTAAGATGATATATTAAAAAGAACAATTAATAGAGGTGATAAATTTGATTACATATATATACATATTTTTTTTTTGGTTGGTGCTACAGACCTTGTAGATCTTTGACCGCGAGATGTGGTCTTCTAGACAACATCTCGATTCCCGATTTAAAATACGGGGTATGATCATCAATCCTACGCTTGGTCGGTATGAGTTGTCTCCAGTAGACTGACATATCTCGGGCATCGTGGCTTTCCTTGGTGGACGGTCACCCATCCAAGTGATAGCCACGCTCGGTATTGCTTAACTTTGATTACCTATTGCAAGCACCTTAGTCCATAAGGCTACCCCAGCCCCATTTATCTATATGAATATGTATATATATATATATATATATATATATATATATATATATATATATATATACATATATATATATACATATATATATATATAATATTTATACAAATAGGATAATTGTGTAAATCATGTAGAAAGAGTTTTCGGATAAAAAGTTATTATTATCGTTATTACTTATTTCCAATAATATGGAATATTTATCAATAAATAACCACAACAGAAGAAAAATAAATTAAAGTGGTTAAATAAAAATCATATCAATGACCCGCAGTGGTCAGAAGAGGCATAAAAACCCTGGAAAACCTTCAATTTAAGCAATATATTTGTAAAACTGAATTTATTATAGCATGTTATGTTGGGTATTCTGAATTAATGTAAAATAAAATTTTTTTGTTAAGACCAACCATTATTATCATTGTTAATTTTTTCAGTTATAAATAAAATATATTTTGCATGTAATATGTTATAAAAGTGAAGATTTATTGTATAAGGTTATTGACAGAATCAATTATAAATATCTATTACCTATATTACTATCAAGAGGACATGGTGATATGAGAAGAAGAGCAAATCAACATACAACTAAATGAAATGGAGTGCTGAGCTGAAAACATCATCTCAGTATCAATTATGAGTCACGAAATTGTTTTAATTTATCTTCAATACTTTCCTTCGCATTTTATCTGTTTTTTTTTTGTTTCTATAATTTTCCTCCAGTTTTTTATGATGGAAAGGAGTAAATTATATTAGGTATAAGTTTATTTAGATATAGGTAGGAATTTTTTCTTGCTCGTTTTTGGTATAACTTTCGTGACTGAATTTGCCAGATAATTATCAAAATCTCAAATTATCGTAGCTGATTTTTGTATTCATCATTAGCAGGGGGTTAAAAAAACATTTTGATTACAGTAAAACTTTGGTGGTCGTTGGCGCGAGGTACTTTCCGATGGAAAAAGGAAATTTCAGGATCCATTATTTATTTATTACACAACAAAAAATTATTTTCAAAATTCAGCAAAAACGCCTAAAATGTATTTAATGATTTATAACTAGTTGCATGATTAATGTAGCAGAAACAGGCTTTTTACTAATATTTTATTGAATATCTTAGAAACTGGTGTTTTTATTCGTGCCTAAACTTTATGATTATTTGAGTTAACTATGTCAAACAATAAAAATATAGAAATTTGCATTATCATAACACCTTTAAAATAGAGGTTTTTGCAGCTCTCAGACCATTGTGTGGCCTTATAATGATAACTTTGTAACAGACTTGTTTGTCAAAATATATTTTCTTCATAATTTTAATGAATATCTCTTATCGGCTAGCTTTTTAACTATAATTTAAACTTATTTAATAAAGGCTAAAGAATTTAATGGCCAACTATGCTAGGCAAGTATCCCAGATTGCCCGGTGCAGAACGTTCTGGGTTCAATTCCCATCTAGGTCAGTTAATATTTATTTCCCAAAGATCCTGAGAAATGACCTCGACACTCTTGGATATTACATGACTGTAAACACTAGGTAGCTGTCAGAGATTCGTAAAAACAAACAAAAGTCCCACTTGCAGGACTAGTTTCCCCCACCAGTGTCAGTATTTAACAAAGTATTTCCAGCAATTTTTACGCCACAGATTTGTCAGATAATACAAGGTTTACATTCAAATTTTAAACTTAAACTATGGGAAAAAAGGGTGTTAAAAGATTCTGGTTACCAAATAATCAATCAATTTTTTTTTTATACAAGTGATTCAATTACCAGAATACATTACTGAATTAATGGAACAAAATATTGAATTAAGAATTATTAACTATTAAACTTACCCTAATAGTAGAACACACTTATCTGGGAAACTATAACTTGTCAATGAAACACTACCCGTGGTCTGCTCAGCACCAATTAAACTGTATCCCATTTTTTTCATGGATTTCAAGTATTCAGCAAGATTATAAGTTTTTACCTAAAAAAATTACAAAACAAAAGTTTCATAAAGAAGAAAGTTGGAGTAATACTGTAAAAGGTGAAACCCCTATACTATATCAGCCACAGCTGTCTGGTTTGAAAGAATAGAGGCATAAACTTCTGTTATACACAAATCAAACTCTTATATAACTTATTCAGTTCTTTAAATTAGAATAAACTACAGAAATTAGTTTTAATCAATGAAATAATGATCAAGTAATAATAGAAGTGATTGACACTATATTCAGCCTTTTGACTTACTAAGCCTTTTTATTTATAGAAATATTTAACAGCATCGTATGTAATTATATTGTTTGATACAATTGCTAATGAAATAAAAAAGTTACTGGCTTGTTAACTAAACCTTTTGAAGACATTGTAAATTGATAGGATCATTATGGTAATAGAGTTAAGACTACATTCTTGATATTGACCTCACTTATCCTTAAGTGTTTTTCTGCTGTCATACTCAGGCCTATGAATTCTTTCTCTTTTCTAACTTCGAGATTTGAAACTACTAATTCTTTGGCACCAAATACTTCACATGTTCTGGCAAGACCTCCTAAATTGGCAGCTTTATCAACAAGTGAAGCAACAAGAATCAGACCACCCTTTTGACTATTAATATCTTCTTCATGCCCTTCAAACATAGCTTTCCAAGGTACAAATTTTTTTTGTATTTTGCTTCCATCGTTTTTATCATCAGGATTTCCTGAAAACAAGTATATTGTAGGATGATAATTTTAAGTTTAAAATGCATTTATACATATATTGAAGTACAGAATACTTTTAATTTAACATGCAAAATTATATAACGGAATGGAAAAATAAAGTAATAAATCTGTTAAGATAATAATTACCTGAATTTTTGATGACCCAAACAGGGGATATGCAGGATGTTAATGATTTTTCAATGTCTACAGAAATATTCTGAATGCATAAGTCAGGATACTTTTTAAGGATATCTGGATGAATCCACTCTTCAACAGAAATGTTCGAAAGGCGAGGTAAATCCCAATATATAGTCTAAAAGCAAAATAACAGAATTATTATTGTTCATTAAAGCTAAATATAATCCAATAGCTCTGCCCCGAGGTTTTCTCAGGTTAAATTTGGATTATACATGCCTGTTTTATATACCTGATTATAATGTATGAAAAAGTACATTTGGTAAACTGAATGACATCCAAAATTTATGAAGAAAAAAAAAGAATTAAAAAAACAAAATAAAATAAAATTTAGTAAATAAAAAACAAAATAAAAACTGACTTGACAGAAAGTGTATTCAGTTTGATGGCTTTATACTACTAAAAATTTGTTTGCAAATATAGTAAATACATTATAATAAACATTGTAATAACAGAAAGCTAGACCTTGTGAAAGGATTTATTTCAAAAAAACAATTCATCATAATGCCATTGAACATTCTTGACTAGATCATGGCCTTCAACATCTTGTCACTAAATAATAAACAATTAAATGATAATACATGTGACATTAATTAACAATAATTAATGATATAAACAACAATAAATTATAAATGATATAAACACTATTGATTGTATGACATGCACTATTCAACGAAAATTTACAGTACTTCAGCATAAACGATGCTGATCCCTGACAGAGTAAAAATATTCACTAAAATGGTCATGAAAAAGTATAATTGGGATGTATAATATTGAGCTTCATAATAGTTCAAAAAATTGTTGATTAGAAATGTAATACTGATTTTAAACAATAGTTTTTATTTTATCTTGTGATTTAGAATCTTATTATTCCCACTTTCTAGATATTTTTTGCCTGCAGAGCATTTTGGCAAAACTGTAGGGAAGAATATTAGCTATTTGATTTTAAAACATTTTTCAGAGTGTAATTATAAGTTATAATTTGAAAGAATAGTTTTACAATAGATAAAAAGTCATCATTAATGACTTACTCAGGAAAATATTATTTGTTATACTTTTTTTATTGTTACAACCAAATGCTATTTTATAAAATGTATAACACACACAAATATATATATATATATATATATATATATATATATATATATATATATATATATATATATATATATATATATATATTAATAATATATATATTAATATATATACTAGACCGGTTAGGTTTAAGGGAGCGGAACAGGTTGTCGCTGTTTTAAGTCGAGACTCTGTGACATGTCACTGTTCCACCAGTACCGGCACATCCCCAGATATCATTCAAGATAGAGCTTCCGACTATGTGTAGAGTAACTACCAAGAATAAACTATTGTGGACCAATGTCCTGGATGAAATTGATGGTGGAGCGAATGTAAAAAAATGTGTTTAAATTGCTTTCATATTTTTCATGGCTAGTGGTTATAAATGAAAATGGATTAACTTTTAAAATAACACTATGTTTAGCAACTAATAATTAATAAATGATCAATTAATCGATTTAAATTTAAATAAATATTGTTTTTGTTTTATTATAAAATGAAAATACCTGCAATGTAAAATGATTTATAGGATGAAAAACACTAAAGTAAAAGTCATTTTCCATTTTTTTTGCATTTACTAGTATATTACCCTCATGTTCATAAATTTTCCACTGATTTTTAGAAATACAATGAAACTTTTTAGAAATTTCTGGATGTAAGTTCCATAGCTTACTAAGAAGGACCTGGAGAAAAAAAAACAATAATAAAAAAATAAATCACTATTAAATAAAACATTAAGTACCAAATGTTTATATGAATAGTTACCTGAGCATATAATCTTATATTAAAGTTTTGTGACATACACCAAGGTAGAAAATGTTCAACACACTGTTCAATAAACTTATTCTCATTCAATACAATTGACAAATGATAAGCAATTGAAATAAAAGAGCACATTGATCCTAACCGCTCATTTCCAGCCTGGGAAACAATAAAAGATTAAATTTTATTTATATTTATATTGTATTAACTTAATTTTTATTCTAAAAGAAAAAGTTTGCCAAGTACAGCTTCGTCACTATTTATATTGGGTAAATAAGAAAAACTGCAGAAAACAAAAGTGTAAGGACATTTTTAGTGTATTTAGCAGTTTTCGACGGATCTATACGTTTCAGGGCCTCATGAGTTCGAAAAACACATTTTTAGCCATTGGTCTGCCTGTACCAAGATTTTCTCGGGAACTACTGAACCGATTTTGTTGCTTCTTCTTCTTTTTTTTTTTTTTTTTGTAGGGTTACAGCGTATTCTACTGTGATACAGCGTATTCTATTTTCTATTTTAATTTATTACTTCCTACCTATATTAGGTAAGGAAAGTATTGCTATCGGATCAAATTTCCGACATGCGGTTTTTTGACGGATCGATACGTTTCAGAATCTCCTGAGTTCGAAAAACATATTTTTAGCCACTGGTCTGTCTGTCTGTCTGTGTCAAGATTTTCTCGGGAACAACTGAACCGATTTTGTTGCTTCTTTTTTTATTTTGTAGGGATTTGACTGTTGATGCCTGTGACACAAATTGGATGCTCCATGAGCAATAGCAACGTATTCTATTTTAATTTATTACTTTTCTACCTATACTAGGTAAGGAAAGTACTGCAATTGGGTCAAATTTCCGATATGTGGTTTTCGATGGATCTGTATGTTTCAGAGCCCCCACTGACCCTTTTTTTGAAAGGTGATGAAATTCCCTACAAAACTAAATAAAAATCGTTCATTTCGGACAACTATTAATGAAGTTACAGCTATTCAATTTCCAATGTAAGATTACGAGTTCATATCCTGGTGTCAGAAATGAGAAAAAAAAGATAACTGAAAGTAAGAAAATCTGTTGCCACACATGCTTCACTATTTTCTCTAATTTTAACAGAAATTATTGTTTGACAAAATCAGGCTAGGGCAAAAAGTTTTTGATCAGCAATATTAAAGGGTTTTGAAATTTTTACACTGATCAACCTTAAGCCAGTGTACATTGCTTTAGTTTATCAAATAAATCGTACTCAAATCTTTTCTTTCATCAATTTTCAGGAAAATAAATCAGATGTCTTTTGTAAAGATACAAAAACTTTTCTGAAATAGATAGGAAAATTGTGTGAATGGGCACACTAGATTTTTTTCTTTATGATCATTATTTTAATTAAATATAATAGATATGAGTAATTTTATTCTGAAAATAAAACTAGGAATGTTAAATTGAATGAAATATAAAATCAAATAGGTCATAAAACAAATGTGTAGATATGTGAGTAAAATTGTTTAGACATAATAAAAAAATAAATTTAAATGTAAATATAACTTGCATTAGTAAAATGGTCCCAGAATGAGTTCAAAAATGAAGGATGATGAATTGTAAGTCTTATAAACAGCCACTCTAACTGGTACCGGATACTTGGTTGTTGAGAACAACCAATAAGGCTTTGTAATGTCCATTTGTAGATTATTTCAGGCAAATCCTAGAAGTGTTCATGAAAATAAATACAAAACATTTATGAAAAAGATTAATTTATTTAAAACAGTGAAACTACAACTTACTGATTGAAAATCAAATCATATTATAAATTTTAGAAAATTAAAATAGAACTTACTTCAAACTGACAAGAAGCATTTTGATGAATGTAGTTTTCTAAAATCAAGAGAGCTTGCAACAACTTGTTTTTTTTCCTATGTATTAATGAATCATTAAAATATCTATTGTTATTTTTTGAAAGTTCTTCATCATATGAAATGAGTTCTTGAATAACTTGTACAATCAACTGATTTCTATGCTCAACATTACTTAGTGTCAATAATAAATGTAAGATTTTTAATCTTACTTCACGATCGGTTTTCAATACTATCCTGTTAAACAAAAAAACAAAAGGTAAAATTTATGTGCAGAGATATATACATGTAATAATTGAATGTTCGTATTATGTAAAATACCACTCCTTATTTATGAATCTATTTTTTAAATAAATTAATGATAATAAATGAGTTTAGTGTTTACGGAAAGACATAATAAATAAAAAAACAAACAAAAAAACAAAGGCTCTATCACAAAAAAACATGATCTGTTGTTGAAATCTGTAAACATTGTGTGATATAATGCAATAGATAATAATAAAACTTACGATTGCAGATTGAAAATTATGAATCCTATTCAAAGCCATATCATAATTACTTTTAAGTCTGTAATTATGTTAATTTATTAAGTGTATTCTGTTGCATAGCAGAAATATTGGAATACAAGTAGGCTGGAAGGGGGACGACAAAAAATAACTACAGAACTTTCATGTTTTTTTACATGGGAAAGGTATAAAAAGAGTTTAAAAAATATCAAACTTTTTGTCAAGCTTTGTCTGAGTAATAATTTTCTGATGTGTAACGCACGGGCAAAGTCAAATAATTGAAATGTTTTTGCATATGGATTAAAATATCTTTAAAACTAAAAATCACACCTGTATATTGTTAGCAATGGAAATGTTCACATTTCATCCTCTTTGTAATGAGCTATTATTCAAAACTGTATCTTAATGCGACACGATGTTAGGGAGGAAAAAAGAAAAAAATAGTATCGAAAACCAAATTATAACGAGTTTTTTGAAGATATGGATTAAAATTTCTCAGAAACTAAAAATTGGACCTGCATACTGTAAGCATGGGAATTGTTGAGCATTGTCTGGAATGGACTATTATCCAAAATTGTATCTTAACATGACACCAAGAGAAAATAGTGCTGAAAACCAAATGATAACAAATTTTATGGAAGATATCGATTAAAATATCGTAGAAACTAAAAATCCAAAATGTTCAACATTTCATCCTCTTTTTATTGAGCTAACTAACTCCCCTGCGCTACGGGCCAGCATGACCTTTGGCCTCCTGAGTTATTTTTCTCCACCTCTCTCTGTCCTGTACTACTCTCTTCCAATTGCGGACTCCTAGCTTCTTCGCATCTCTCTCCACTTTATCCTTCCATCTGCTTCTCGGTCTTCCTCTTTTCCTCTTCCCACTGAAGTGTGCTTCCAATATTTTTCTCTGCACCCGTTCATTCTCCATTCTGCTTACATGTCCTGCCCATATCAGCCTACTTGCCTTGATATAGTTAGTAATGTTTTGATTCTCTAATATAGCGTTGATCTCATTGTTACTTTTGATTTTCCACTCACCATTAACACTTGTATTACCATTAACACTTGTAGCACGCTCCATAGGTGACTACTGGTCTAATAAGTGTTTTATACAGCTTTATTTTTGTGGCTTTTGATAACAATAAACAACAATTAACTCATAGCTCATTTTTAATGAGCTATTATTTATAATTTATATTTCATATTATTAATCTCGCGATGTTGATGTTTTCACTTCTACCACGTGGTCTAAAGCAGACACCTTGGTTTTTTTTGTGATATGCTTTATATTAATATTCATTTTTGCTATTGACGCTGTCACAGATCTAATATTTCAACTTTAGCCCCCTTTAGCTTTTTTCAAAGATCAAATAAAAACATAAGAGGTGCGAAATATTGAGGCGAGATGAATCAATATTTTCAATTTTTGACTTACTATTAAAAAAACATTGAAACAATATTTTTTTGGTATTTATATCTTCAAGTCTGAGTGAACCATAGCAGCATCTAAATTTTGATTTATATAATTACATAAAATATTGACAGTAACTTATAAACATGAAAATTATTTATTGAAAATATTAATATTGTAAAGAAAGACTAATCTAAATTAAAAATGCTTTATCAATTGTTAAATCAATAAAATCTATCTACATCATAAAATCTAAATCATGTAAAATGGAGGTATAATCTAACAATTTGTCGCCCTAAAACTCTTGCCCCTAAATCTCATGTAAAACAGCATACTTACTCTGAACCAAAGCTTTCCATTGAACCAGATTCAATCAGTTTCATTATATAATGACTAACATCCAACTCCATTCTGAAAAAATGTTTAAAAATATAAATAAATATTTATTAGTGTAAATGAAAAATTTATTTAAGATTAATAAGATTCAATGTAATCCAGCCAGTAAAATTACTAGGATCACCAGCAGTATTCTACTCATGAAAATTGTCCTATTGTCTTGAAAATGATAATAGTTATTGAGTCAGAACTTAATTATTTATTAAAATTGATACAAAATAAAAACAAAGAGAAGGTTCACCCGACCATGGTAAACCACAAGGAGCTTATTATGTTCAGGTTGACTGCTTGGAATGTAAGTATGTACCGATCTTTTGAGCAAATAGCAGGGCCGATGGTTCAAATTATTCAGTGGAATCCTGTGATTGTTTTGAAACAATTTGAACCCAAAATATTGAGAAATTAATGTATAATTTTTTTTGGTTAGAAGGTATATGATAATTTTTTGAGGGAACTGTTGGACCAATTTTTAAGTTTTATGGTTCAAATTATTCAGTGGGATCCTGTGAGTGGTTTAAAATAAGATTTGCTCAAATCATTGTATAAAGTTTATTTAATCTATCTGTAATAAAAACAATGATTTTTTGAGCAAATGGCTCAAATGAGTTTTTATTTTTTGGCTCAAATCATTCAGTATGATACTGTGAGAGTTTTGAAACAATTCGTACTGAAAAAAAAGTATTATATTTCAAGTATTTTCTATTTTGTAATTTTCACATCATATGATTTTGAAAGTTTGAGATTAAATGTAATGGATATAAATTGTCAATACTTGAAAAAACTAAAAACGTTAAAATAAAAAAATAATTTAATTAAAAAAATAACCTATCCCACCACAGCAAAATATACTTTCATATTTACTTCAACAAAGTGGTACATAGTACATCTATGAATAATTAAACTTGGTGTAGTAATCTGGTGTCTTCCACTCCACATTACGGCTTCTGGAAAAATTCAAGAGTTTTGAGTTTTTTTCGGGATTGGAGGACCTTTAATAACTATGCCAAGTTTAAGTAGATAGCAAGTATATGCATTTAGTAGAACTTTTTTGAAAATTAGTTTTTTTCCTTATTTATAATTTTGTTAGTGTTTGATGTATACCACCATTGCAGTTAAAGTTATATTTCATCACAAACATCAGAAAGTTTAAAATTTATATTTTCTGAAAATTTTATTTTCTATAGTCAATACAAGCTAAAAATTTTGTATTTTTGTAATTATAAAATTTTAAAACTTTACGGAATTGAAACATTGTTTCCACGTGTTAATTACAAAATCTCTTTACACACATCAGTTCAACTATAATATTCACAGCCAATCATATTTCACATTCATAAATTAAAATATAAATGAAAAAAGAAAGCATAAGTTAAAATATAGCAGAATATAAAGATTAGATAGAGGAGCAGTGTAGCTCAGTAAGGTACTGTATTGTGATTTTAGCCAAATCAACTCTATGCATATCTATTGTCCTATAAACAGTACTCACTTCCTAAGTAGTAAACACAAAGGTGTGGGGTGGCCGAACGGGCTTATGCGTGAGCACAGCCACCGCTGTTGCCCTGGCAACCTGATATATAAGATACCCGGATGAAATAGCCACGAGTTCGCGTCCCGGTGCCGGAGTTGTCTTTTAACTCTGCCATTACTCCGTATAGCCTTAAAGACGAGGAAAAAAAAAAAAAAAAAAAAGTGTAGTAAACACAAGAACATTTACGGCTTATAGTGGTACAGGTTTTTATTTTATTTTATTTTTTTTAAACAGATCTGATGCTGATAAGAGCCAGACCTTTCTTAAACAAAGCATTGCAGGAGGTCTAAATTGAGATAATCAAAGAAATGCTAATCTTATAATATGGTAACACGATTGAGTCACCTATGTTATTCTTCATAAACTATCAATAAATTTTCTAGCAAGAATTGGTGTTTTAGATGCTTTAACGGCTTAGATTTAATAATTCACACCTAAGGTACACTAAATAAAAATATACCTTTTATCTTTTCTTAAGATCACACTGAATACAAGACCCTTGGAAATTATAGCAGAAAATTGTTGGATGAAACTCAAATTTTGACAATGATAAAAAAAAATGCCTACTAATCCAGTCAATTCTCCACCCAAATCCATTATTTTCACTGCATACTGAAATAAAATAATTTAAAATGTTCAATTTGCATATAGACTGACAAGGATAAATAAAATATACCTCCTCACAAATATAAAATCTTACATCACTAATTAACTGGTGATAGTCACTATTTGATGCAATCCCATCCTGGTAAACCATTCTCATCCACTCATTTATAGCTAGCCAAAACAATTCTGTTTTTCTTAACTCAAAACAAGAATTCCAAGTAATCAAGATAAACTTTTGTATATCTTCAACATTTTTATGCAATGGTAATAAATATACAAAAGATTTTAAAATTGGAACAAGTGATTGTTTACCATCCTCATTAACTGCTTTAAAAGCGGCATCGATAAGTAGCGAAATCGGAAACACTTCGAAAAAAACTTGTAGATCTGAATGTTTTTCTAAATAATAAGTAAATATACACCAAAGGGTATGCATTATTTCAGAAACCAGTTTTCCTCTTGTGTTGAACAAAGGATCGACAGTTGGAGTTAATTGGCTCAAATTTTTGCCAAATAGACGTCTTTCGAAAATACTGTGAATAATGTCATTTTCAAAAAACGTACAGTTAAAATTATCGTTATTGAGCATTGAATACGTGTAACAATGAAATATAATTTTTAGTGAAAGATACTCATGGAAAGAAGTTAAATTCAAAGTCAATGAGTGTAGTGCAATTTTTAATATATTCAGTGTTTTAAAATTTCCCATAGTAAGGTATTTATTATTAATTATTTTGTAAAATGTCTTCTCATACAATGTTGCAATTTGCATATTTTCAATTGGTCCTTTCTGCATACGTACTTCAATATAATGTAATAAATCAATTACCCTATTATCTATTAGACATATAAGTCTATTTCCTTTTATGCTTTGGTCAGGGTAATAGGAACATTCACTAATTATATACTGACAAAATTCTAAACAATTATCTTGTACTTTTAAACAAGAGTAAATTCTTTTATCACATTCATAGAACTGTTCGAAGATTGAATCTATAAAAAATTTAAGATCTTCCTCAAAAGGGAATTTATTTGAATCTGCCATTAAAACAAGCATTCTACTAAATGACTGAATTGAATTTGATGTTTCAACAGCTTCCGGTTCATTAGATTTAAAAATCTTATTGGAACAAATTGTGAAAAAAGTAGTTATTTCACTGGGCAGTATATTTTCAATCCAATCAACACATTTTTGCCAAATACCTGTTCCCCTCTTCAAAGATTCATTTGAGTTGAATAAACCAAATATATTTATTATTTCCATAAAATCTACATCAATGCTTGTTAAATTACAAATACATTTTAGTAATCTACATTGAATAGCAGATCGAATATAGATATTTTGGTTCTTAAGGCTTACAATGAGGATCTTCTTTAAGTGGTTTAAACAATTATTATTTAATAACGATTTGGGTGGTATTTTACTGATTGCACTAGTAATGTAAAAAAGAGGTACTGGACCCCAGGAAATAGAAGCTAAACAATCTAAAACACATTCAAATAATATTCCTGATGAATCCTTATCAGCTATAGACGTAAACCAATTTTTCAAAATATCTTCATGATTAAAATTAGAATTTGAGTTTTTTTCTTCGTTAAAGAGAAACATATTATTTAAAGCATTAAAAAAACAACTTAATAGTTCTTTGCATTTGGCATCATGAAACAGAATATCAATATCTAAATTACAAAACTCAACTAAACTCCATTTTACTATAATGTGTGACGGATGTTTTAATAATCTAATAAAAACACAAAGCAACCAAGTATAGAACACTTTCTTATTTATTGAACATAAAGAATGTAAGCCTTCAAAACCTTTTAATGCTGGGGTGATCAAATGTGTCTGTTTTTCTTCAACTAATTCCAAAAATGTGAATATTTTATTCCAAAATTCAATCAGCTGAACTTTGTGTCTAGTATCCCAATAAAAAATGTCTAGTTCAATATTGAGATCACATTCTTCCAATTTTTCAATATACAGTTTTAATAAGAATAAAGACTGTTTGCGAACAATGCTGTCTTCATTATACAACCCTTTAAGAATAATTGCCCAAAAGTCTGGTTTATCATAGAGAGGAAAACATAGTTTACAATGTGAAACAGTAATAAAATTATCACATAATAAACAAAGGTAAAATAATTGTTTCCCAACACAATTTTCACCAGATTCACACATAGAACCAAGTCTAAAAAGTTGTGACCAAATAAGTTCCAAAATTGTATTTGATTCTTGAGATAGAATAAATTTAGGCAGGACAGAAACAAATATTTTTCGAGCAACTTCAATGCTAAGATTCGGTACCAAACTGATCAGAGTGGTCCTCAAGGTATTAGGAAATTGTAGCTGGTCCATAGAATTAGTAGATATGAAACTACATATTCTTTCTAGGACATGAAGGGAATGAGACAAGTTAGTATAATCATCAGCCTGGTCAATAACTTTCCCTGCAATACAACATAAATTGGTGTCTACAAAGTTGACTAGTTTTAAGAAAACTTCTTTTAAATTAGTCTTAGATATTAAAGGTAAACAATTTTCTATAACTGAACCCAACAATGCACGGGCAGTAGCATCTTTGTCTGTAATGTACTTCAACAAATCTATAGATTCGTAGATTACATTTTCATAGGAATAAATTGGAATTTCTTTACTTTTAGATCTAAAAAGTAAAAAGTAATCGAGTGCTTTTAAATTAACAATTGACCTGTCACCTTTCAAATCTGATACAGTACTTTGCAGTAGTTTATCAACAGTTTTGTCTTCAATATAAGTGATTTTCTCAAGCAGATCAAACATGTCACTAATTGGAACATAAGAACTGTCAGTCCTCATTTTGAAATCAAGAAAATTAGTGCTCAAAATATAAAAATACACGTGGTTCTCATCAAAACATTTTGATAATAAAACTTAAAATCGTGAGAAATTGCTATTAATGTTTGACTTCTTCCATTATATTAAGTGTCTCGTTTCTTTTTACTTTTTACATATGAAATAGAAAAAGACAAAATCTTTATAAAAAAAATCGTGTTAAAAGAAATAAAAGAATTTCAAAGCTGTCAAGCTTTGCACTGTTTACATAACCTGCCCCGAGTTACCTCTCAGGTACCTGTGTATGTTGATTGATAAATGGTCCAGTATCGGAAAGTAATTGGGATTAACTTGGAATTAAAGATGTAGATCAGAATTACGAGCGTAATAAACTATTTTTATGTAAGATATGGATGTGTTCAACGCTAAAAAACTTATAAGGTCTAAGTCTGGTTTAAGAATTGTTGCAACAAATGAAGAATTCATTAGTCCATTTGTTGTACAAGAACCCATTTGGGTTCCTGATAAGGAGGTAACTTAGGCTCTGAAATATTAATTTATTTTGTATTCCTTATTTTAATATAATCAACACTTTCAGATCACCCATTGCACTCATTGCATGGTAAGGTTTGGTTTCACAACAAGGAAAGTAAGTCAATCTTTATTTAGGAATTTAATTTATTCATTGATTAAACTCTGTTATGAATTTATCAATGTGTTACATTTAGCATCACTGCCGAAGATGTGGAAAAATTTTCTGTAGTTGTTGTTGTGAGACTAAAATGGAGTTACAAAGAATGTGTTTTATTGATCCAGTCCGAATATGCTTGAACTGTGAACCCCAAACTCGTGCTGAGAATTTATTTTTTGATAAGCATTTAAAATTATTATTGAATGGTGAAATTTTGAAGTTGATATAAATCAGATACCTCATTGTTTTGCAAATGTTAATATTTTATTTTTTCCTGTAGGTGCCGTTTTCAAATATGAATCAAAAATTGATTCTTCAAACTATCAACTTCTTCATTGTAAACTGTCCCAGGATCACAGGTGTTGTGCTACTGTTATCTATTGTGATGTGAGAATTTTATATTTTCTGTAATTTTATGGTTTATATCGTGTAATATTTTAGGTATCTTTTATTTGATGGTGTGAAAATAGCTCCAGTTGATGTCAATCAGATTGTATCTATTGTTATCAAGAAGGACGAATTGAATGGTAATATGTGGTTTAAATTTTTAATGTAGCATTAAGATAAATTATTTTAAAGTATAGTTAATAAATATGCAGTGTTGTTATTGTCCATGCCTCAAGGATTTTTGCAGTTTGGGAAAAGGTAGTAATCGTAGTTTACTTGTTATGCCTTTGTGATTTAATGTTAATATTTAATTTTTACAATTGTTATTTTAGATGGAGTAAAGAGCTTGCTTATGGAATATCTGGTTGGTAATGAAAAGAAATCGCTGAAACTAGATATTGCTTGTGGAGCACAGGTTGAAAAAGCGGGTATTAATTGGTTGACTGCTATTGAAGAGGTATTTTTACATTATTTAAGAAAAAAATTACTATTAATTTAATTTTGTTATGGACATGCTTGTTTATATTTCATTTATTATTTGGTTGAGTTTTTGACAATATTGACGTCCAGATGAGAGATAGTCAAAGATAACATCTATCACACTATTTGTGGAATGCTGAAATTATATAAACTTTCTTTTAAGAACATGTTTTTGAGTGAGTACTGGCCTAAATAGTGTCTTATGTAGATTTTTCTTAGTGCCTTAAGTTTCTACTTTGCTCCCAACTAGCGGTGGAAGAAAAAATGCCAAACGTTTGAAAAGAACAGTTCTTGATCTCAAACGAATGAAATGTTCTTCCAAACTGGATAACAACAGTTGTTTTTCTTTAGTTCACACGTTTGCCACTAGTTGGGTTGCTGTTCTGTTTTTCGTTTCATTTTTTTCAAACGGAACAAAAGCTCTTTCTACTTTCCAACAAACCTATCAATACATCATGAAAATAACCCAACTGTTTTCTTATAAGACATGTTTCAACTGTTAATGGATGGGGATGTAATTTTTTGTAAATGTAATTTTTATTTCATTTATTTATTCGTTATTTTTTATTTACATTAATGAAGGCTATTAATGTAAAAAACTTTCGGTTATATATATTTTAATTTTTACATGAGGAAAATACAAAATTTAAAATATTATTGTCATGTTATTTGTATTTGTTTCACTTACATGCTACTAAATTTTGAACATAAAGTCATAATAATTTTTACCCTTAAATTTTAATAAAAGAATATTAAATCATAGAAAGTTCTTCATTAATTTATAATAATTTATGCACTTTTTAAAACATTTATTTTGCTACATCAACCATGGATCGACTTTGGAATTGGGAGACTTTCCTGGGGCACATCAAGCCTCTAAAAAGTGGGTAACTCCCTCCAAGGTTTCTAATCAGGAAGCCTTCTATGCTGTCCTCCCAACAATGTTAAAATGAGTGGCCCCTAGCAGACATGAGGATGCTTGAAGATTTCAATATGCCGGTGGAAAAAAATCTCATCCTCACAGTCTGGGAAGAGGAAAGAAATCCTGAAGCTTGGAGGCTAGTGTCATTTGTTCACTTCACAAGAAAGGTGATCAGACGGAGTGTGACAATTATCAAGGCATTGTACTTCTCTTAAGTGCCTACAAGGTGTTAATAAACATCCTTTTAGTGAGCAATCCGCAAGCTGAAAGCGAGATTGTAATATACCAGGCTGAGTTCAGGAGGGTTAGATCAACCACAGATCATATTTTCTTCTTGAGAATGATCCTCGAGAAAGCAAGGGTTTACAAAATGGTTGCCTATCACCTTTCCTGAACTTCAAATCTGCTTACAACAGTTTAACCTGATTGAAGCTCTACCAGGAGTTGGGAATAACAAGCATCTCATAAAAGTTGATCCGTCTTATAAGGATGATCATGTTGGGCTTGAACAGGATGGTTCACATTAGAGCTGATTTATCCAAACCTATAACAACAAACTACTGTATGAGACAAAGAGACACTCTGGCATGCCTCCTTTTCAATTTGGTATTGGAACAAGCAGTATCTCGATCAGCCATCCAGACTCGGGCCACTCTGGCTTACAGCATGATTCAGCTGGGGATATGCAGACGATTTTGACATTGCAACAAGATCCAAAAGTGTCCTCAGAGAGGCAATCCTTGGTCCCTATGAATTTGAAACTGCAAAGTTTCATACAGCTGGGCTCTGAGATGAATGCTTGAAATGACATGACGTCTCTGCGCAAATCCACAGGAGGATTGCTGCAGCTAACCGTAGTTATTTTGGTCTGGTAAAGCATTTTAGCAGTAGGTGTCTCTCCAACATGACAAAGATCAGCCTGTATAAGACTTTGGTACGTACTGTTGTTACATATGGGTCAGAAGCATAGGCCTCCACCAGAGCTGATGAAATGAGGCTGATAATGTTCGAAAGAAAAATTAGCATGGCTCTACAATCTGGTGTCAAATCCTGGCCTCCTCCAGCAGCTTCTGCCAATTATCTCGGTTCCCTGTAGCCGCCATCCAATTCCGAAGCCCCAGCATATTTGTTGCATCAGCAGCAACACTATCAGCCTATCGCAGCTTTGGTCTTCCTCTTCTCCTGGTACTGTGCATGGAGTGGCTTCATCAGTAATTGTCTTGGTGGATTCTCGCTGTCCATCCTAACGACGTGTCCTGCCCATCTCAGTCTTGCAATTTTCATCACTCAAACTATTTTGAACACCTTAAACATGGTGTACAGCTCCTAGTTTTTCCTCCTTTTCCACTCTCCTCTGATGAGAACACCACCATACATGCGTCTGAGGATTTTCTTTCAAAGACTAGGAGTTCACGAGCCCGGGAGGTAGTCCAAATCTCACAACCATATAGCAAGTCTGGAGGTACTATTCTCTTATAAAGACAAAGCTTCGATTTTCTTGAAAGAGCTCTACTCTGGAACTCCCTTGCCATAGAAAAATAGCACCGATTTGCTGCTATCATCCTACGCCGAATCTCTTGTTCAGGTGCGTTGTCTTGAGTTACCAATGAGCTAAGATATACAAAAACATTAGTCTTCTCGAATTGGTACTCCCCAAAAGTCACCTAGGAATCTCTCCCGTAGCCATATATTTGTTTTTTCAGCAGACTGTTAACTACCTTTGTCTGTACTGTGGGGGTGAGTGTAGTGTGCTCTAATTAGTATAAATGTGTGAGTGTCAGAGTAGTGTTCCCTCAACCTGGAGGATCAGTGGCTATCTGCCATACTAGTACCAGGCAATAGGGCTGCCATCTCCCTACATCATCGAAAGAAAAATACTAAGGAGAATTTTGGGCCCGGTTCAAGACGGAAAACCTGAAGAAAAAGGAAGAAAATGGAACTTTCTGCATTGGATAGTGAAATTGATGTCAAGTTTATAAAGCTCAGAAAACTTTGATGGCCAGGCCACGTGATGATGGAGGATGACAACATGACTAAGAATATTTTGACTGATGAATTTCAGTGCAAGAGGAGGGTTGGTTGGCCTAATGTGAGATGGGTGGGCTGTATCACTGCGGACGTGCATTTCTTTCTTGGTACCTGAAACTGTAGAGTTGCAGCAACAGACCAAACCAACTGGCGATGGTTATTAATTGAGGTCCAGACCCAGTGACGTAGCGCCCACTATGATGATGGTGGAGAAGAAGCCTGCTTTCTTACCAAATATTGATAAGCACAGTATACATGAGTCACCTATAACAACAGAACCAGAATTCTCAATTTTGTCTCATCACGAGGACTGGTTGTCGATAGTACCGGATTTCCCCATAGCACCTATAATAACTCGACAAAGTCAAATCTTAACCCAATTACAACTGTTTTAATAATTCTGATTCATTTTCTTCAATATTTACTAAAGAAATTATTTAAAGTATTTGTTAAAACGGTCAAGAAAAATACTATTAGTTCACAATATTTTTGTGTTTATAATTATAGCCTTTTATTCAGTAGACCACAAAATCCTCCTAACCGTGCTTAAAAATATCTCATTTTTTACAAATGCCCTTAATAGGTTCCAATCCTTCCTTACTGATCATTCTGAGTATGTTGTAGTCCTTAATAACTCCCCCCTCCCCCATCAGAATCTTTACTCTTGTCCAAAGGCATCCCGCAAGGCTCCTCCTTATCTCCCACCCTTTTTTCCATCTGCATCAATGGCCTCCCATCCTCTGTCCTTCACTGTCAAAATCATCTGTACACCCATGACGTTCAGTTTTACCTCTCCTTCAATCAGATCAATTCCTCTGCTACCATTCAAAAACTACAGGAAGATATATACAGAATTTTTGCTTGGTCAAACCACTATCGGATCACTCTAAATGCCAAGAATACGAAAGCCATCTTAATCTGATCTCCCTCACACCTCAAATCCTCACTGACACTCCCCATCTTCTTCTGAACAACTCACCGATCTCATTCCATACTTCTGTAAAAACCCTTGGTATTACTTTTGATCACACCCTCTCCTGGAAACCACACATCTCCCAAATTTCTCTTCGCACTATCTCTACCCTGAAACAGATCAACTGTCTGCGTTATCTCCTACCATATAAGTCCTCTCAACTCCTGGTGTCCTCTCTTGTGTCCCCCATTCTGACTATGGCTGTCTGGTGTATAGCGGATTCTCGGGAGAATTCAAAACGAAACTTAAGTGCTTAATAAATTACTCAATACGTTTTGTTTTCAGAATCTCAAGAGATACGCATTCCTTATTACAACATAACACAGAATTACACCGAGTTGAAGTGGCTCTATCCATCCAACTGCCATTGGTTCTTTCTTGCTGTCTTTCTATACCAGGTCATCATAACTCTGTGACCCTCCTATATTTTTCACAGTCTACAACTTAAATATTCCATTCAATCCCGTCCCAGTAGATCCCATATTTCCGACCTCTATCCCCCTCTTCACCGAACTGCTGCCTTTGATAAATTCTTTGTAATAAATACTATCTCTCTCTGGAATTGTATCCCTTCTGACATTAGTCATGTACAATCAGTTTTCTCATTCAAACCTCTCTTTAAACACCTATTCCTTTTCCAATCAGACTGTTCATGAAATGTACCTAAGAGAACTCTTTAAGTATCCCTAGAGACTATTTCTGTTTACTTATGTTATTCTAGTTTCCAATGTTTGTTTTATATATATATTTGCTGTTTTTTTTCCCTCTCTCTCTTTCTCTTTGTATCTGCATTTTTATTTTTAATCAACTATTATTTTGTAAATCGGGTAATATAATTGAGGTAATTTCATCGCGGCGAATCAAATGGGCTTGTAAAGTTGTTGGGCTTAGTAACGAGAGAATTCCTAAAAGGTTAATATTTGCTGTGCCGAATGGTAAGCGTCCGAGGGGTAGACCGAAGCGAAGGTGGGAAGATTGCATTAAAGCCGATCTGAAGGGACTGGGTTTGGACGGCGAACGGTGGAGGGAGGTGTGTAACAAGCGATTGGTGGTGTCGGCATCGAACCTTCGGGTTCGCTAAGCCTTATTATTATTATTATTATTTTGTAAATACTTAATTTATGTATGAACACACTGGCATTTACCTTGTACTTATAATTTGTTCTAAAGAAACAACAGTCCTAGAGAATAATAAAAAAATATTTTCATTTCAATATTGAACTATACAGTAGCTGACACAATTATTAATTACAAATGGATAAACGATTTCAAAAGTATAGTTTTTATTTTATGTTCACCTATCTTGTGATTTAGAATCTTATAGTTCAAACACACTAGATTTTTTTGGCTAGTGGGTCTTTTGGAAAACTGTAGGAAAGAATAGAGTATGTACTTGGTTGTAAAACATTTTTTAGAGTGTGGATACAAGTAACAATTTTAAAGAATAACTTAACGATAGGCAACATTTGATTATTAATAACTTACCGATGCAGATATTTTTCATCTTTCTGATTGGTACAACCAAATGCTATACTTCTACTCATTTGTAAAATGCAATATTAAATATTTGATGACAAAGAAATTCTAAAAGTAATCAGATGGTTTAAATGTTAAATAATCGTTGAAAGCGAGGAAAACCTCTTGAGCAGGATTATTAGCTAATTGGTATCTGGACACATTCCCCTTCCCATCATTCCCACTCTAGTTTTTCTATAATCTGTGGCCTCAGCAGCCCACTCTTACCACCCCTCTTGTCATCGAAGGGTTAAGCGATTTGCTTAAAATTACTACATTGAGTATGTCCTATACTTGAAATTAATCTTAGGCTTGTGCAGAATAAACTGTTAAATCTCTTAAACCAACTCTGACCCTAAGATCTTTATTATATTTTAATTATTGTTTAATTTTTTAGGCTTTTCGACTGATAGAACATTCTGGAAAACAAGAAAAATGTGATGATTAAAGGAGTTGCGGCTGAGGATCGATGTTGCCATGCTAAATGAAATTTATTATGTACCTTATGAGTTGTATTTGAGAATCTCTTATTATGACCACTTTTAGGTTATTTATTCTATTATTTTTAATTGTTGATTGAAATTAATCCAGAAGATAGCAATGACATCACGGTGCTACTTAGGAATATTTGTTTTTTGATTGTTTATGACATTGTCTGCTTATATAGCATTTTTTAAATTTAGTTTATCATTTTTATATTTTTAATCGTAATTTGTTATAATCAAATGTGGGTATCACAAAATTTATCAATATATTGTTTTTTAGAGTTTACAACTAACTATTTTCCTTTAGTTTGTATTTTTAATGGACATTGAGAGACAGAAAAGTGGTTGACCCATCTTAATTAATTATGTTTGTTCTAGTTTCCATTCTGATGATTAATATGTCTACATTTAAAATACTTTTAATCGTTATTATTCATTTAATTATTTAATACTTTTAAAATAAATAATTGAGATTGTATGAAACCAATTAGAGATACAAATAAAACAAGAAATAAATTAAGTTTGTAATAATAACCTTTTCCTATAAGAATTGAATCATCATACCAGGTAAATATTCCTTTATTGATCATTAGAGCTTAAATGTGATGTGGCATTGACAAATTTCTTTAAATTATTATAATGAGTAATTTTTTTTTCAGCTTGACCCTTTTGTATCTTTAGTGATTGGGAATTGATCTAGTTGTTATTCCAAATTTGATTTTTCACAAAATCCTTTGAGAAATGTTTATCCTTTTATTTTTTCAATTAAATTATTTTATCACTTTTTTCATTTATGGAACAACACTTGATTCTCAAAATAATTTAAATAAAGTTGGTATGTTTTTATTCACCATGAAACTCACACCATTGATATTTAATAAGGTTTCATCCTGGATCACATAATGGCTCCTCAAAAATTGTATGTCAACATTTTTCGCGTTTGTTGAATGATGGGCACTTTCTCTCTCTTTCAATGATATTATCTATTATGAAAGAGTTATTGAAATCAGTTAAGGTTTATTTTTAATTCTTTTCATTATTGAACTTATTCATTATTTTTATTTACTTTATATATTTTTGTCATGGTTTATTTTAAATGTAGATTGTGTAAACATGTTTAATTTTTTGGTTTCTCTCATATGTACAACATTGCACATTAGAATATTTAATGAAATAACTTAAGTTACCGTTTTAAAACTTGTTATTGTTCCAAGTATGCATACTCAGCTGACCTTTATGTGCCACGAAGCCTACTTGTAATATGTTATATAAATATATTATTTAATTAAGTAAATCCTTTGAGATTATTCTCACTTTATTGTTGATAATTTCTGTTATTTTTTTGGCAGAGGGTGGAAGAGAGGAAGATCATTGTTTGTTTCTTTATTCATGTTCCAATTGATGTATGAATACTATATTTTTTAATTAATGGATTAATAAAGAAAAAGAAATGTCTTAAATCCCCACTTATAATTTTTTTATTTAGTTTAAATCTTGTTATTTGAGAAACGCTAACTATTATAGCTTACCTTTTTATGTTATTAAGAAGAATTATTGTTGTTTATATCATCATTATGGATTCATATAAAATTTATTAATGAATTATTGGTCCAATATTTTATTGAAAGAGTTATGACTGTATGTTAATCTGATATTAATAATAAAAATTAAGTTTTTATTTTCGTTATATTGAATTATCTTGTCATTTAACACTAATTTTTGTAATTGTAATTGTTTTCTCTGTATTTTTTATTTATTCATTTTCTTAAAATTGTGTTACATCTTAGTAAATATATTTTTTATTTTATTTTATTTTGACTTTTTATTCCATTTTAACTTTCTTAAACTTGCTTTTGCTGCACAACATTGAGCCTACAACTTTAAGTATATACATACATAAAACATCCCAGTGTTTAAAAGTCATGCAGGTTTGATTCCTTCAAATTTATTGAATAATGTAAAATTTTAATGATAAATGCTTACCACGAAAGGATAGCAAATTGTTGGAACTACTAGTTTCCAATAAAAAGTATCGAGTACCAACCTAAGAATTACTAAAATTTTTATTTGTCTATGATTTCAAATTTATTTATTAGTGTGACTTTTGTAGGTGCTTGGAAGTAAACCATATTTATTTGCTTATGATGTTTCTGTTTGAAAGGATTATTTATTTTTATAAATAAAATCTCTGAACTCTGAACATAGATGAGCATATAGGTGTCAATTCGATCTTCTAATTCTGATGTATATAGCTACTGAGAATTGGTCAAAAAGTGCAGTGGAGGGAGTACTTATATTTGTTTACTGTCGGTATACCCCAATGTGATAATAATGTTTATATCATATACTTCTTAATTATTTATATGCACCATATCATCAGTTTATTGCAAAAAGTAACTAAGTGCATTTTTGATATAGGTTAACTTTCAAATATATTTTTGTGAATTACAACGTTACTTATCTATTCAAAAGTGATGGTTAGTGCAAGAAAATGACATCCACCCTTACACATGACATCGTATGTAGTTACACAAAGAACACAATTTTCTGGTTTTACAAAGGGGAAATTCTTCAAAGTTGTTAATTATTTAAGGTTATAAAATGTCACTTATTGACTTTTTGCAATAAACTGACAAAATGTTTCTTTATCACTGTAATATATTTTTTTTGTTTACCAAATAATAAAGGAATCTAGGAGGCCATTCTTTTAATTTAAAAAAAAATAAAACTTCCCAGTTTGTTCCCCTATAGAGAAAAAAAAGAAGTGATTTGCAATGAGTGCGAGGTAAAACTTATTATCTAACTGAATTCAGAATTCTATATTATTTCTATTACTGAAGTTTTAAAAAAACTTCTCTTTGGAATTAAATCTATGATTAAAAGAGATGGGCAAAATGATTATAACTAAAAATAAAACCTACCGACCACGCCAATTTCATACTTGATTTAATAGCACCATAAATAAAGCAAAAACGTGACACGATGACCTGATTACAATCATAATTGAAAACCTGATTATGATTGTAATAATTTAATCACATAATCAAAATCACTGAAATTATAATTATAATTACTATAATCGTAATCATTGATTATAATTATGCCTTTCTATGATATAATAATATGTAAGTCAGTGATATAATATGTTGAGTTGGATCCACAGAAGGGGAAAAAGAGAATTTCTTTAATATAACCACTGAGATAAAAAAAAATATCTGTTTTAAATTTACCTACTAGCAACATTACACTTGTGAATTAATTATCATTCATTCCGAAGGATAAAAGTTTATAATCTTCTGAGAAATTTATTATAGATGCACCAACAAAATTAATTAATTACCTTGTCTATAGCTACAGCAATTGATTATAAAAAGTTCGAGCTATGCAATAGTATAATAAATTCATTACAATTTCTCCTATAGTTTAGATAATATTTTTTCTGAATTCTTTGTTTGTCCTGATATTAATTCTCCCTCCCTTCACAAATAAAAAAATAGTAGCCTAGATCCATTCCAAATGATAGGGGTAATTTTAAATTTATAAAAATAAGATTTTAATATTTCTTTTTTCATTTCCCTTCACTTCTTAATTAATAGTCTTGTTAATAAATATAGGTTGACGAAATAAAACAGTAAAAATATTTCATTATAAAATTTATTTACCTATAGCTACTTATAAACATCATTAACTTATAAATTTGTACAGCATTTTTACAAAATATTCTGTAATATGTTTTTGGAAAAAAGATCCACGAAGAGAGGAAATGAGACCCAACTTAATGGCAATGTCCATATGGCTATCATAAACAATTCTTTGGATGGCACAAATTAAAAAGATCATACACAATGATCTTAGAGTTAGGTTTCATTACTTTCAGATTAAAAAAAAAACACTTCGTACTAGGCAATAATACATACAATCATATCACAGAGAAACTTTTCAAAAAATATAAACTCATGATTCTTTTCAGGATGAAATGTCATGAATTTTCTTTATAAGTTCAAGTTTCATACTATTACTACTAATGGTATCAGAAAGTATTCTAATTTTAATGGCATTAATACGGTCACAATTATTTGATTGATGCAAACTTGGATATAATTACAATATTCAGAAACAATTCTGTTAGGCAATTTTTGATTCACACTTATGATTGTTTTAAAAATTTTCTTTTCTAATTTAATTTCTAATTTTAATTTCTCTAAATTTTCATGTACTAGATGTAAGTATCTAAATAATTTCAATTATATTTAATGGTAGAAAATTGTAATTTATTCAGAAAGTAACATTAAACTTTTTTAAGATTGGGTTCTACATACATAGCCACTTCATTTACCTCATTTATAAGACGTCTTTCTATAATGCATATATTACATCTATGTTATCCTATTTAGTTTTGATTAATCACTTTAAACATATTTACATCGAAATACTATTTACGATACTTATTTTCGATTCGCTTATTTAATAAGACATAATCACAATATACAAAAACAATTGCGTGTTATTTATAAAATATATACATATAGTTAACATGATTCTCTAATATCATTTCTTTTGATCATTCATCACAAAATATTCATTTCAATCAAAAATGATCGGTTATGATTGGCACATTAAAAACGATTTCACTACATGCCTGAGTCCAGAAATAAATAATTCACACTATACACAGAAAACATTTTTATAAAAGTCTTTTAAAATAATTTGAGTGTTATATCCTGAGTTCAGCATCTGTCGTCCTCTGCCTAACATGGTGAGAGGTGGGATGCCTTGGGGTAACGATAGGCGATAGGGAAGGAGATGTCGCCAAAGGTGAAAGGGCAGGAGAAAAACTTGGTGACATTGCTGCGGAAAGGACTCCAGTATTGTCATGGTTTATGGGGGACCTAGGGAGCAAATGGATTTTTGGTCCTTGATGTGGTGGATGATGAGGCGGTCTCCCAGACAGTACTGGAGCAGCTATTGAGCGGGGAGCTACCGATGTCAAAAGTGGGGGTTTACCTTTCCCACTAGACGTTCCTGAAGTCCCGCTCTTCACAGATGCTGCATCTTCTTTTAACCTAGCTATTTCTGAAAAGACGTGAGCCAAGGGCTGGTACTGAGGTCCCCAGTCCAAGAGGTAGTCCCAGTTGTAACTGCCTGTTAGCTCCTCTTCGCTGTGGACGATTGAGCTGAGGGAGCCAGTCATTGAGGGCTGGTGGGTCGGGTAGGCGCTCATCCCTATCACACCTGCCCCCCCTTCTTCAGTGTTACTGCCTCTGTCACTTCCATCAGTCAGTTTGGCGTATATCAGGTTAGTTATATCTGCCTCAGCTGTACCATCTTCGTCAAACATCCTTAGGCCATCTATTGGAACTCCTGCCCTCAACATAATATCTTTACTACTACCTCCTCCAACACTCTCTGTTCTCCTTCTTGAACCTGAGTTTCCATCAGTGTTGACTATTCCAAGCCTAGCTAGATATTCTTGTGTATTATGTACACTGACATCAGACATATTGTCATCAGATGTTCTGTGCAAACCACCATCCCTTTGAATACCTTCATTTATCATTCTTATTTCTTCATCTTCTACATCATCACCATCTTCTGCTGAACCTCTACCAGAAGAACCAGACTGATCAGAGCCTGATATCTGAGATGTTGTGGCAGCTCCAGATTGTGAGCTGGTGGATTTATTATTTCTATATGTCGGAAGATCTTCGTATTTTGGTGGACCAAACTGACTTGCTGGACCAGGAATACCTCCCCGAACAGGTATCGTATCAAAAGCACTTGGATCAACAAAGTTATCAGCAGTCTGTCCTGAATCCAAACCAGGTTTATTTACATTCTTCTGTCTGCGGTTCCGGACATGCAAAAATAAAAACACGGCTCCAAAACAGAGAATTACTATTATAAGAGAGATTAAGAGTCCTATAGCCCAGTCTGCAACCTTCCCTGTGGCTGCTGCTAAGGCTGTGTTGTTTGAACCTTCTTCTGGAATGATCAAATTTGTTTCATGGTGTGCTAGAGGATCAAAACTTATTTCTACCACTGTCATATTTGTTAAAGATTCCTGCCTCCCTGAACTCGCTCTAATTACAAAGCTGACATCTTGTTTTGTGTTTAAATTGCTATCAATCTTCTTCTTTATCATAACTGCTCCAGTTGTTCTGTTTACTTTGAAGTAAGCATGTTGATTTGTGAGTTGATAAACAACCCTACCATCCGGTCCTTTATCTCTGTCAGTAGCAACAACTGTACCAATAACATATCCTACAGATAAGTCGTTTCCACTAACTACAAAACGATATGTTCTTTCAGTGAATTGTGGGTAAAATTCATCTCTGCTTTCTATTTCTATTCGAACTTTTACTTTTGAGCTTCTTCCTCCTGAATCAGTCGCCATGATAGTGAAAGCGTAACGACTTCTCAATTCATAATCAAATACTGTGTTGGTAGTAACTAATCCAGTGACACTATCTATTCTGAACAGTTTCCAGGACTCATCTGCTCCATTGTAACTTGAAATTGACGTTGTTTCAATAGAGTAGTTGAGGTGGCCGAAAATTCCACGGTCCATATCAGTAGCTCTCGCTGTGAATACTTTTGTTCCAAGCGCTTCATTTTCTCCTACAAATTCCAGATACTCAGCTACTGGGAAGTGTGGAGCATTGTCATTTACATCCTCAAGAATAATTTTCAAATGTGAAATTGCCAATAATGAGTGTTCTGGTGGTTTTGCACAGTCAGTTGCACTTAAAACAAGAAAGTATTCTGACAATCCCTTATCGTAGTCTAATTTGTTCTTTACTTTAACAATACCTGAATCTGGATCAATTTTGAAAATATCTTCATCATTCCCAGATAGAATATCGAAAATGATGTCAGAATTGGGAGGAAGATCATTGTCATTTCCTTTGAGATGAGCAATAGAGTGTCCAATGGGTACATCTTCTGGAATGGAAACTGAATCTTTCACCATATGGAATTGAGGCGGGTTGTCATTGACATCTTCAACCGCAATGTAAACTGATACTGCTGATGAATTATCTGCACCCTGAACCACCTTCAATGTATAATGGTCTCGTTGTTCTCTATCCAAAGGTTTTACCAGGACAAGATCGCCATTTGGTCTGTAAATAATAAAATACCTTATTATGATAAACCAGTCAATAATTAATTTATGAGATTGTCAACTATATTTAGTTCACTTTTGGTGAAATTTATGAATTTCATTAAATTCACAAAAATGAAATTTAAATATTTCAATCTTATCTCAGTACTAAATAAATATATTTACCCCATGACATGGAAAGTATGATCGCTGTTGCCATCAATAATACTGTATTGAGCCCAAAATAATTCACTAGTTGACTGACTGGATAATTTTATTAGAGATGTTCCTATATTGGTGTCTTCTTTGGCAGTTATTCTGTGGAAAACAAAAGAAGTTAATATATGAAAAGAAAACCAATATCAAAAGAGAAAATTTAGATTCCTTAAGTTTGAGTTTGTTTTAAACATGAAATAAAATTAACATATTTTAAATGAAAGTTTAATGTTATATAGTTAAAGATCAATGAATTTCTGTATAAAATATTCATTTATCAAATTTTGTTTATTACAGTCATAATTGACTTGACATGGACTATTTTAAAATATTTGATATAAAAAACATTGAGTTTATTATTTAAAGCTTGTGGGTCAATTTTAATTAATTGGTGTTATCAATAGAAATTAATATTTGTCTAGTAGTTCACAGTTAATAAGTGATATCCTATATATCAAGGTTATATACTTTTTCAGAATTGCGAGGTATCACTTCGTAACAATCGTAATATTAACTACATTTCATAACCAACAAGTAAGTATTAAAAACAAATAGTTTGCATACGTAATTGTGACCATACTAAATATGAAATTATAAATATTGTTTATCAAAAATATGCTGAAGATAACAAATGGATTATAAGAATAAGAAAAATTTAATTTAAAGTAAAAATAAATATACAGTTTTTTACCTATATTCTCTTTGAGAGAAGGCAGCTTTGCTACTTCCACCAGTACCGACACTGATTCTCACTGCAGCAGTTGAAGACAAAGGAGGTTTACCAGAATCTGTTGCCATGACTGTTAAGTCAATGACTTTTGGCACGGTAGTCGGGACGATGATTGCAGATCGGTTCAACAGTAATGCTCCTGTTTTGTCATCTATCATAAAGCCTGGAGTGTTACCGACAAGAGAATAAGTGATTTTATTATTCTTTTCAGAATCTTCATCAGTTGCACTAACTGTCAATACCGTATAGAGGCTGTCTCCTACATCTACGAACAAAATGAAATGTCCTTAAAAAAATTGATAGAAATAATATGTTTAGGATAACTAATTGTATATTTATTAACTTATAATAAATAATTAGTGAAAGTCAACTTTTAGTAAAATATACAATTTGTATACAACAAATATACAAATTTATATTTTGCTACTTTAGAAGAAAACTGACACAAGTAAAAATGTTAACAATTTTCCACTTTTGCAAAATTATAATCAATGAGATGACTATTATAAAGAAATTTGGTAAAAATTTTATTCAGAAGTTTTGCCAGTCATCGTCCAAACTAGGGATATATAACTTATTTTAATCTATAACACTTTATCGTGGAGGTATCTTTAAAACTACTATGGGTTTACCAGAAGAGAGAGAATAAAATAAATACCTGATAGGAGAGTTGCATGATAATTTGGCTGGCTGAACACGGGAGGATTGTCATTACTGTCAGTTACGATAACCGTGAGGATAGTATGTGCAGTGTGGGCTGTATCAGATGCTGTAATTCCTAAGCGGTATTCCTTTACTGACTCATAATCTAATTGGTGGCATAAAGTTACTCTTCCGCTAAAACGATCTATACTGAATTTTCCATCTTCTGGGTCAGATAAATTATATGTTAAAGCTGGATTAGTGTCCACATCGTTGGCTGTGATGGAGGTCAAGACACTACCCACTTCCTTTCCTAAAATATTTACAAAAATATATTCAATATTGATTTAAATTACCAAATTTCTAGTGGTTTAGTTATGTGAGTCATTTAAAAGTTTCACTTTATAGCAGAATTTTATTTTATTTATTTATTATTTTGAATGCAAAATGTATTTAATATAATTTGTTTATTTTAAAACAATTATAACTTTGATAGATTACCTTCATTGACAGTGATGACACTATGAGGAGGAAAATTTGGTTGGTTATCATTTATGTCTACAATGTTGATAAGGATAGTTGAAGTTCCAGTTAATTGTGGCACACCTTCATCAGTAGCTATCACAGTGAGGCGGTAAGAATCACGTATTTCTCGATCAAGTACAATATTCATTTTCACAATTCCTGATGAGGGTGGTTCAATAATAAATGCATTATCGTGGTTCCCATCCACAATATGATACAACAATTGAGAATTCGGTCCTGTATCTAGATCTGTAGCGGATACCTGCAGAAACGAAGAAAGTTTTGAATATTTTTACTGTTAATGGAGAATAGGTTTAATGTTTCAAATGAGACAAGATTTCATTCTCATATAATAATAGCAAGGAATTTAAACTTTATAGAAATTGTTAATTTTGCATTACATACCTGCATTACAAAAGTTCCTTTGTTATTTCCTTCCCATACAGTAGTTGAGTAAATTGACTGAGTGAATTTCGGTGAGTTGTCATTCTGATCTGTCAAGTGAACGAGCACAGTTGTATAGCCATAGAGAGGTGATCCAAAAGGACTATCGGCTGTCGCTTCAACGGTTAAACTGATTGGAGTACCAGCTTCATAATCCAATTCTGAACTAGACGATACGCGGATAAGACCAGTACTTGGATTTATCTCAAATCTCCTTCCTTCATTGCCTGACACAAGGCTGTACCTAATTTGTTGCCTTCGACCGTCAGAACGAACTGCTGAAACCTGGAAACATAAGGCAAACATTTAGCAAAAGGAAGTTCTTATTTAAATGTTCCATGGGATAAATTAAACAAATGCTCTTGATTTTCATTTCAAAGTTAATTATGAAATTCCAAACTAAAATTACAAGAAACAGAACTTATGTTTGTATCATGATTTCTATATAAGAGAATAGTTAATTTTATACCATAATATAAATAATGTGATCAAGGAATTATATAAAGCCATTGAAAATTTTAGATGATAAATAAAACTGACAGCAACAAAAGACTAGCACACCAAGATAATAATAACTAATGACGGTACTTAAAGAAGATAGGAGGAAAAATACTAGTAATTTGAAGATATCAGCATGGAAAAAATAATTTATGTTGTGATGACTGTTTTCAATTCTTACTTCAATCATGGCTTGTCATTACTAGAAACTAGCCCATCAATTGAGTATTATTTTCATGCAAATTGAAAAGGTAATAAGGCTAATCCAGAATGCATCACCCAATAATTACTGGACCAACTGTATTCAGCTGGCGTTTATTTGCCTGGATCATATGAAATTTAACAGAACAGTAAGCTTATTATCTTTTATGGTATTGTTCGTTATACTTGCTACTTTTACTAAAACTATGTATCATTTCCCATCAAAAAAATACAATCAAATTAATTTTAATGTAAAAAGTTTTATAATTATATTCAATTGCAACTGTAATTTTTAACCTATTCATTGCAATTATTAGCTAAATAATGAAACATGAATAATGAAAGATTCTAATGTGGATTCTTAGGTATTTGTATTATATGGTACCATATATAAATATTTTATTTTTTAATCCAAAATTTATTAGATAAGCCAAACTAAAATTTTAGATAATTCCACTATTCTTAGATAGGATGAATTAAGAGTGATGGCATGAATAAAATTTATTAAAAATTAGTCTAATTAAAACAGGTATGTAGATGAAAACAAGATTTTAATTAAGGGGCAGTCAAGAAGCTTTATAAAAGTACAAAATTTAAGAACAGTTCTTTTAATTAAATAATCTAATTTTTTTATTTTAGCTCTCATCAGAATAACAAAAAAGGTGTGGCTGTCATAACTCCAAAGAAAGTCTACACTATTTTATACAAACTTATTAAATAAAAACAGATCTTTACATTATTTTTTCGTTAATAATTTTGTCTGATTCCCAATGAGCTATAACCATGTAATTGCTATTGTAGAGATAAATGATACTGACCTGAAGAACTTCTGTGCCAACTGGGGAATTTTCTTGCATGTATGCTGCATAACTGGTGTTTTGAAATCGAAGGGTAGGAGCTCCCTCTGGTCCTTCTCCTACCCGGATTTCGATAAGCCCTGATGCACTTTGAGGTGGGTTACCCCTGTCAGTTGCAAGAACTTCCAAATGGTACAGTCGCCCATTTTCCATTGCAAGGCTTGAAGTTGCAGTGACCACTCCAGTCTTTGGATCCATACGGAATTTGTTGTTAGGGGGTTCATTCAAGAAGCTGAATACGATGTCAGAATTGGTTCCCTCATCGGCGTCGGTGGCTGTCACCTTGAGGAGTTCTTTTCCTGATGGCACATAAGATGGAACTTGGGCTGTGAATGGATATCTAGAAAATTCAGGTTTGTTGTCATTGACATCTTCCACGCGTACTTCTACAGAGACTTTTTCGGATCTAGCATCATATCGTCCATTATCAGTTGCCACTACCTGGAAGTGATAGATGTTCTGTTGTTCACGATCAAACAACCTAAAAAAAAAAAATATTTCAACTTAGTATTATAATTTCTCAAAAATATTATTTAATGTATTTGGAAACAATGTATCAATATTCGTATAATCCATAGTAATACAAGAAGATATCTGGGTTTCATCGTCTCCGAATATCAGAACTAAAACTATTTCCAATCTTATTTAGTGTTCGGAACATTAAATAATAATAAATAAAACTATTGTGATGATTTATGGTGCTCAGAAGATAGCTGTACACGTTTCACAAGGTTTCTCTTCCAACGGTTTGACCAGGAATCACGGTATAATTTGCAAAGCTGGAAGAAAATAGTTCCAAGAAGACGCTCGCAGGGAAGAGGGAGAAAAACTACCGCTGCAGTTATTCGCTTGTTTTGTAAGTTTACTATAACACTTGACCCGCTCTGGTACGAATAAAAAGTTACGAAAAAAAAATTTATATCGCTCCGAGAAGGGGAGTAGAGTACACCTTAGCTAGCGCGTTTCACATAATATCCGCCCATTACGCTTTGTTCCGTTATGTTTTAGTTAATAATTTACTTTAATATTATTTAGTTCCATTACGCTCAATGCTAGAGTTTTTTTTTGTTGGCAAACTTTACTGATAATCACCATTTTTCTTGACTGCGCAGATAGAAATATGTACAGCAATGGTAAGATGGTATCGACCTTGAATAATTAAAAATATATTACTTTTATTTGGCATTTTATAACGATTGAAATACTTTAGATTTACTTTAATTTAAAAAAAAAAATTTTTTAGCTATTCAACTTTGATTATAGTTTCCGTTATTAAGTTATAAGTCAAGGTTGGATCATCGAAGAAAATAATTAGAAAATCTTACTAAATACTTTTACTTATTTTAAAAAATGAGTGAATAGATATAATTTTATTACAACTGGTAAAGTGAATTCAAGAATTGCAAAGAGGCAAGTACTTGTAGAAAGAAACCTCAGAAATATAAAGTTCGTAATATGTAAGGCAAGTTAAGTTTCTTTTTCCAATACAATTTTCTTAAGTATAAAAAAATTAAACTTGATGATAAATGCATGTGCTTTTTTTTATTATTGCTATTGCAGCAATAATAAATGACTGAAATCTACAAAATACTTATAGCGGATCCAGGAATTAATTTTGGGGGGCTTCAGCCCGAAAGCTTTTTTTTTTTTTCATAAAAATAACGATAATTACTTGCCAAAAAGAGAAAGAAACTAACTACCTATATGAAATGGTGTTTAAGTGATTCCTAAAGTCCTTTTAAATGTAATTAAACGAACAATAATACTTTAATAGATAATTTTTAAATATCTTTTTCCTTAAAACATGGTTATATTTTACCAATTTGGCGGGGAGGGCTTCAGCCCCAAAGCCCCAAAGCCTTACTCCCCCTCCGCCCGTGACTTATAGCTATTCAACTTGGATGCCATAAATAAGTTTCAGTTCATAAATAAGTAACAAAAAAAAAAAAATGTTTTCAACAGAAGTTCCAGTACATTTCATCAGATCACTCGTAAAAGAGTACTACACCGATATGGCCGGGAGTACTGTAGTGGAAATATAATAGAGATTATAGCTTGGGTGTCGGCTTCGGAGGGAAAGAAATATAAAGGAATAGGTGCAAACCTTTAATTTAAAAGAAAGGAGCCAACTCTAAAACAATTTCAATTAACCGGGGAGGAAGATATAAAAGATAATAAGGTGGTAGGCAGATTATACCTTTCAGTTGTATTAGTTTCTTAAATGACCTTAAGGGAATTAAAAGGCTCTAGGAATTCCTTCAGGATTAAAGGTCCGTTAAAGTGGAGGGGGAAGGTACAGATGCAGTCCTTCGCCATTGGTTTTAACAATGGTTCAGTTTTGCTGCACTGAACTGCCAATAATGAGCCTCTATACAGTCGAAATATCGGCGAAGAAGTCACTACTCTGTCACCGCATATGGTATAACCTCCTCCTCTAACGGTCCGGTGCCTAGGCCACCTCGACAGGTATCACAATTGGACTACCAAGGATTCCACAGGGTTCACTTCTACTGAGTCAAACCTGCCCGTTTAGCATATGTACAATAGCAGTCCATAAAGTCCATGTATAATTAAAAAAAAAACTGTACGACTTTTAACGTGCTCTATACAAAGTTATATTAAATCTAACGTACCCAAATTTAGCAGATAAATAATTGGAAAAGATGGTCCGTTTTTGGACCTAATACGCCGACTTCATTTGATTTCCATAGATTATCCAAATTCATTATTTTCATATACAGTTAACAGCCTTCATATATTAGGTAATAAGGTTTCGAAAATAGACATATAGATTAAGGCCTACGTTACATTAACTTGATAGAGATAGTGTGAATTAAGGAAAGTGAGTCATTATAGTTCAGCGGTCCCCGTATTTCAATAGCGTTAAATTTAAATCAATTATTCCAACAAGCTATTATATATTATGGTTTGGAAAAACAATTCGGGAGCTATTTAATTAGCAAATGTGTTTAAAAAACTAAAAAATCTTAATAATCTTAGTGTAATGGAGAATTTGAAAATTGAAAAAACAAAATAAACACTTTATAGTTCCCAACGAATTTAAAATATATACATACTATACGTATACTTATATAGATAATAGTATCACAAACATAAAAGTGAATATTTTTGAGGTTATTACTTATGTGTGTATGTAGCAATCAGTATATATTTTTATAATGTGCTTTTACTTCATAATTCATTATACCAGTACGACTTTATGCAGGCAGAAAAAACAATGATTATATTTATAATATTAATTTTATGACAATCACATCAACAATAGACTTAAATGAGCTGAATATGTATGCTGTAATTAATAGGGATCCAAGTTTTAAAAAATAAGTTCTATGATGTGTCACTTATCATTAATTATATAGTTTAGATAGAAAAAAACAAAACATACCCGGCGGTGTAGATGAGCCCTGTGTTCTGGTCTATCCTAAAGAAGGCCTGAGACTCGTTGGCCAAGGAGTACGAGAGCTTAGCGTTGTCACCTTGGTCCCTGTCGGTAGCGCTGACGTTGAGGACCAAGCTTCCCAAAGGAGCATCCTCCCTCACCCGGCCCCGGTAACTCGGCTCGCTGAAGACTGGAGGGTTGTCGTTCTCATCTTGGACTCTCACCGAGAAGTTACAAGAGGAAGAGAGTGGAGGGGACCCACCGTCGGAGGCCGTCACGGTGAGGCGGTAGCTGCTCTGGGCTTCCCGGTCCAAGGGCCGTGCGCTCAGCTCTCCGGTGTGGACGTCCAAACTAAACCTGTTGCCGGTGTTTCCGCCTGTATGAGGATAGATATATGTTAGCAGCTCATTGGCAATACCCAACACAATATAATACAATACTTTGTTATAAGAATAAACAAAATGAAACAAATTGTAGGAAAATATCTATCTCAAACCTGTGATGGTATAAGTAATGTCTGCATTGGCGCCTGTATCCCGATCATGTGCCTGGAAACGATGGATGACCCCGAAATCGGAGTTCTCTGGAACACCTAGAGGGTAGCAAGCGGGAAAGCGAGGTGCGTGGTCGTTGGCATCGATGACAGTAACTGAGAGGATAGTTGTGTCGTAGCGTTCTCCTTCTGCGACGTAAAAGGCAACGTCGTAGTGAGGTACCGTCTCCCGGTCCAGGACACCACCGAGGGTCACCACTCCTGTGATGGGATCCACGATGAACTTGTCCGAGCTGGAAGTGTAGATCAGGCCGTTGCTCCCTGCAAGAGGACATTAACACTTGTTAATATTAACCATAAACTAATATAGTAATTAATGTCGTCACACTATCATTATTCAAAAGATAATTAGTTCTATATTGGAGCACATCATATAATCTTGGCATAACTGGTTGCTAAATTCAAATCAGAATTCTTTAACTTATAAACTTGTCTGATAAAGCCAATCCATTATGACCGGAAGCATTACAATTTCACCGTAACACACAATTGAATATTGATGGTTCGATTAATTAGGGAGAAATCAACGTAAAGAGTAATATCTTATAGCCATTTATCATAGAACTATATATATACATAAATATACAGCAACTAGATACCAACGTGGAATAGCAGTTAATACTTTAGCCGAGACTAAGGAATGTGTTTACCTTGAAGCTAAACAGGACATAAACATGTTTTATACCGCTTTACCATCATTCTGAATATAAGGCAATTTCAGTATCCTCCATTATTAGAAAGGATAATTAATATCTCAATAGTTTTCTAGAACAACAATAATTTCCAATATTCCCTCGTGGATAATGTTTTAAATGGCTTTAGTCCATTGGCAAATTGAATTATCATACAATTATTATTTACCATCTCTTTGAAATAAATTTACAATATAAGATTTAGATTTGAAAAAAAAATGAAATAAGAAAGAATATACTACTTGAAGAGTATGATTGACAAGAAAATTGGTTTGAAATTGATGCCAGGAAGGAAGGGTGTAGGTAAGTTTAAAATCTCATTAGAATAACAGTACTTCCATGCTGCACAAATGTCAAATAAGTAGTCATTTTATATCAAAATATCATTGCTTATTTAAACTATTATGGTTTGTTTATGGATAGTAAGTGCCTGTCTAATCGGAAACGAGTAGGCCATCAATTATTATCAAGGTAGTCATGCCAAGGCTCGTGCTGAAAAGGTTCACAGCAATTACAACAACCACCATCTTTATAACAAGCACAGCAAGGATCCTCTAGTCCATGTCTAGGAAAGCCAGTAATAAAATTTAAAGATATTTATTGCCTTGTAGCTGTAAAGAGAGAAATGAGCGCGTCCATGTTGAACATAATGGAATAATTGGACGGAATTAAGCAGAGAGCACCAACCCACAAAATATGTTAAAGGCAGGGTGCATATCCCCTCAAGGTCGATAACACATGCGTCTTTACCAAGTAATTTTATAGCGCTCCTTTTCTTAAAGCAGTGAAAAGTAGAATTAGTAAAATTGTAAGTCCTCTGCAATTACCCTTGTTGTGAGCTGTTCTATATTTTTACAAATTCCTCTCATCATTGGATATTTTAAAAAAATTTTCATCGGTGCCTCCAGAACTGGATTTCATGTGATCCATTGCATGTTTGTGTTCTTCAATAGTAAATTTATGGTTGCGAAATTCTGAATTTCGTAGCCAAACTGTATTTTCTATTAAATGGCAATCGTTTCAAACATTTATTTCTGGGTAACAGTCTCGAGATACAGAGAAAAAAAAAAACCCAATTCATTTACTGTTTCAGAAATGCTGGTTAATTAAAAGCTACCATATTTATTTTAGATGGAAATCCATGGAAAGGTTTTCCAGATATTTGTTTAATGTTATGCCATAATAATAATGAAGTATTAGAGTAAGTTATGGATGAAGAAAAAAAATTGCCATAATTGGTTTTTGGTGAACTTAATTAAAATTCGTAACCAGTGCAGGCTTTAGACATTCGGCGCCTCTGGGAAATGACGTCATCTCACGTCATAAAAAAAAAATTTATTTCTTAAGCTGTTTTATATTTGGCAGTATTTGAATTGTATTTCATTCAATATTGCTGAAATACAGTTGTTTCATTGTTAGGCTAAAATTAATTATTTTAGTACGTATTGTGTTTTTTTTAACTTTTAACAAGTGGCAAGCCCCAGGATGATCGGCACTCCCGCTGCGTTACCCCGGTTGCCCAACCATAAGGCAAAGTGTTCATAACTTCGTAAAAATGTGCGCCCCTCAAAACTTTAAAGCCCCACAAAAATGCAATCCCTTCAAAAAAATTGATGACGCAACTTGCGCCATGCAATCCCCTTCTAGAATGGTTAAGATGGTTATGAATGGAGTAAGTGATTGGTACTTTTAACAGAAAAGAATGATGTCTTAATTCGGGTGTCATCATAGAAAATCAAAGTTGAAAAAAAAAAATAAAAATAAAAATAAACAATGGATAAAGAATGCTATTATAATGCTATCTACAAAAAGAACCAAACTACAATAATCTTCATTTCTGATGTATCTAATGATATAACCGTAATGTTTTTGGTGTATAAAATGTAAAATAAAATTTTGCTAATGCCAAAAAATAAAACATATTTATTGAAAGTTCTCTGATTTTCAATTCCGAGGCCATTATGCAACGGTTTGAGTTAACTAAAACTTGTGCAATCTAGATTGGTTCTCTTCTGTTAAATGTCGTCCAAATTTTCTTTTAACTAGTTATTTAAATTAATGGCAAATGGTGCTTAGGGACAGTTTTTAGGAATGTTTCAGTATAACCAGAAATCAATGCTGTAATTTTAATTTTCCGATGGAACAACAACCACTTTTTCTTCTGAAACAAAAACACTGACAAGGAGATCACGGAGGCAGTGACAGAGATGCCCTTCTCGGAACCGATTTTATCTCTTGCCGTAGGGGGCGCTGCTTCCAGTCCCAAGGTTTCATATAATGACAGCTTTTAAGGCAACTGTAAATATCCTCTTACCGACAAATATTTGTCTTCTTTACACCGCATTGCTCTCCAGACACAGCCTGGTCTCCGAAGCTGTCATAAATCTTAAGAGTACTGGTATGTGCACCGGTGAAGGTATGACTACATATCAGCTATTTTACTGAGCATTATAAATATGGAAAAGTTTATCAATTATGTCATATATGAGTCTTCGTCGCAATACTGGTTTCGGGGATATCGTCATTCAATATAATGATAATGCACAACGTTAAAAAAAAGTAGGTCAATCTTCAAGGAAGGGGCGTAGATTGGCATTTGTAGAAGAGGTGAAGAGGTAGTACCTTCAAAAAATGACAATCCAACCATTACCTTGTCTCCTTACGGGTTTAAAAAGCTTCTGCATAAAGTATCTAAAGTTAGCCTCAACTTAAGACATGGACTAGGAATTCCTATGTTGCTCATAAAGAATTTCTTCGGCGCCGACATTGTTAGCTGAAGTGTAATTAACTATTAACACAGTTATTTACAATAACTTCCATAAAAAACGAGAAATACTTTACGTTCTAATACGACCTTGACGCTTGCTTTGTCGTTGTACACGTAAGCTATCAATTAATAATAATATCAAGTTTTAATAATTTTACGGTTTTTATGAAGTTAAAAAAAAAAAAAAATTCATTATTGCAGCAACCGTAACGAATAGAATATAAGAAATGTAATCATTCAGGTACTTGGAGAATTTTAGATATTTAGGATCTTCGATAACTAGTAAAAACGAAATTGAAGGGGAGATTAAGATAAGATTGAAAGCGGGAAATGCTTGTTATTTTTCTTTGTCAAAACTACTTAGCTCTCCTGTCCCTAAACTTAATAATTAGAACTTACAAAACCATTATCCTTCCTACAGTTCTTAATGGATGCAAAACGTGACCGCTTACATTAAGGGATGAGAGACGACTTAAGGTTTTTGAACATAAAGTTTTGCGCAGAACATTCGGACCGAAGGATGAGTCAACCGTAGAATTTAGGCGGTTACGCAACGCTGAATTGCGCGAACTGTACCCGGTTAATATAATTGAGATGATTAAGCTGAGGCGAATAAAATGGGCATATAAAACCTCTGGGATTAATAACGAAGGAATTTCTAAAAAGTTAATAATCGCTGTGCCGACTGGCAAGCGTCCAAGGGGCAGACTAAAGTGAAGATGGGAAGATTGCATGAAGGCTGATCTGGTGGTGTTGGGTTTAGACGGCGCCCGGTGGATGGAAGAATGTAGACCATCGATTTTTTTGTGTTTTCGGCATCGAACCTTCGGGTTAGCTAAGCCTTATTATAATTATTATAATCATTCAGGAGTGCGACACACCATAAGGCTCAATACTCAAATTACTAACAGCAAATTACACAATAAATTGTGTTAAAATTCAAACTCGTGTTATTCGAGTGTGTGCGTGTGTACGTGAACAACATACCTCCAAAACAAAATGACATACTACAGCGAAATTACTTCGCTTCATAGATTGAAAATTTATGATTGAGTCTAGTCGTAGGCAGCGCTATTGTTTCACGTGTCCACCACTGATTGGGGGAGGGAGAAAGAAGTGGAGTGATTACACTTTTTATTTCTGTTATGGTTACAACTGACGAATAGTTTCTCGACATCTAGTCTATCTAAATCGTATATTGTAAATAACATACATTGTATATATATATATATATATATATGTGTGTGTGTGTGTGTGTGTGTGTGTGTGCGTGCGTGTGTGTATGTGTGTGTGTATGTATATTATGTATTTAAAAAAGACTGGAAGAAGCTCTTTTTACGAGGTGTCGCTAGCTCATTAAAATATATATCTCTTTGAGTAGTTTGATAGCGACTTGTTAAAATACAGGAGGCGAGAGGTAAATTATGCAAAACTGTCTTAATGAGGATTTAAATGCGACCATTGATTAAAATAGGTGTGGAAAAGGAAGCGGTTGCAAAAAGAGACAGGATAACGAGGAGATGTAGTCCGGGTCGACACAGCCTTATATATACACACTCCCGATTAAATTACTTCGCCACCTGAATAATTACAATAGCCTGCGATCTGAATTAATAACAATTGCCTAAGGTGAGAGGGTAGACTCAAGCGTTAAAGTAGCTGATGACCATAGTTTCCTGTTCTGTTCCTCTTTGCCTTTTAAAAATGAGGTTTATAATTAAGGAATACAAAAAATTGATTTAAAAATGTTCATTTTTACACATCACTTCTAATATCAAGAAAAAGTAATTGAAGTCTTGTACACAAATTCCCAGAGAAAATACTAGTCGTGAAGCTAAGAAAATCGCTTAAATTAAAATATGACCAGCATGACGGTTACGTAAATGAGAATTTGTAACGATTTCATCACAGTTATACCTTATTTTGTAATGCGAATATTCGGGATTAAGTTGTATGAGTGACAGCACAAAGTTACAAAACTGTTCTACGTCAGAAACTAAACTATTACACAACGTAATGCTTTTGAGATCATATTACTGCAAAAGAAAATAACACATTCCAAATTGATGAGTGTAACAGACGGTATTTTCCAGTTATAATTATTTAGAATTTACTATTCTGCAGTGTTGCAATCGGTTGCACTTTGCAAGACCAAGACCAGGGCTGGTGAAAAAAAATCGATTTTTTGAATAAAAAGTAAGGAAAAATAGTTACTAATACTTGATAATCTTAGTTACTATATGTAAATAATTGGTATAACCAATATAATTTTACATTTAACTCCTCTAATTTTTCATTCGGGCATAGTAAGGTTTCTCTTATCTAAAAAACGACAGTAATATCTCTATAGTAATAAGCTAATAAGTAACTGCAAGACTCTTACGCAAGACCAAGACTCGTCTCGGATTGGGCAACACTACTATTCTGCAATGATAAATGCTCAATAAAATGTATTTTTCAAACTGGTTATTTTTCGGGTTCGTAATGAATATATACAAACCTTATTATACTTCAACCGACTAATAAGATATCCGGTTTATGACTTAATTGCGTTATAAAATCGAAAAAAATAATGTGATCATAAAAGTAAATTGTATGTTACCAAACACAAAAGTGGAGATTTAGTTAGCAGGTTTCAGTTAAATTGCATTAAAGAAATGATAATGAAATATTACTAACCTCCACTGATGGGCGATTTAGCTTGAAGTCGTGTTATGAAGGTACCAATGGAGGCATCCTCTGACACATTGGCACTGTAGTATCTGCTCGAGAATGCTGGAGGTGACTCAGTCGCCCCGCGGACAGCTATGACCAGCGACATGGAGCCCTGAAGAGGAGGAGAGCCTTGATCGCTGGCAGTGATGTTGAGTACGCTTCGAGCCGCGGGGTCAAGCGACCCTGCAACGCTCAGGAGACCAGTCTCGAAGTTTAGGTTGAACCTGCCTTCATCGTTCCCAGAAGTCAAAACGTAAGTTACACGTCCGAATTCTGCAGAATCTCTGTCGACGGCCATTACTTGACATAGAGGATCTCCCAGTTCTGAACCTTCTTTCGCAAAAATACTTCTGACCATTGGTGAAATGAACACTGGTCTGTTGTCGTTTACGTCGCGGATTTTGATCCTCGCAGTTATGGTGGAGCTAAGGCGTTCGGATTCATTAAGCGCTTGATCTGTAGCACGAACAACTATGGTATACTCTGAGATTTCTTCATAATCCAGAGGTTTGCTGACGGATAAGGTTCCTGTGAGTGCATCAACCGAGAAGACTTCAACTGGGTGTGATTTTATCAAAGTGTAGTGTATGTCTCCGTTGGGGGATGAGTCAGTATCAGTGGCCACAAAGTTAAACACGGCTGTGCCGACTGAGACATCCTCTTGGAGCTCTAGGTGCAGAACGTCCTTGCTCCAGACAGGAGGGTTATCGTTGACGTCGGTCACCTCGACTTTGACGATGACGGCGCTGCTCTGGTGGTTGATGGTGGTGCTGGTGTCGAGAGCTCTGACTTCGAGCCTGTACTCGGAGCACTGCTCCCTGTCGAGGGCCCTGGTCACTACGAGGGATCCGGTTCCTCTGTCCAGGTCGAAGGCCGCGTCGGGTTCCGTGGGCTGAATCGAGCTGAGGCTGTACATGAGGTGACCGGCCCGGGCTCGTCCTGACGCAGACTGGCTGCCCTCGGAACCCACCACGTTGCCAACGACAAAGCCGACTCCTGCGTCCTCTCGCACCTGCAACCAACGTAACTTGGATTAATAAATAATCACAAAACAATATCTTACTAATTTTATACTAAAGGCTAGAATACATTTTTGTGTGAATTAACAAGCATAAGAAACAATATTCCTTAACAATAAGGTGCATACAAACATCTCCAAGAGAATATAACCGCCCAGGAATATCAAGTTCTAATTAGAAAAAAATAACATTGGGCTGACAATAATTTGGAATAGTATATGTTTTAAGGAGTAGTCTCTGTTGGGACAAAGTCAATTGGCACAACGAAGCCACGTCCTTACGAGTTACTTACCATACTGGTAAATGATTGTCATAATTGTATGTCCGTTTGCATGGTTTTATGCATCATAAGTGTTTACAAAACTTATTTGTATCTTAAGTGCAAATTGGGACTTTAATTTGTAACATATTTTATGATTCCCAAAATAAAAATAAAAACATTTATAGTCTAATACAATTTTTTCTATTTCTAATACAAATTTAAAAATAGATAACATACTGGGTTGTGTTAAATTTATGTCCCCTGACATTGTAAGTTCTTGTAAGCTGAAAACTAATGAAGATAGCGCAACAATAAAAATATATATATATATTCATATCATCGAATCATGTAATTAATATGTATATAAATATTCTACTTCATACTACTCAATACTCAAACAACAACATGCAATTAACATAATAGAAACTATAGTAAAATTGAAAGATTTCAAAAAACTCCGAGTCTTCAATATATCTGCTAGTAAAATATTTACTACAAGATCAAATGGATTCAGACCTACTACACCGCACCTGACGTCAACAGTAAGAAATAGATCATCAAATAGAGAAAGCACATCACTTCAAGTCATATTCCATATTTTGAAAATTTAAGTTTTTTTTTGTTAGAATCTTCCAATTGTATTTGTTTTGGTATATTTTAATTATTACCTTTGTACACACGTCAAGTACGGTTTTGTATCTAATAAAATCCTTAATGAAAGAGAAACCGGCATGGATGTTTGGAATACGCTAAAGAACGGACAAAGATGTAAAATATATTATTATTAGTGTTTATGCTTTAAATGAAGACATGAAGAAAAAAGACTGAAGAGGCATAGCGGAGACAAGGATTCAAAGGTACAGGGTTTCGGTAGAAATCCGGTTGTGAGTGCAAAAGGAGGAGCTCGCGGTCCGACTCTTTTTTATTTTATTTTTTTATCCCTTTTTTTATTTCTTCCTCTTTGGTTTGGAATTTTGGCGAGTCGCATAAATTTGGTGTCTTTCTGTCACAGTGAGGTGGGGAGGGGGGGTGGAGGGGGAGTCTGTCAGCGGAGCGGTCAGTGGTCAGCGCCCTCTCTGTCTGATTCGGGGCAATTAAAATACTCGTCCCGTCTTCCCTGAGGGTGCGCATTCGGCCAGCATGTCCTAACTACTTCAATAGACCCCTCTAAATCAGGATACTTTGTCGAGTAATAAAGGTAAATTATTCATCAAGGAAGCTGGCAATCCATGCTAGTAAAAAAAAATCAATCTTAATGAAAATGTATTCAAATTTGCATCAGGGTGTAAAGACTCTTTTACACGTTAAGTTTCACGAACAAAGTCGGGATCACTAGCGGATCCAGCCGGGGGGCGCACGCTTCCGCTTCCCCCTGGAAATTGGAAAAATCAGCTAAAGAATTATGCCAGAGGGCGCGACCTCTCTCTCATATGGTGGGAAAAAAAACAACTCCTATTTAAAGAAAAGAGAGATATAGAGAAAATCCATTCTCATAGGCGAATTATTATCGTGTGAAATCCTCATAAAAAATTATTATCGTGACCCTCACTAATGATTTCTGCGCCCCCTCTTGATGATAGAAAAATAATTCCGAAAAAAGTTACAAAAACAGCTTTTTAAACAAAACAAAAATAATATGAAAAAATCATCCTCTAAAACGAATTTTCTAATGTGATGCAGGTATTTAAAAAAATTATTATCATGACCATTTTTATTAATCTTACGGTTAGTCATATCACGTTACCTCACCAGGCTGTGGATCAACCTGCGCCCAGCCTTTGGCGCACGGCGAGATTTTGTGAAGACAAAATCAACAAAGAATAGAATGAAAGAGCAAAAGTTGGCTCATAGGATGAAGTGGTGTAGGTTTTGGGCTACCGGGAGGTGCGAAGGCTTGTGCTCCTGTTGCAGTTTGTTTCTACCACAGGCGGATCACGGGCTGAAGCCCCCTCCCCCAAAATGGTAAAATGTAACCATGTTTTAGAGAAAAAGATATTAAAAACTATCTCTTAAAGTATTCTTGTTCGTGTGATTATATTTAATTGGACTTCAAGAACCACTTAAACACCATTTCATATAGGTAATTAATTTCTTTATTTTTTTTTTCAAATTTATTATCGTTATATATATATATATGAAAAAAAAATCTTTCGGGCTGAAGCCCCTCCCTCCCCAAAATTAAATCCTGGATCCGCTAGTGGTTTCTACTGACAGCTGAAATTCATGATGGAAGAAAATTAATTTAAAAAAAATGAACTTAATTAATTCTTTGAACAACATTTTATTTGAGCACAAGCAAATAAGTTTTTTTCTCCCGGACCCAGTTTTAATACAGTTCCAATAGATCTGAACGCATTGCAACATCCAGCAACTATAGTCTCATTGCAGAATCCATTCGATTTATAAAACTGTACGATAATAATTTGTATAATTTTCATTAGAAGGTGTTGTTCTTTCTTAAAATAATTGCTATTGGAAACGTTTTCATGAAGGAAAGAATAATTATTTGGTCTCCAATTTGATTGGAATCTGATTACGATCGGAATCGGAAATTATTCTTTTTTTCTTCTTAGAGGACACATTTCCAAGCTGTAGGGCTATTTATAGTAATCTGTCCCAGATTTTGACAATGTTGGTAAAAATTAGTGTTCTTTGACCGTGGTTATCGACCATATCACTTAATGAAATTTGGTAATCGTTCGACGCACAATTTGACGTTCTTTAATTTCTTAAAGAATACATTTTTCGGTTTGATGCACTGTTTAGTAGTAACACATAAAAAAAACAGATCAGATAAATCTGTTTTTTTTTTGGCAGTTAATAGGTTTCTCTTGATAAACCGTGATAGCAATTTTGTTTTTTACATGTAGAAACCCATATAAAGAGTGTCCCATAAGTAGAGAGAAATATTTAAAGGAGTGATAGTAGAACTCAAGAAATACTAAAAATTTATAGGTATAAAGAATTGTTCGATTTTTAGCAGGAAAGAAGTTAATTTTTGGTTCACTGCAAACTAGACAAATTTTACATTAAATAAAAATAGAGTTTTATTTGGTTAAAACCATTTAAAGAGGACTTTTGAGCGGCTAAACTCAGCTAAGGAGTGGGGGGAGATGGGTAGTGGTGAGGGAACGGGTAGGAGTGGGGGAAGCACCTGGTACAAAGGTGCTCCTCCCCCCCTGAGAAAATTCCTGGATCCGCCACTGGTTGGGATAGTAGCTCACTTATTTTTCCGGTAGGTGTGCCAGGCAGGGAAGTGTGAATTATACTATTTATAACTGGTGCTGGGAAAGTAACCTTATTGTTCAACTTTACTTGTTATTGTTACTATTAGTGTTATTTGTTATTTGTATTTAAAAAAAAAAAAGAATTAATAACAGTTTCTATTAATTGAAATCCATATATGGGGTGTTCCATAAATAGTGGGATACATTTAAAATGAAATAGTGAATCTCAAGAACAACAAATAAGTCAATCAATTTAAAACTATGACATTTTTAGTATAAAAAGAATACAACTAAACACAAAAATCACGCTGAAAATAGCACAATAGAAACATTTTAAAATAAAATAAGTCCATTCCAGAAACTAATCAAGAAATCGTGTAAAAGGACCTAAGTAAAACAAACTTCGAACAGTATGGTTCGATAATGGAGTTTTTTTTTTTTTTTTCAAAATTCGTGTAATATGTTTATACTACCAAGGATTATTTTATTAAAACTAAGGTCGAAGAATGTAGGAATAGTCATTTGAACACGCCCTCTTGAGTCACCCAAGAAAAATAAGGATGGATTTTATAATAGTTTTTAATTTGGACTAAGTGAATTTTCTCAGCAAATACTAATAAAAAATGTATCAATTCCAGCATAACTATGGTGCAATAAGCAGATGGTTTTTAATTTTGGTTTCACCGCAGTGCCTCTTATATTAGGTTTCCATTTTCCTGAGGCATTGTAAAACAAACTTTAGTGTTTTAGGGGTGGTATGGCGCCGCAAGTTGAGCAATCAAAATTTAGAAGAGACGCATTTTTACTGGATTTTGAATTTCTAAGGGAGGCAAATTTTGACGGAGTAGTAAATTTTGGTTTGAACCATATTTGGTGGGGTTTTTAGCTTAGAGACAGTTTTAAAGCAGGGTAAAAAGAAGGAAACATGGAGCAGACCATATCAAGTGTAATTGTATACGAACTACAATTTTTATAATTATACTTTCATTTGGACAATTTTTAAGAAGAGAAGGGTAAAGCTCCATCGACCTTGGATGGTGGGAAGGAATGGATGGCTATACCAGGTATTTCATAATCATAAAAGAGACCATTTACAGCAGAAACATCCTGATCTTATGGGTTGGGTACGGAACATAAACATTAAGTGAAGTTAAGTCTATGAAGTCTTAGATAACAAAGTATATAAATTCATAGGTCATGACCTGGTCCACGTACGACCGATGGCAGGCGGAAGAAGATAGTAACTATTCAACGACAAACCATCAAATAATATTCGGCCACTGTCATGCGTTTTATTTTTAAATATATATTTAGTTCACAATTTAATATAAAAATTGTGAATAACGGTTTATTCTTGATATATAACTTTTTACGCAACTTAATAACAAAAATAAGAAGTTTTTTTCAAAAATAGAATTTACCGTTTTTCTATTACCGTCATTTTTCCTTTTATTTTCAGCTATTTGCTTTTAATTTGGTTTACTTGATTGGTTTAATTGCTTTACGCGGAAAAAAAAAAGTGTCTTTGGATATAGTTCAATCGTTTTTTCGCGAAATGCTAACAAAATACTCAACAAACAGACAAGAATCTAGTTACATTACAGGAAGTGTTATTTTATTTATAAGATACGTGAATGTTTTCTAGTAATACCGCTATAAATTTGTACTTAATTTTAAAGTCATTACTACAGTTTGTATCGTAAACAGTAGGTAATGCGCCGGGAATTCTATCCATCTCCACGAGGAATGCTGCAGCGCAGGAAATGACACCGCACATTGGTATAAATTTATGCCCTACAGGTTATA